TGTGTGTGTGTGTGTGTGTGTGTGTGTGTGTGTGTGTGTGTGTGTGTATGTATAAACTCTCCTCTCTCTGTAAATAGGATGATTGCGTTATATTCTCCGATTCTTTAAGGTTCTTTTTTTTGTTAATATATTCAAACACTCTCCATATGCATAATCACACATAAATCGGTATCGTTCGTTTGTGCAAAATATTCGAGCGCTTTGCAATTGTGTGGCAGTGCCGTATTGAATGGTAGAGATATTTGTACTAATTCAATGTAAAAAAAAATGAATTGAATAAGAATGAAAGGTTTTTTTTTCTTTGACTTATGCTCACACACATGATTCTTCGCGTTATTTTCCTTCTCGCTTAAATTCCGTTTGATTCTCTGTGCTTACTCTTCAGTCATTGCGTCGTTTCGAAATAGAGCATTCGTTTTAATAAAATATGCTTTTTTTCCTCTTCTTGTCTCCTTCTTTTACACTATGTGCTTGTTGTTGGTTCTATTGAATTTGTTCATGGTGGGCATTTGCGATATGTGTATAGCAAAAGGAAAAAAAGCATTCCTTCTTCTCGCATGAATAACTGAGTCAGATAGACAGATGAGCATATGTGCAAGAGTGGATAGGAAATCGACCACCGATGATCGCAATATGAAAAGGAACTATGGAAATGCTATCCGAAAAATGAAAAATGGTATTATGTGTGTTGTAGCCGCGCACATACACATGGCCCATTACGTGGTGGTAGTTGGTTTTACTATTGTTATGGTTGTTGTTAGTTTGGTCTATCCTTTCTTCCAATTCGTCATCGTTGGACGTCTACGCATTTATATCGTCGAAATCTCATCTACATCGTCGGCGATGTTATTATTATTGTTCGCTTTATTTTCTGTTGTTTAGTTCCTTTGGCACTACAATTCGCCTTTTTTACTTCTCTTTTTCTCACTTTCAATCAAACCTGTGTGTGTGTGTCGTTTTTTTTTCTTCATTCATTTTCACACAATACACAGTTTGGAATGAATGTGCGAATGAACGGAAAAGAACGGGTTTAAAGTCGGAAAACGCCTCAATCATTTCACCATTACCGATCTTTCTTTTATTTTCATTATTATTTTTCATTATTCATGCCATACTTGAGAACTTTAAGATCGACGTAACTTGGTAAGAGTAAGCGACCTCAGTGCTCTTAAACGCTGTATCTGTCTTTCTCTCATTCAAATGAGTGTTCTTGAATGATGGCAACCATATATTTAACAAAGACATCAATGAGCGCAAGCACAAAGAACGAAATGCTATTAAAAAATTGGTTGATTTATGTTTAAAAAGCACAAACAACAGCAGCAGCAGCAACATATTGATTGCAAAGAAAAATGCTCTTACGTTATGAGGAGGCCACTTCGATTTAGAGAAAAAAAATTGTCACAGTATATTGAAACGAATGCTGTTATGGTTGAGAGTTATCTTACTTGATGGTTTTTTTCTCTTCAGTTTTTTTTTTCAGTTGAATAAAAAAAAACGAATGACAACAAACTAATACAATTCTCTTGAACATTTTGCAGGCGACGACGAATCAGAAGTGCAGCAAAAGAGCAAAAACCAGAAATCGACAAGATAACAAAATCAGCGGCTTAGTGAAACTGTTGAAAGGAGCTTCGAAGCGAAACAGAAACCGCAGAAATATACGGCTCGACAACAACAATAATAATAAGAAAAACAAAATAAGCAACAAACATTACATTAAAAGACAGAAGAATATTGAAAAGAAGCAAAAGCAACAACAACCAAAATTTACGCACAGCTCTTCAGCATCGGAAGCAATAATAGCAATAATATCAACATTAAAACACAACAACATTTTCGGTAGAATCGGTAGACATTTTTCCAGTGAGAGAGAGTGAGAGATATTTGTGTCACATACTTAAAGTAGAGAGGCTTTCAGTACGAGGAATCGCGCCGCTTTATAAAACCAAATATATACCCAAAAATACAGACACATAGACATATGTACAGTATATTTTCAGTTGTTGTTGATTGTGTATGTATGTGCGTATGAAGAAAAACAAAATCAACAGCAGCAGCAGCACAAGGCGAACGGAGCGCGCGGATTGATGCAAATGTATGGGTGTAATATATGAATCGAACACACGCTCACACACATGTATTCACTGACAAAATTGCATACAAATACGCCGCATACAAGCATCTAGCCGCTTAATTTAACCTAACCATAAATGTCTACATATCGAATTTACACACAAGGGCAACTATGTTTTATATAAAGATTGACAGTGGCAGTGGCAGCAGTAACAACAGCAGCAGGAGTAATCCACCACTACTACTACCACCAAACTAATATTCTGTGCAGAAGAAGACAAAAAAAAACTACACATCGAATCCATCGTCGATGTAGTGGTACGTATGTGTGTGTGTCAGTGTACAGAGTGAAACGAGAAAGATAGAAACAAAAAAAAAAAAGAAAATAGAAAAACGAAAAGAGCATAAATACATACGAAATATTTTTTTGCCGTGTTTTGTTAAAATTTTATTTGTGATGTGATGTGTTTTAAGAAGCATTTTTTTTATTTTATTTTTTCGGTTTGTTTTTATTTTTTGGGTTAACCATACTTTTTTTTCGTTCATAAATTAAAGTGTGAAGAAACGGAGATAGAAACAATTTAATAAACTTAAAAGACCTAAAATATTGTGTTCAAATGAAATTGTGACCAAATTATGCTAATAAAAATTAACAAGCTTAAAGTGAATAGATGATCGTTCGTGGATTGTGAACTTGAAACAAAAATAAAAACTGATCAATATTGTTCACCATCCCGAAACAAAAAGTGAATACAACAAAATAAGACACATTTGAAATTAAACAAGTGAAGACATTCGAAGTGGCACACAAAATAAACACTAATTTATGACTCTTAATGCCTTCACGAATGAAAATGATAAAAAACACGTCAACATCAATGAACTATTATGTGTAATTCGATTTTGGCTTCGGCCAGTTACTAAACTGGACCACATCATTAAAAGTGGTCAACGTCAACGTCAACGGTGTACACATATAAACACTGAACTAAAAGAAAAACATAGATTAATATTTCAAATTTTTAGATAAGTTTGTTTTAATAAGAAAATAATCAAAGTGGAATGGCAACCAGCACAACAACGAGCACCACCACTCCGGTGACGACTAAAGGTAAATGTCACATACAAAGTAATTGCACATTTTTCGAGTTTTTAATGTTTGTATTTTATTTAAAATTATTATTGCAGACATGAAATCCAAATTGTTATTATCGATGCCAAGAATACCACCAAAAGTGTATCTAAAAACTGTAAATGAGCACATCACATGTACATTATGTGGAGGCTATCTGATTGATGCGACAACAATTGTGGAATGTTTACATTCGTGTAAGTGTTTTGAGAGTTTTCATTTCATCAAAATTCTCTTTAAATTTAACAGAGAAAATTTAAATGGGTGGATTCGGTGTTGTTCGATCTTTTTCTTCTTACTCGAAACGCGACTGTGTACGTGTGGTTTTTTTCACTCTGTTCTGCAGAAGGGAGAAAAATTAAAGTATCAGCAGCGGCGGTAATCGCGGTGAACGCCGCGAAAATCAATAAAGTGCACATGATACCTTTCGCATGAAAATAACACACTCTTCAAAAGAGAAAAAAAAAAACGAACCGATTATATTTTCCATAAATGCATACGTTTAGGCGACAGCATGCATAACCGTGTTACAGTTTGCGCACATAAATGTGACTCGATACTTAATACTTTGCTTAAACAGAGACGATTGCCACTGATATATGTAACCGAACGCATAGCGCGATGGTCATATTTTTGACCTCATTGTTTTTTTATTTTGGTTATTGCTGTTGCTGCTGCTCACTTTTTATTGCTTAAGCCACAAGATCATGAGCTTTTGGTGCATAATTTTCATTTCTTAATCATTTAGGCCGTTTTCATATTAATCTTTTTTTATCTCTCTATTTATACTTCAATTGTCGCGTTTGCAGTTTGCCGCAGTTGCATCAAGATGCATCTGGATAATAAAAATCGCGCTGTAAATTGTCCGCGCTGTAAAATAGAGATAAACACAGCCAAACCAAATATTAAGTAAGTTGTAATGATGATCAATTTACGTTGAATGTTCGATTTTTAATGCGAATTTTTGTTTTGTTACAGACCTGATGCAACGTTACAAGCGATTGTCTATAAATTGGTGCCTGGACTATATGAAAAAGAGCTACTGAGGCGACGTGCATTTTATAAACTTAGAACGAGGGAAGCACAAGAAGCAACGCCTGAACAACGTGGTGACGATACCGAACACTTGATATTTAGCCCCAATGAAAGCATATCGCTTATGCTTGAGTATTCGGATAATAATGAGTACGACCACCTTTTTTTGGTTCACTCCGAATTCAAATCTAAACTTTCATTTGGTTTTTGTAGTGCGGCGCCACAAAATAGTGACGATGAAAATAGCAATTCCAGCCATGAAATCAACTCAAGTGATCATTGTGATGATGATTTCGAAGTGCAACTAAGAAAACCAAAATACTTGCAATGCCCGGCAATATTTACGATTTCGAATTTGAAAAAGTTTCTACTGCATAAATTTAGCATAAATCCGAATAAATTTTGCGTTGAAATTATGTATAAAGTGAAATCGCTTGCGTTGCCCGATCATTATAAGCTAATGGATGTTGCATATATTTTTACATGGAAAAGGGTAAGCGTTACATCTATCTAATAAATTTGAAGAAAAAAAAATGTACTTATGATGGCATTTCTATTTAAATTTAGGATGCGCCAATGAGATTCCTTTACTGTGTGCGGGCAGCACATTTGACGGTTCCAAATATTGAACAGAGCGCTGTGATTTATGATTTACCACCAAGTCGTTTCCAAACTAATTCACAATTAGTTTGTGCATCCGATTCAACTGATCTAGATCAATCGTCTGATGCTGATAGCGAAGCACGATCTGATCGAACGAGAGAACCAGACACAAATGGATCAGTTATGCGAATATCACGAGACGAGCCAATCAATTCAACTTCGGATGAACCAAGGTAAAAAAAACTATAAATATTTTAGGTCTTGGCAAATAATGCAACTGATGTTTTCATTTTCTTTCGCTTGTTTGATATGAATAGCGTTCCATCGTCTTCTACATTATCGACGACAAAAATTGCGTCAAGTACAACGGTGACAAGCACATCTGTAGCTAGTACATCATCAAAATTAAATTCAAGCACTCATACATCATCACTTAATGGAAATGAAGGTCAAAAGAAGGAATCATTGGAAAAATCGTCAAAGGAATCGGTATCGAGTCCAACGACTTCTGGCCGATTGGAGAGTATGCCTAGAATTAAAACCGAACCACTTAGTCCATCACCTGAAAAACAACAACAATCGGACCGAAGAAGCAATGGTGCAAGCCCGAAACCAAACACATCTAAATCAAGGAACACACCTGGTATACATTTTTTTTTTGCTATTAAAGAAAAGAAAAAGGACGTTAAATAGAAACGATAATAATTTTTATTTAAACTTTTAGATGTTAAATCAAGTAGTCCGTCACGAACGAAATCAATAATGACGGATAGTTCAGCGACAAGATCGAGTGATTCAATGTCAAATCGCAACGAATCAAAGACGGTAACATTTTCAGATAAACCGTCATCAAGTTGGCCAACGATGAACACAATTAATTCCAAACCAATATCGACAGCTGAACGACCAAAAGGTCGACTGCTGTTTAACAAAGATGAAAATGCAAAGAGCTTATCACCACCATTATCTGCCGAAAATGAATACGATTTTGATCAACATTTGTTGAAAGAAGAATTTTCGGAAAAGAAAGACTTTTTTGAAAAGATTCACCTGAAACCACGCACCGATTCGCCTTTAGTACAATCGCCAAAGATGCCAAAAATTCAACAAAAAACCGATCTATTAACACTCCCCACAAATTTATCCAAAGACAAAGACAACAATAGAACAACAGCAACAACTACGACCACAACCACATCGTCAACAAATAATGCGAGTGCATCATCATCGACGCGACCGTCGTCAGGCATGCCATCATTATCGATGCCATCCTCGTCGTCGTCGTCATCATCGTCATCACTGGCGTCACCGTTAAGCGGCTGTGCCGGTATTGACAAGCAATTTGGCAAACGGCCAGAAAAAACATCGAAACGTAAAAGCAGGGAACCCGTTAAAAATGTACCTAAAGCAAAATGTGCATCACCAAACGAACGAATCATTGACACAAAATGGGATTCGGTGAAATCGACCATTATTTCAACAGTATCACCGTCATCGCCAGTTTCAACTGCAACAACCTCAAGACCATCGGGCAGCAATAATAGCAGCAACAGTGGTAGTGGCAGTGGCACAAGCAGCAGTAGTAGCAATAGCTTAAATGCTGATCGCGCAAAACTTCTCAGCCAATTAACACACCACAAAAATCACCAAAAGTCAATTCAAAACATTAGCGCATCAAGCTTGTCAACAAACAAATCAAATCAAGCCTCATCTTCAAAATTCACGCCATCATCAAAATCAGTATTTAAAACCCCAATACTAAACAGCTCCAAAGAATCTTCTTCGTCACTGTCACCTATAGGTAGGCGCCATTTGAGACATTTTTTTAAATTAAATTATATATATTAATATTTTATATTCTATAGGTCTCAAACCATCAACATCCGAATCAGAAACATCAATCATTATTCAGAATAATATTCAACGGCCAACTCAAGCGGACACACCACGACCGTCAACGTCATTTAATCCGATTCACAGCCAGCACCCGTTCATATTTTCACCACCATTGAAACGAAATTTTCTGAAAGAAACGGAAATTCAAGAGATTCGAAGTGATGACGCAAACAAAGAAAAAGTCTATGGTCCACCAATGAGTTTTGCCCCACCCTATGCGAATTTCACAAACTTATTACCGGCGGCAATCGATCCAATGCAAATACAATTGAATCATCTGCTTCGACAACAACAGCAGCAGCAACAGCTTCAGTATTTCAATAAAATGAATAAGCAGAAAAAGCCCATTTTAGATATGAAACGGCAAAGTTTGGATACAAAATTGATGTCAAAACCATTAACTCAGCCAATACGATCATCGTCACATACAAAAAGTGAATCGGCAAAACAACAACAACAACAACAACAACAACAACAACAATCGGCTGCTTGTCCATTTTTTAATTTGTCAGCCAAATTACCAAAATCACTCACAATCACTGTAACGAATGATGGAAATGAACCAGAGCGACAATCGTTCAGTACAAAAAATAATAGCGTTGTCAATTCAATTGATATTGTTAAATTGCCTATCGAATCTGGTGAAACGAATACAACATTTGCATCACCATCCACTTCATCTCTATCTCCGTCAACATCATTGTCGGCCGATAATTCTTGGCAATCGAATAAAAATATTAACAATCAAGCCAAACAACATACGCAGCAAAATAATCAAATCGACTCAACGTCACAGTTACAACCGTCGTCTAGTTTGACCGATTCATTGTCTCAAAAGTTGGATTCATCGTTTCAAGCAAAATTTATCGATTCATTGAAAACGACGCAACCATCGAAAACAGTTGCCAATCGCTCCAATTTGAATATAATGGATGAATCTCAAAAGCGAAAAATACAACAACAACTTGATGATAAAGTGGCCAAAGTAAGAAAACTGCAACCACAACAAATGATCACACAACAAAAAGCATCGCCGACAACTCAACGACCGGTGCCCGATTTACTTATTCCAAAAGACGATAAAAAACTATCAAACAGCAGTACCAATACCACCACCACCGGTGGTAGCAGCAGCAGCAGCAGCAGCAGCGGCAGTAGCGCAACTTCAACAAATAGCACCAATCAATTAGCAAATAGTAAAAATTCACAAGATCGCAAGTCACCAACTGTATCAGCATCAAATGTATCATCGTCCGATAAATCAGCGGCTCTTTCATTGGCCGTACAGCAAGTTGCTCAAGCAAAAGTGCAGCAAGTAACCAATGACATTCCAACATCAAAGTACATGCCATTGCAAACATCATCGACACCTATCTGGGTAAATCATTGTACGCCAGATCATAAAAGACACGATATTGTACTCGCCGAGAGTTTCGGAACGCAAAGTAAAAAAAGTTCCGGAACATTTGTTGACTAATCGAAAGAAGAGAGAGAGAGAAAGAAAATTTTCTTTAAATTCTTCAGTTCTTTTTTGTAATGTGACATTTTATAAATGGACTTATACACATAAACACAAACACACACACACAGGTTGAAAGAGAAAAATTGCATTTGAATGAAACGAAAACAAAACAGTCTAAATTCAATATTGTTCCTATTTGATAAACTGAATAAGACAAAAGAAATATTGTTTGAAATTCTGCGATACACACAAACACAAAGTAAAACGATTAGATTTCTTATGTGCGCGTGCAAAAGATATCTAAACTAAATTAATCAAAATTCAAATAAAAAAAAATTAAAAAAATTATTTTGTATTTAAAACAAAATAGAAAAGAAAAACATTTTGAAAGCGACAAAACTGAACGAACATATTTTTTGTTCATTTCACGAAACAGCGCGTTCCATTAAGTTATTTAGTTAAGTAATTTATTAAACGAATTTCTTTTTGAAAAAAAAAAAAAAAAATCATTTTGATAGTGAGAAAGAGAGAGTAAGAGAGAAAGGGAGACATGTCTGCTCGAGCAGTTTTACTTTGTTTTTATAATAAAATCTTTTTTTTTTTATTTTAATAATTTTGTAATAATGAAAAGAAAAATTACATATTTTTATTTCTCTCTCTTGTTTATCATTTGCAACAAATTCATTTTCTCTTTGACTTCTCCTGTGTGTATCTCATCTCTCTTTCTTAACGGATTATGTGTATTTTTGCACAACGTGAATGTAAATATATGCATATATTTTTTTTTTGGTTGAGATCTAATTGTGAACTAATTGTAAACGAAGGACGAATTAGGTTTTTTTGCAGGCACACGAACAAATTTCAGAAAAAGAGTTGTAATGTTTTTTTTTAAATATTTTTTTGCTCACATTTTATTTCAAAACGACTGATCAAAACACGAAAGAACTCGTAAACGACAAAAAATAGGAAAAATGCGCATAATAATTTGTCGAATATTTTTAATTGAATTCGCCATTTATATATTTTGCAAGGATATTCAATTCTAAGTTTCAATCCATTGACCAATTGTTTAGCGAAAAAAAAATATCTCAAGTGAACAGGTTACGCAAGTGTAAACTACTACTAATTGATGCGAATGAAGAAGAAGAAGAAAACCCAAGACAGATTAAAACAACAAAGCTTTGTTAACATTTGAACATGTATTGCCCGCGTGTAAAAGGTTGATGTTACTCTCTTTCACTTTGGTTTGCTGTTTTGAATCAAATGTCATACTGTTGAAAAGTACCATGAGAACTAAACTCATTTCACAAGCAAGAAAGAAAGAAAAACTCCATCAAACACAAAAAACACATCATTTCACTTTGACGCTAAGCATTATTATAATTGTGTAACATTTCATTAAAAAAAATAGCAACATAAAACAATTAAATAAACCAGTGTGAAGCTAATGACACGACAATTAAATCATTTGAAGCACAGCGCATTTCTCGTGCGATGAAAAAGTCAACGTTCATTAGTCTTTGTGTATTCAAATTAACTAACATTTGATTTTCTGCATTTTTTTCACTCTGCTACCTTTACCAATATATATGTACATAAATCAGATACGGTAGCTTAAGAATCAAAACAATTGAAAATTAATAACTCAGAAAATTAAATGAAAATTCCCCTTCCTCGTTGATATCAATGATATAAAGTCCGAAATCTCCTCAATTTATAGTGGTCCTTGTTTTATATGTACTTCATTTTCGTTTCAAATCAATGTGTTGACACATTGTATCATCACGCGCTGTGTGTGTGTCAATTTTTTTTTTGTTTCTTCTCTCCTTCAGTTCGTCATCGCACATAAAGAAAATAAAATCTATCAAATTTCAAGAATTTAAGATGTTTATTAACTTAATTATAACAAATTAAATAATTTTTGCATTTTCTTTCATAGTTTATATATTTAAAAGAGCCAAGAGAAAGAAAACAATGGAAAACTATGGATGAAATTAATTATATTTAATTTTTGTTTGAAAAAAAGGGGTAATAAAAAACAGCCCAATTAAATAAAATAACAATTCCAGAAACTGAACATTTTGTTAGGGATTATTTAAACGGTGTATTAAAATGAATCATTAAAAAAAAAAAATATGTACTGAAAATTGTGAATTGAAAAGATTGAAAAGGTAGCAAACGAATCGAGTTTATCACACATTTCAGTGGATCTATTCGTGATATTGAATTACACGAAAATTTCGTGCGGCTGCATGCAACCAAATGGTTTTCGCTATATAGTTTCATTACTTTTCATGCACGCAATAAAACAAAATGAAATGAACAGAAAAAATTATTAAATCAATCAGACACACACATACACCAGAGAAGCAGTAACAAAAATCGATAACAATAATAATGATAGTACTATTAATTGTAATATTTAAATGAAAGACGATGAAAAACCGATTGCATCGCTGTGTGTGGATGCAAATAAATAATATGTAGCATCAGCAAATCGATGGATATTAAAAAAAAAAAAAGAAAAACAATTATTGGATATTGATTTTTGATGACATAATAACAAAAATGAAATGAATGTGTTTTGTATTTTTGAATAATAATACATGTATAATTGCGAAAGAAAAATTATCAAAAATTTAAATGGCCTTTTTATTTTTATTGAACGTAATTTTTTGGTTTTTCCCAATTTCATTAGGTCTCTCTCTCTTTCTACTTTTGCCATTCAATCAAATAATTAAAATTTTCCGGTGTTACGTGACTTAATTCCACCATCCAATCACAACATCTACAAGGTAGGATGCACATTTTAAGCTTGGGAATGATACATGCACAGGTTTGGATGAACGTAAAGTTAATCTCCGGTGAAGCCAATCTTTAAGAAAACAAAAATGTATGTGAGTTCGTCGTTATGTTCTCGCAACAATCATTGAAATCATTCATTAGAAAATTTCGCCGGCTGCAATAAAAAAAAAACGAGGAAAAATCCAAAAATTCACAAGAGAAAAGAAAATTAGAGAAAGAGAGTGAGAGAGAGAGAGAGAAATGGCAAGTAAATTAGTGATGAATGGTGACGAAAAATTGCTATTTAATTATTTTATGTACGACAAAGCGAAAGTTTGTTATTTCTTTGTCACATAATCACACGAAAAAGTGAAACATAAAGAAAAGAGGGCGAAAGGTGAGTTCGTGATTCTGTCATATTTGTTTATTCGCATTTTCACACAAACAATGTGACCATTGTATCAGTTCTTGAATGAGTTCGGACACAATATGTACACACAATTCTCTTGTCTCTATTCTTTCACACAGCGAACCTTACATGTGCGTCATTTCGTTTGCGTGCAATTAATATGTACCTTTTTCGATTTTGTTTGAGTAAAAATTCATTTGTGTCACTGCGTTTTGCGTGTATTTTATCTTTTTCCTCTTACTACTTACGTTGACATCATGTTTCACTTGGGCTTTACAGAACAAAATAAAAGCGCAATATCATTGTAAATTTTATTTTATTTTATTTTTTTTTGTACAAAAAAAAACTTTCATTTTATTTCTACGGATTCTGTTGTTTTTTCCAGATCGGTTACAATCTAGTAGTATATGTAAACAGTTTCTATTTCATTATAATTTTTTTCCTTCTTTTTCTGCATTGAAGTAAATTAATGAAAACATAAACACTATCTCTATCGAGCGCGAAAGAGAGGGAGAGTGTGTGAGCAACGAACGAGAAAAAAAAAACAAAAAAAAAAAACTAAAACATGTCTTTTAAAAACTACATCGAATTGTGTTTGCTGTTTTTCTGCATTTTAAAATTTTGTGTGGTACATAATATCTCATTTGATTTTTTTCTGCTAGAGAACTGTAATTAGTGAAATGAGTGCATATAAATATATTTCTCTAAAATTTATCTTTTTGGTGCTTTGGTCGCATTTATAATATTTCATTTGCCTGGGGCTTTTTTTTTGCTCTCTGAATCGATAAGGTGTTTTCATGGAAATGGGCGATTTGGAATGGAAGTACAAAAAAAACCCTACTCGATGTGTAAATGTGCAAGCACATGATTAAATTGGAAACTTCGATCAGCATATTATATTTTAGCGAGAATTTTGATTTCATGAAAACTCTTCGATGTCTGTAATGTGCGTGTGTGTGGGTACAGTACTCTCACCTTCCTTATCTCATATCTAGATATTTTCAATAAATAATAAATAAATGGGTACTAAATCAATGTATGCAACCTCCCCGTCAAATATGGAAGAAAAACAATTGTTTTGCGCGCCTCTAAAATGGCCATTGCAACTATCGATTTCATACGAAAGATGAATAAATAATAAATTAAATAAATAAATAATGTTTCTTTCGTTTTTTTTTTTTTCGCTAAATTAGAGTGAAGTGATAGACAAATTATGCATAAATTATAAATGGAATTTACATTTTTAAAAAAATATGTAATAACTGTGTGTAAATGATTTGGATCAGTAACTTAATGTGTGCGTCATAACGAATATGTTTCTTATATCTCAAAATTTGTCGAATCATCGCTCGAATGAAAATGAAAAATGAAAAGTTTTACACATAAATAGCAATGATTCGTTTTTTTTTTTTCACTCTTTTCATCTGGCGATTGCTTAGTTGGTTGTTGCAATCACAAGGAGTTTTTTCTTCGCTTTTTCATTTACAAAAATTACACAATTTCACACGAGCGTTATTTCATGTGTTGCGCGCGCGTCTCTTTCATTTGAAACGAGTGAAATAAAACAACAACAAGCATCGAGAACCTGAATTTTAACTTTAAATATCATCGTTTATTCGCTTGTTGGATAAAATGGTACGAGATAAGTCTCTTAGCATCAGAATTTGACACGATTACTCTCACATTATTCACTCACAGCGTTGTTTTTTTTCTTCTCTTTATCTTGTTTACATAAATAACTTTTACATTTTTTTTCTTCATACCGCTACTATTATTATGGCTGATTTGATAACACTGTGGTTTTTTTTCATAACTTTGTCTGTCTGTTGCTCTTATGTGCGAGCGCATCCTAAGTGAAATCCCTCAGAAATATGTGACTCTCTCTATTTCGCTCATTTATCTTATGGTTCTACCTCTCTACATAAATTTACATGTCTAAATAATCTGCATTCTATTAGAAAATTAATATTTTTTTTGTTCGTTGTTGTTCTTTCTCCGTTGTTGTCACCTTCTCTTCATTTCATTTTGTATAAATTAATAAGTTAGTTAGCCTACTTAAAATCAGCAAAGTATTACGGTAGTGTATCGATATTCTAATTCGAGTATGTGTGTGTGTGTGCGCGCGTGTGTATCTGTGTTTTGCATTTCAATTACATTGTCGCCGCGATAAGAATGTCGAGAATAGCGGTTATTGATTTTTAATTGGTCAACGATCCAAAAACAAAACTAAAAAATTTTAAATTGAAAAATATAATCAAAAACACAAATTAACTGTTTTATTTTAGTTTACGCGCACGCGCAACACTAATCGCGGTCAATAGATTATCGATTTTATATACTTAATTCTAGAAGTATAGTCAGGTTTTTTTCGATTTTTTTTTCTTCTTTAAATTAATCTTCATCATCGTCATAAAATAGGGATTCTAAACTGGTGTCAGATCGATCAGATTTATCGTCAGCCTTTGTGTTTTCGGGAGTTTCAACACTTTTCTCCGCCGATGATGGGGAAGATGGTGCCGATGTTGATGATGCTGGCGGTGGTGGTGCAACGGTACCTTTGTAGATTGGTATGAAACCACTTTGAAAATCGGGCTTAAAACTATCAAAATTAAATTTTTTCGTGGTACTTTCAACACTGGCCACCGATTCAGCCGTTTCGACACTGTCAGATCGACTGATTGACGATGACGATGACGACGACGACGACGATGATGATGATGACGATGCATTTGAATTTATAAGCGATGCACTAATACGATTACTTTTCGATTCGGTTTTTATGCCGCCAAAAGCAACGGTTGGTGGCGTTACAATTGACCAACCATTGTGTGTACTTTGGGTATTTTCCAAATTAATGCTTGGTATGAATGGTGCCTGAAATTGTTGGTTTACATTGAGATTTTCATCGTTAACTGCATTCACAAAGACGGGAGTACTGTGATGAGCTGGCGTCGGACGATATACATCCGCCAAATGAGATGGATTTGGTTCAGTTGGCGAATAAGCAATAGCTATGGGACGATCACTGTGTCGGGAATCGTAATACAAATTCAGAACAATGCATAAAGAAGAGAAAGAAAAGTTGTTTTTGATTATATTACGAGACAGATTCAAAATAAAATGTGAAAAAAAAATGAACAATATGCTACAAGCTATGAACAAGCAAGAGAATGTTGCATGCAAAGCTTGTAAGCTTTGCAATAGCAGCAGCATGAAATAAAAAAAAACACAAAGAACAAACAAACAAACAAAACAGAAAAAAAAATGAAAGAAGAAAAAGAAATAAAGTGTGTAAAGTATATTGTATTCACCTGTCTTCTTCGTCATTTTCAGCGGCAGCAATTGGGTCCTGTTGTTGTTGTTCTGATTTTTTCTCGAATTCATAAGCAGGTCGGCTGTTGAGTATGTAACGCGATTTATTCTTTTCCAATGAGTATGGTAATCCAAGTTGTTGGATTGTTGCCGGTTTATGCATTTGATCGGCCAAAATAGTGGCAATTTCACCACCGTTTCCGTGTTGCATCTGATTGAAAGCGGCCATCGATTGTTTTTCCATTGGATATACAAGATAAATTGGTTTCTCGGACTTACCATTTGCATCACTTGTTGCCGCCGCTGCCATTGATGATGATAATGATGATGGTTGTGATGCTAGAATTGGTGCTGTTACTGTTGCATTTTTATTGACTGTCGATAGACCATTCATGGCAACAATTCCACCGGTTTTTTGCAATTGTCGTTGATGTTGAATCATTTGAAGTGTTGTGACTGGTTCGACTTTGGTGGATATTTCTTTGTGGCTTTCGACAATTGGTTGTTGTTGCTGTTGTTGTTGCTGTTGTTGTTGCATTACAGAAATCAACTTGCCGTCACCATTTTCGAAATCCATATTACCATTTGTCGCTGTAACTTTCATATTTTCTTCGATACGTTGCGGTTCGACGAGTAATGCGTTCGCTCCATACGCATTCCGATTGTACAAATGGGCGATCATTGGACGTTGATCGTAAATTCGTTGATTGATATTGCCCGGATGCAATTCGAAATGACGTCGATTTTGTAGTTGATCGATTGATGGTCTGATTTGCATTGGTAATCGTTGTTGTTGCTGATGTTGTTGTTGTTGCTGCTGTTGTTGTTGTTGTTGTTGTTGTTGTTGATTGAACAAATGCTGGGCAGGCGTTTTATAGCGTAGATTTTGTGTATTATACAAGTATTGAGCGCGATTTAGTTGACCTTGACGCAATTGTTGTGCGATCTCTGGGTTAAGTGGTTGTTGTGGTGGCGTTGGTCGAAATTGTGGTAAAATATTTGGTAGTGTATAATTTTTGCGTGGATAATGAACGAAAGTGGGTTGTTTGTAAGCAAACGGTGTTTTACGAATCATTTGCGGCACATGCATACCCATATATGTTTGTGGCATGGTAATTGCTGCTTGTGGACGGAATACAACGAAATTATTTGTGGCCGGTAATGACTGTGTTTGAATGATGTGCTTGTAATTACTTGGATCGATGCCGTGATCAATAATTTCATTGCGCGTATCTTGGAATTTAACAAGTCCTTCACCGGACGGAACAACTAGTGTCATTGGGGGCGTTTGTGGTGCCTGAGGAATGGATTGTGGCACTTGATTTGTCGATGGAAATTTAATCGTATTATTATTATTATTGCTATTTGCATTTGAATTCGTTTCGGTTTGTTGGGCTGCAATCAATTTATCGGCATTTTCTCCGCCGGTATTTTCTGTGGGGAAACGTATGTTTTGTGTTTGATTTTCATCGCTGCTGACCGATTGAGCGATAACCGTATTGACAGCAGCAACTGGTTTTGGTATCGATGTTGTTGATGGCAATAAGAAACCATGTGGCCGTTGTGTTGAATGCAATCCACTTGCATACACATTAATGTCATTTTCGATATTTTTGATTTGTTGTTCTTGTGTTGAAAATTTTTCACCGCCCATCGACAGTTGGCTTGTTGTTACAAATGATGCCGTTTTTGTTCCGGGCGCAATTACAATATTATTCGAATTCAACGATGGCCCGTGGAAAGCGACATTATTCGGATGCAAAATATCGTATGCTTCGGCCGATGTTACTTGACCTTTTTGAATGAAAGTGATACCGGATTTTGTTGTTTCGTCGATTGTATTTTGCGTTGGTCGTCGATTAATTTCCACCGTGAATGGTTTTTGTTCGAAATGATTTGTGGTTTGCAATTGACCGCTGGCCAAAAATGTGGCTGAATTTGATTCGGGCAAAATAACAATGTTTTCCATGTGATTTTGTGCAGGCGGTTGAAATTGACCTTTGTATGCATTGTGATGTTGTTGATGATGATTACCAAGACCAGTTGATACCTGTCCATTTGTTACGAACGTTGCGGTATTTGTGCCGGGCGATACACGAATATTATTTACATTGACTGGTGGACGGAATTTTCCACCGTTTAATGGTGTTGATGTTGTTTTCTCACCATATTCTGCAAACGATGGAGATACCGTTGAAGCTGACACAAATCGATCGCCAATCGGTTCGTTTGTACGCGGTGTAGATGTACTATATTCCGGTGTGACTACAGTTCGATTGTTTGGTTTTCGTGTTGCCGAATCAATTGTAATATTGTAGCGATTAATGTGTGGTCGAGCGTTTTCAATTTCATTTGTGTTTGTCGACTTTGGAACATTTGTTGTTGAAATGGTTGGTCGTAATGTCATGACCGTTGTGGATGGTGTTGCTTTTGTCGACGGTCTTGTCGATTCAGTTTCATCGCTTTCATCATTGTTATTGAATATATTGAAAAAATTGAAAACATCGCTGAAATTCATGCCATCCGATTCTTCGGTGGCATTTTTCCGCTTATGTTCCGGTGCAAGAGTCGAACTAAATGTTGAAGATGTGCTTAATGGAGTAACGTATGCAGTTTCCGATACCTCGTATGGTCGAGATGTTGTTGTTGTTGTTGTCGTTGATCGACCACGTGTATATTTCCCCTCAGAATTTGGCAAACTATTACGCACCGTTGTGCTGCTCACTCTTGACAATGTTGTATAACGTCGTCCTGGTGTTGATGTTCGCGGTGGTATACTTGCATATTTTCGCGTGCCATTCGTTGTTGTCGCTGGTGGTGTTGCTTTTGTTGTACTGATGTTGCTAATGCTGCCGCTGCTGCTGCTCACTTCCGATGATGATTCAGTTGTTGTGCTAGTCTTTGACGCAAAGGATGTTGCATAAGATTTCGTTGGATAAGTGGATTTGTATTTTTTCGTTGTGTATGCCACCGATTTCATCGTTGATGAATCATATTTATGATTAGATATATAGTTCTTATTATTGCCTTGATATTTGAGATTTGCATATGAGCTTGATACAAGCGGATACACAAATTTTGATGATTGATATTTAACCGGTAAATTCAAATAGTCGTGAATATTTTGCGTTCGAATCGTATTATCCAAACTAATGTCATGCTTACGCGTACTATTTACAGCATTGGTGGAAACGACACTGGTTTGTGTACTGATCACCGCATCGGTTGGCGACGGTAATGATTCGGGTGTTGTTTTTGCATTAAAATCAATCGTTCCCGATGCATCTTTTTTTACATAAAATGGTTTGCCATCGTTGAAGATTTGCTCGGGCAAAACGTATACGCTTGATGTTAAATTGTCACGATCATTTGCAGCTGCATTCTCTTCAATTTTATTATCATAATCATACGATCCGACTTCGGCCGAAGAGCAAACCAATGCCATCGACAATGTCACAATCAAAATAGACCACATTTTGATTTTTCGTTTAAATTTTAAATTATTTGCAAGTTAATTCTTCTTCGTCTAAATTCTTCGACTTTGTTTTTTTCTTCTTCAAATTATGCTTTTTGCTCCCAAATAGTTGATAATTACCCTGTAAAAATGATATATAATTATGATACAAGAAAACAAACAAACAAAGAATTACATATTCTGGAAAGAAGAACTATACTATTACTGAATGTGAATTTGATGTTGTTGTTGGTGTTTTGCTAGTGAATTTCTTGTTTGGCGCTCTGCCATTAGAATGAATGCCAAGAGAAAATTGAAGAGAAAGAAAATATATGTCACTTGTCTAAGTGTGTGTTCTGTTTATTTTTTATTAAAACATTTTGTTCAGTTTGTATTCTTTTGCCATTAAAATGCCATCGTTTTAGTTCATCGTCGACGACGTCATCTACGAGCGGTGCTTTACGAAAATGCGTTATCTGATTTTTAAAAACATTTGTTTTGTTCTTTAAGTATGCAACGCACGATGTCGAATTTCTTTGCCTTCCACTTTTTCCAGCAAGAAAAAGCATGTTGTTAGTATTTTGTCGTTGTGTCGCTCTCTTTAAGAAGAAGTACACAAATTGTGAAAGAAAGAAAATGTTGTGTGTTATTTTTTTTTGCTGTTTGTACAATTAGGGCATGCATGTGTGTTCAATTGTTGAAAGCGACTTGATTTAGTCGAAATAAATTAAAAGCAAGACGTAAATGAAGGCACTGCATACACACATTAAGTAGCTAAAGAAATAAGTATAAACAGCACCTTGGTTAAAAGAATAACAATATTCAGTCAGGCAGAACAATAAAACAGCAATCCAATATATATATTCGTACCGAAGGAAGACATGCAACATCGAACTCTTTGGAGGTGTGTTACAAATAAGTGTATAGGGAAAAGAGAGAGCCAGAGAGAGAGAGAGAAAGAAAAAAAACATAGATATTGAATTTGACAAGAAACATATAGAATCTTGTACATATAAACACATTTTTGACATATTGAATAGCAAAATTGGCACACACTCCAAAAAAACCACACACAATGCATACGTGTGGAATGTTTTGCATTCGATTTTATGCTAAATGGTGTATCCGCATTTGGTTTGTCTATTCAAACCGCCGACGCCCAATATCAATACACACATACGCTAAAAATGCGAAGAAAGTTGAGAATGGCGCGATCGAACGCAAAAAGATCACGTAAGCGACAAACAAGAGATCGACAAAGAACACCATTTAGGGTTTCTTTGCTCACCAATCACATGGCAAATTGAAAATAGAACAAACGGTTTTTAGCCACGCAACCAAATAAATCTTTCTCTTTATCTTTTTCTCTCTCTGTATATATTTGCTCGAGATGAACGCAAACGAAATTCAAATTAAAAAAAAAAATATATGCTAAGAAATGATTTAATCAGAAATCCTTAGTCATAAATTGATCAAATTTTTCGAAACCATTTATTTAGGGCTTGTCTGTTTGCTTCATTTCATTCCGCTGACTTTATTGCTGCTGGATGTGGTGGACGAGGCTGTGACGGACGAATAGACAAACACCGTTCGTTCATAGAAAAAAAAGTGAAAAGAACACACACAGAGACACACACACATCGTACACAGCCCAAATATGTAAATTGTTGAAATAAAAAATAAAGCATTTAACCGGTTTTCACCGTATTCAGGCGTGTGCGCCAAAAGAAAAAAAAACCACACAAATCGTACATATACACATGTTCTCTGCTCTGTTCAATTTTTTTCTTCGTCTTCTTCTTCTTCTTCAATTTCATCTTATTCTTCGTGCCACGGATTTCGGATAATGAAGTAGAAAGTAATGAAATGCTCAAAGTAGAACTATGCGCACACGTCGCGTGCTAAGCAACTGCCAACAATCGAATCACTTTATAATTCGTCACATACTCCAACACTTGTCTTTTTTTTCTTTTCAATTTGTGATTCACTTTTTCTGTCCGTCTCTCTCGGCTATTTCTCTCTTGTTGTTTATTTGCTGTTATTATTGTCGCTTTTTGGTGAATTTCTATTTTGTCGATTAAAATCGATCGTTCTCCATGCAAAAGCCCGAAATGAAGCTATGCAACGATTCATGCACGAGTGCGCTAAACAAAAAGCAATACCAAAAAAACGAGCCACGATGTCCGAAAATTATTTTTGGCATTTTGAAAACAAAAGAAGAAAGAAGAATAAAAGTCGAGCCATCGTGCACGACTACGGGTATGATGACGATGCGCACATTGTTTCGCATGGTTTAAATTGCGAGAAATAGCTTCATCGGAATCGAGAATGTAACGAGCCGAACAATCAACGAACGTCAATGTTCATCGCCTACATTGCACGACCCGAAATGTGCCACATTGTGTCAATGCGCTTTTGGTACACTCACATGCCGTACTCACTACGTGTACTCTGTATATTACTTATATATACACAGAGAAAGCGGAAGAATCTTTTTCGTTTTGCGTCAATTGCTTCTTTCTTCTGTTTTAATCAATGTCTTTCTTCGTCGAGTCTCGTCATCGAATCTATATATAATTGTTGTTGCTGTTTTTATTTCTCATTTCTTATGTTCGTTGGCATTTGTTTGTGCCGTGCAGTGTGTGTTCGACATTTTCTATTTCATTTGTTGTTGTGCTTTTTTTTTTTTGAATTGAACTGTCTTGGTTCTTCCATTCATTCATTTAATTTTCAAACGGTTGAGTTCGTGTACTCATGTACGATTGATATTGTCATCGTCATCTTCGTCATTGTCGTCGTTGTTTATCATATCTTCGGCAGCATGGCATACTCGCATACCATTGTCTCTCTTACGCTGACTCAATTTGAAAGCGATTATATTTTGCATTTGCGCGTTCCGATTTATTCAGTTTTTTTTTTGTTTTCATTTCATTGCACGCTTGTCTCCCTTAATATATCTACATAAATCGAAATATATATTGAATTTTATATTTGATTTGTCGATTTTTACGCAAGACGCACGCACAAACTCATTTAAATAAAATGAAAGCATGCAAAAATTGACCATTGAACCTCACGAGAGAGCACAACAAAAACATATGGAACAATTGTAAAAACAAAAGCGTAAAAAAAGGAGAATAGCGTCTCAAAGATTCGTTAGTCAGTCAATGTGGCGGTTATGTATTGATTTTCTTTTCATATTATTATATTTTAAATTGATCGTAAAATAAGATGCGATCTCGTCGAAACACACGAACCAAATCATCGTGATTGACCACAAACAAATTATGAGAACGAAAGAGAAAAAAAAGAAGAGCCAACAAAAATGCAAGCAAATAAAAAATCAATAATTTTTCTTTCAATCATTTTCATAATAATTAAATGTTATATGGAATATCCATCGATTTGTGGAATTTTCATTTTATTAATTCGAAATGCAAAAGAAATGAATCCAACAACAACAAAAAACCGCACACACTCACTAAAAGCACAACGATAAAAATCATTTAAAATCAATTAATCGTGACTCATGCTAATCTTTCGTTGCTTTACTAGTAATAAATCGTATCGATTTTCACTTATAAAACACATCGAAAAATTCCAGCTAACAAGAAACCGAATTGGTAGCGCGCGAGCGCCCAAGCCAATAACAACAACAATAACAACATCAAATCGACGAAATATATATATTTATGATGAATGAAGAATCAAATGAAATAGAAGTAGCAACAGCAGCGATAAGGTTTTTGTTTCAAGTTACTTACGTGTGAGCAAGAGAAATATTTTCGAAAGAAAGCAACCACCAAGATTATTCATGTATGCACATGAAATCATCAACAAGTAGCGGCGGCGTCGGTGGCGGCGATGGCAGCAAACAGCAACGAAAAATACTCTGTCCGATTGGAATTTCTTTAAACTTGACCTGCTTTTTACGGTTTGGCTCCTACAACAGCGAAATGTACATTTCAAACTAAAAGACGCAGCTTCACGACCAAAACCAGCATGGGCAGATATAACAGTATACGAACGAATGTTTATGCGCACGCGCAACACCCGAAAGAAAACAAATTAAAACAACGGGAGAATTTGAACAATAATAAACAGAAAATAAAATCGTTTATATTTTTTCGGAGCCGAAAATGAGCACTTTTAAAACTGGAAATGCATCGAATTTCGTATGCGTTGATTTTTTTCCTCTCGCTTCTTCTTCTTCGTTCACACAAAACACATGGGAAATGTAATGAAAAGGTTCAATGCGTCGTCTTTCGTTTCACCGAACATATGAAATTCTTTTGTATTTGTTCTACTTCTTCTTCGACTCGAATTTTAACCATAGAAATTTCGATGAAGATTTTTTTCTCTTATGTATACAACTAATTTGAATTTTTGATTGTTCTTACACGATGCGACACATTAAAAAAAAAAGCTCCTGCTGACCGATGCAACAGCTCTTTCACAGAACCAATTTCAAAAATTTACCGTTAAATCTGTTCGATTATCGTTAAAAGAACGTTTTTCCGTTTGTTGTTCACAATGAAAAACAAAATAACCGCCCGGACCGAACCTTTATCGACCAAGTCAGATTTTATCAGTCTTTATTCCACGTGTCAGTGCACACACGATTGTCTTTAGGGGAATAAGTATGAATTCCTTGTAAACTGTGTTTTAAATCACAATAATCATAAAAGCACTTGATGCAATTTGCACACGATATTTAAATCGAATTTAACTTTGTAAACCGATTTATGCCAAAGGGAAAATTGTACACTGAATTTTCTCTTTTCGACTTAGCGCGGTCGCGTTATAAATTAGTGTATTTTTTTTTAAAAAACTTTTCGGCGATTGAATGTAACCAGAAAAATGTTCTCTTCAGCTCTCTTCGATCTGAATGTGTCTCGTCTCAGCAATCGACTAACAATCTGAATTTTTCGTTCGTTGCCTATAATCACAACGATTCTTGAGTGAGTGATTTTTTTTTTCGTTTCGTTTCGTTTCGAACAATTGGGCACTCCCGTGACTCCACATATGCACGTATGGCGTTTGTGTGGTGTGGTTCTTCTTACTAGTTTTGCTACTACGGTTTCTTTTCTCATGCACTCTCTTCTCGAATGACGAGTGTATTTGTATGTCTGCACACGAGCGAACTGTACTCGTTGACTTTCGTTAACCAACTAATATCGTTTTCTTTCTCTTATTGTTATTATATTTCGGAATGTGCGTGCGCGCGGAGCACTAGGAGAGTAAACGGCTATGGCGCTCAACGGTGATTTGTGTACACCATGGTTTTCTTCTTCTTTTATTTCACCTTCGTGACACACTGACAAAATATCGCATCGTGGTGCGCACATACTGGTGACTTTATGTTTTTTTTTTCCTTCGACCGGCGGTGGCGTCAGCGGTGACTGCAATAGCTTTAAGATAATACAAACGACTTATTACAATAACATTCACTCTTCACATTTTGATTTCAACATCTCAAAAATATCTCTTGCACTTGAAATGATCACAATTTACGCCTGCTAAATGGTTGCGTAAATACTATATTCAATTTGGCCAAACTAGAAATCTTCCAAAATGAATGCTCAACAAAAGTACACACTTTTTGTTTCATATACCAAATTTACAAGTGAAAAAAAGATGATTGACACGAAAAATGTGAATTTTGTCACTTCACGGTGCACATCGAAAAATGTGGCACATATTCCAAATAAGATCCTACTTGGCATTTGACGCACGCAATCACATAACACCTTCACTTGTTTTATTTTTCCCGGTCCATCGATGACTAATTTACTACTTCTCGCGAATTTTTTTTTTCTTTCAACGCTGAATCATCATTTTAACATTTATATGGAGTAATTTTATTTTAAATAAATTATTTTTAATTTTTCCCCTTCAATTTGATTGATGATTGATTTCATCGACACAATAGACATAAATAATAAATGAGACGTCAAATTAGACAGATATTTTCACCTTTTTAAACAATAAAACAAAACTATAAAAGTAAGAACATTTTCTTCGATTTTATTTTAAATTTCATTTCTAATTCAATCGCAAATGATTGTTTTTAATACAAAAAAAGAGCCGAAGATAATAAGAGATATGCAATTAAATATGAAAAATCTCCCATAAAAGCAAGAAGAAATGTGCATTTCTTGACTAATGGGCACTATTTTTTCTCTCTTTCTCACACTCATCGAGCAAAATATTTAACGACCAAAAGAATTTAGAAGAAAGTTTCAGTTATGTGAACGTCATAAATCATGAGTTTGATCTTGAATGAACAGGTAAATGAAATGAATGTGGTAAGCTTGAATTCAACCGGTTGAAGCTTTGTCAAAATAAACCGTTATTCTTTCACAATCATTAAAAAAAGACGTAATCTTTAGTTGATGGCTTCTACTTGAAGCTTTCAGAGGTTTGACAAAAGTTTGCACAAGAGAAAGCCAAACGATTTGAACTTCTTTTAGACAATTTTAAAAAATAATATCAAGCTTCATGATGAAGTATAGTTTTGGGCGTGATTGTTAAATTCACTTTGATAGCGCTTGCCCGACGAGAAAAACGAACATTTAAATTGATAAAGCTAACGATACTCAAACTTTTAACCTGATATTGATTATTTAAAAATTAAAACGAAACTTTTTATGATCAGATTTTTTTTAAGCTAAGCTTTGAAAACAAAAAAACAAATTACAAAAAGATGGAAATACCACTTAATTTTTGATGGTAATAACCACTTTGCAAGTCTCTATACACAAATAATTGCTAATTCAGGAGCCATATGATTAATATCGCAATTTTGTGATAACCGTCTTCAATCATGTTCATTGGATCAATTATTCAAAAAAAAAAAAAAATCGAATAGACGAAAACTATGATCATAAACATTTAATATTATAATATAAGTTATTTATTGATGTAATATGTGTATAAACATGTTACAATCGTTTTTGTTGATGTTAAATTTCTATCATGAACCGACGAAAAGATATACGTGTACCGGAACTTGATTTTCCTTGAAATTTTTTCCTTGTGTGTCAAATATTTTTTTTTTTTTTAATAAAAAATATGAAAAGTGAATGTAAAAAGTCTTGGTTTCATAAAATCGGAGGTGCGTTATATGCATTTATTTTTCATGTGAGTTAATCATATGATTTGTTATTCATGCATTTGTGGTTAATCTCATTGCATCTTGGCGCTATCAAAGAATATCGGTCTCATAGTCAAATTCTTTGGTAAAAAAATAAAACAAACACATTTGGTATTTATTAATCAATTATCCCCTTCGCAAGCACAACAATCAATTAAAAGCGATCGTATGAGTTGTGGCAATCGCTCACAGCTGCCAGGTGAAATTGGAAATGGAAGAAAAACCAATTTTTATTTTTGGTTTGGCAAAACGGCACAGCAAACATAAATTTCAAATCGGTACAATTTTTCTAAAACACATTAAACAAAAGAGAGAAGAAACGAAAGAAAGAGAAGAATATCACATCTTATCGGCGCGCACACACAACTCGCTATTCAGACTGAAACGAAAACCGCAAACGAAATGAAATCATATGCATACTAATTTCAAGTGCAGAAACTAAACAAAAAAAAACAACAAACCGATTTTTTTTCACAGAAAAAAACGAAAGAAAACGTAATATGTTTGAATGCAATTCAGTGCATCAGTTGCAATTGTAATGCGCATTTTCTTCTCGCCGATTCGTCTCTATCGTCGTCATTATCATCATTTCGTTTGATAACTTAACCGAGAAGAAGCAGAAATCAAATTGGTGGCAAAAACCAATCTACATGAAGGTGTGTGTGTGTGTTTTGTCTGGTGAACATGAGTGTACACTTGGCAATAGATAAATATCTTGAGAGTGCTTGATTATTTCGATTAACATGGCGAGCACATAGGTGTGAGACGCGGCCAAAGACGAATGTGCGCACGCGTGCATCGATTAAATTGAGATGATGAGTTGTATTGCAATTACACCATTTTGTTTGTGGCATACAGAGATAAATGTATAACAATCGCCATTGGCAGCCAAAAAGTGCGCCGATATAATCGAAGCACCAAAATCATCAACATTAGCCAAGCGTACAACGATGTAGTACATTTTCATTTTGTTTTCGGTCTCGTTCACTCAATTCACAATTTATGCAATTTGTCTTCTAGCCACTGTGCTCCCTTTTTTCATATTGCTTCTGCTGTTGCTGCTGCTGCTATTGTGACGGCCGTACTGTGTTAGAAAACCGCAGTGAATCTGTGCAACACAAATCTTTCTCACTTAAAAATCTGCATTGCTTTGCTAAATAACCAAATTCATCATGTTCTCAGATGGTTTTTTTTATTGTTTACAAAATGCAACATGTTGTTCAAATTGCCTGAATTTACATATTACGAATTTCTATTTCGTTGCCTGTGTTCGACACAATTTTTTTTTCACTTGTTTTATCGCGATTTTACCGAAGAAACTCCAATTTTCGATTATACATATAGAATGAATTTCGAAAGTCACGTTTAAATCGGCATTGATCACTTTTTCTCGAAATGTAATGCATGTGACAGTGTTTGCGATGTTCTTGATTTGCATTTCATAATGAATATGGGTTAAAACATTACATTTCGCCATTGATGCATGTTACGTGTAGAACAAGCGATATTAAATGATTAGCTTTTAAATTGAAAGCAATGACTTCGATTGTATGGGTAAAAAAAACATTGAAGAAATTGTTGTTGTTGTCTTCAATTTGAAATCTATAGAAGCCCGTAATCAATTCCCATTCAGTTGGATTTTATGTCTCTTTCTATTTCATGTTGTTTGCATCTGTGCTGTTTATTTGTGTATGAGTGTTTTCCAAATGCCCATTTATTTGGTGCGTGTGGTAGACTGTGTAGCGATTTTAGTGTTGTGTCGAGAACAAGATGTGCGCATGATACAAACGATACAGTAAATTTTTGCCATGCTCTAAATCCAAATTAAATTGTTTCATTGGTGTGCTTTTTTCTTTCTTTCTTTCTATATGGTTGGATTCTATTTTGCATCTTTTTGTTTCGAGAGCAACCACAGCAGCAGAATGAGCGAAAAAAAGCGTCCATTTATTTTATTAGTTCGGTTTCTTTCTCAATTTTTTTTTTTTCGTGTTTGAATGGGTCTGATCATAACGCGTATTGTGTATATATATTTTCATGGCACACATTAAATGAATGTTGATGCACACCGCATGTATGTGTATGTGCGCACGCTTAAGTCGTGTGTGGATGCACGAATGCGTCTCCTATCAATCGCAACGATAACACACAATTGAAATTGAGATCTTAATTATAAATGTTGGGTACGCATGCGCGTGTGCAATGCACATTTTCAACAAAAACTCGTTTATTTATGGGCATGTTTTGGCCACCTTTTTTTTCGTTTGTATCAATTGGAATTCAATTCAAATTTTTTTCGAATGAAAAATATGTATTCGGAATTTTGCTTTTCCCTATCGTTGAATATCCGTTATACTTTTATCACTTTGATGTGTGTTGGATTGGGTGTATGCTTTTTTCCATTTTTATCCAAACTGAAGTGAATTTTCCATTGATGAAAATCGGAAATCGTTCTTCCCACTCAACCATTGATGAAATCACCGGTAAATTGTTCAATTTTATTGCGTACTTTCCATTTTTTTGTTTCATTTCCAAAAAAATATTTCTAATGGTACTGGATTTTTACCCATCTGTTTCGATGACATTGTTTTAGTTTCATTTCAAATCAAATAAGACTCTTTCGTTCGTTCATCCAACGAACTTAAACAATTGAATGTCTTTATTATGGATGTACGCCATTGTTAAAAATACAATTTATTTTGCGTTTAGAAATCAGAGCTATGCGGCGCACATCTGCATTTATTCTGGTGTTCTGGTTCTTTGGCGTGTCTGTATCGATGGTATAAACAACACACATTAGACATGAAACATCGTAATCTCTGCTATTTACTCAAAGAATATTAATTACAATGTATTACGCCGCATTATACTTATGTGCAAAAAAAAATAGAAGAATTAAAAGAAACACTCCAAATCGGCACGATAAATGAAAAGAACTTCCCATAACGCACTCCAACCTAAATGATATACTCACATACGAACAATGAAAGAAAGTCATAGTCGCATTCCGGTGTCTCTTCAGCGTGGTGTTTCTCTCTTTCTCGCTTGATGTTCAAGTGAAATTGGCATATTTATATTATTTTTCTCTTAATTTTACTACCGTCTATTTCGTTCAGTTTTGATATGTTAATTCGCATTGGCAAATGCTTCTGCCGTTGACGGCATCAACATTTCATAGAGTACATTTATTTCGCATACATGCACATCCAAAGTTCAACCAACTTTTATCATCGTTTCAATACCAGCCATTAACTTCAATGGCAACAAAGCAAGTGTTCATCATTACACTATATTGATAGGCGAATACATCGTTTCCAACCGAATGAAAAATATTGCTATGATTGGCATTTATTATTATTATTTGTTTTGTTTATAAGACACACAGAAGATTACAGTTATTGTCGCTATTGTCTGTAATTCAGTTAATAAGATGTGCGTGCAATATGAATACATGTGAAATGACACACTGAACACCGATCGCGCATGATCGTGATGTGACGCAAATGACTTCGATTTCGTTCCTATGATGCGAAAGAACAACGCAATCAACGATTATGTTGTACCGCGACCATTGTAGTTGTGATTGACGAAGGTTCGTTTTTTATACTATCGTACAAGTCTTTTCTTCTCATCTTCTATGATTGCGTGTCTGTTCATTTTATAATTTAATTTTTGCAAAGTAATATGCGCACCTTGCAGCTATCAACGAAATTCTTTCAAAAAAAAAACACCATTCAAGGCATTCTGGAGAATCGAGCCACAAACACAGTTTTGCCCTATTCTTATTCTATTCCTTTTTGAGACAATTCAGTTGTTCCATTAGTCAAATCATCAATGAAACTGAATGAAAAGTCAAAAAAGCGAATCTGACATTGAAAAAAAAATGCACAGATTATACAAAAGTAACACACATTTTTTTATATTCGACTTTTTTTCATCTCTCTGTTTTACTAGTTTGTATCACAGGAAGAATTGGCTGTATAAAGATTTTCAAGTGTCATTATGTATGCTACTCGTTTTACGGTTACTTAGTCGTTTTATTTCTGGATTTGTGTAGTTACAGCTGCGATGGCTGGCTGCTGTTGCTTGTCTTATTTGCTTGCAGTAAATTTATCTTCACTCTTCTTGTAGAAAAAATGCCGTACTTGCCACTAAAATGGATGTATTAATGACAATGACATTGTTTACCTTATTTTTTTCTCTCTTTTCATTTTTTACCTTGTTCTCGCTCATCGTTTCGTCTTCATGAGTTTTAAGCAAACGCTCTTGCTCATTCTTTTGTGCGGAAAAATTGTTTTATAGTTTCAGTGGTTATATGTCGGTAAATTGTATATTGAAATGTCAGAGTAAAAATGCTTTCAAAGAAATTGCGGCTTTTCGAAACATATTGTCTCATCATCAAATTGTAATAATCGATGTACTGAATTTTTGTTACAATAAATGCATGTGAAAAAGAAAGCACAAAACACATTTCCGTTATGCGATTCAAATAGACACTAAAGAAAGAAAGAGAGAGAGAGAGAGAGAGAGAGAGAGACCTCTCACACTAGTGAGAGTTATTGTTGTGCCAAAAGTGTTTAAGAATCCATGTTTTTTTGACAGATAGATTAAGTACACTCACTTCCTTGCTATTTGCTGTTTGTTTTCTTCAGCCAAAGCCATTTTTTTGGAAAAAAGAAGATGTTTTCGGGTTTTGAATAACAAATGAAATTCGATTTAGTTGAAAATAACTTTTTCTTCATTTAAAATGTATTTTAAGCGCATGTTCCATATTAATCAATTGAAAAAAACAACAACAAAAAATGTTTGCCTTCATCGATCAGCTTTGGGTGCAATGACTTGATTCGCACCACAGAGAACAAGGCATGAGCCTGACTTTGAATACGATCGGTTCAATATTCGCCACTAATTCCGGTCAATTTCCCTTTTCATAAATAATTCGGTCAACCAGATACGAGTTGGTATTTTGTCTATGCTGATTATGCATTATTCAAGTGCCTCGATGGCCTGGCCCAAGCCAAGCACAACGCTACCAACTACAATGATAGCGACGACGATGACGCCGACTTTATCGCAGAAAACCTATGTCAAAGAGTTGTAGATTACTGCTAGGCGTTGTTTGAATCATAAAATATTTATCACATTCGATCGCATCAATTAAAAATCGCGATCAAAATTGTTGATTTTCATATTATTAATAAACAAAAACCAAATCAATTCGTTCGAGAGTTTCAATTACTTTCACACGTAAACGACAACATCAATTGAATTATCAATGAATTAAATGCGAGCCTTTGCGAAGCTATGTTGTCTCATTTGAAATTCATTATGTGTGTTGTTGTGAACGAGAAAATAAAAAAAATCACATAGACACACACCGAATTTTCGGCCAAAATGAGAGTGAATGAATTCTGTTTGAAATCATTTCTGATTTGCATTCTAATACGATGAGTAAGTGGCGAAAAGAAAATGTTTCTGGCACGCATATGCGTTAAACTCGTTTATGATGATGTGCTTTTGCTTATTTTTCTCTTTTTCAAATGTAAAAATTTCGACTGTGTTTCAGAAAAACTGCGTTAATCGCTATGATTGACGTTCGTACCAGCGAAATTATTTTAATTAGTTCCAGTTGTCGTTGCTTTGGGTGCTTGTGAATTATTTTCTTCTATTACATGGCATTTTTTTAACTCGCGCAAACGATGGCCACTATCGAATATCGATCAAGTGAAATCCGGCAATTATGACGTTCGAAGAACACCAGCAGCCGGCCAATAATCGGCACGTAGTCTCATTTTTTCTCTCTCTATTTCCATCTCGCTCGCCTACTCTCTAATGCATTTTGGAGCGCATGTATGGCACGCAAAAGAATTAAAAACAAACTCACGCGCGCACTTAATCCGTCCAGCCTTTTGAAAAGTCTCAAATACACACAATATTTTATAGCATATAGTGTATATATTGAAAAGCAAACACAATTTCGCTTTTAATAATTTGGATCGAAAACAATGAGAGTTTTGTGTTTAATTGGACACACGTTTTATTGTCTTCGGCTACTAGTTTTTACTTATTTTCATTCGAATGAAAAAAATTTCTCTATTTTGCCGCCTGCTTTGAAATGTAATCAACCCAAAATTACATCCACTTGTTATTGCTTTATCGCCACGATTTCCATCGGTGGTAATTCTATCAATATCGATTTCATTTGATATTTTATCAGAATGGGCAGAGCAAGAGCGAAATAGTATGAGCTATCGATAAGGGCACCATAAAAAGGGCCCATAAAAATCTCACCAGAAAACGAAAGCGACCGATTTTGATATTAATGTTTCAACGGCGTATTATTTTATGTGGAATTTCGCATCCGATTCATATTTTATTCGATTTCAAACAAACACTTTTGCTTCAAGTCATTATTGTACGATTTGCTCAGAGAGATAAATCATCTAGATGGACTTAAGATCGAATGAAAAAATCGGTTGCCAGCATCTTTACTACTCAATGCACATACACCGATTTGATTAGTTTGTTGCCTTTAAGCACTTTTATTTCTTTCGGGAAAATGCAATAAACTTCAAATGAAAATGCTTGCATTTTCAAATGTACAATGCACTCACAGCCCATGAAGAGAAATACTTTCGTTCCTTTCTGAATTAAGAAATAGCTCGTGTCATTTTCTTGAAAAACTTCCAAAAACTTAAGTCATACAAAAAATGATCAATATTTTAAGTTGAAAAAAAAGAAACAGTTCCAAATAAGATTTTATGAGATCAAAATGTGAATCTTAAATTCCTCCCCAATGAAAAATAATAATAATAGAAATTATCCGAAAATATTGAACAAAAATGATCAAGGGGGTCGTGAGCCAACTCGAGAGATGCATTGAAAAGAAGAAGAAAATGCAGTGCCATCAATTTGTGATGCCAATAATAATAACAACATCACATTCGCAAACACGTCGTCGTGTCTTTTAAATAAATGGAGTTCATGTATAAAGTGATGCGATCTGTATGGAATCATGCGCAAAATGATTAAAAACGTTGCGTTTGCCGTTTGTTTTGGTATAGCGATTTGCGGGCATATCTCTCTCTCTCCCGCGTATGGTACGCTGTGTTGGCTTCGGTTGCTCTGTTGTTTCGTTACCGCGGCTGGGCTGGCATTGCCAATGAAACAAGCCACGAGCAATCGCTCAAAGTCTTCAGTCAATTGTAAACTGTTGAATGATAAAGACATAGAGGCTCGAGCCAGCAACACGTTATCGTTTCGTCCAATGTAAAAAAAAAATAATTTGAAAATAAACATATTTTTTTTGTTCGTGTGAATTTTTTGGTTTTCATTCATTTATTATCATCATCCATTTCGAGTGTTTCAAACAAAAATAAAAATAGTAAGTTTGCCGAATTTTTTTTAGTTCGACATTCAGAGAAGTTAACAAGTTCTAAAATACATAGTGTCCAATTAAATAGAAACGAAAACAAAAAAAAAACGAAACAAATTTCAAATCAAATTCGATACAAAAAAAGAACGAAACATAAAAAAGAGAAGGAAATTAATCAGCGATATTCAAAGTATGTGAGTGACTTCGGTATCGAATTGTGTCTATTTTATCGATTAAAGAGACAGATCGAGAGAGAGAGAGAGAATGAAAAAAGCAAACAGTTTATGAACAAAATAAATAGAATGAAATACGGTTTGGAAGAGTTGTTCATTTGAAATAGCAAAAAAAAAGAAGAAAAAAAAACACATACACACACCACGTATTAAAGACACAGGAGAGAGAAAAACTGCTCCAGAAACGCATAATTGAGCACGGACTCATGCTATTTACTCTGTGTGGAGAAACAAAAACATATACAGTGACTTTATTGTGAACTAGTTTTGCGATTGGATTCTGTTTCTTGGCAGTTTTGGTTTATATGTTCTTTTTTTTTCACTTTGTAAATTGTTTTATTCGTGTGTCTTACTAATAGCAATTCAATTTGGAATATAACTGTGCACTCTGGCCAGACAACAAACTCACACAAACACACCAAAACAACACTTTTCGCATCAAAATTAATTGCGGCGCAGCGCAAGTTTGTTGAAATTGATTTTCAATCAATTGTGTGAATGACTTTTTCTTCATTTAAATTTGATTTCAGACGCTAAATAGCCGAAGCGCAATCACCAACATTAAATGGTGGTTCCTTTTTTATTTTGAATCGATTATGACTTGTTTTTTACACTTTGAATTGAACCGCTATTTTTGCACCTCACCACAATTATTTTGTAAATTCCAAGAAATGAATCAATGGAAGTTCACCAGCCCATGAACCGTTATTCAAATAAGTTCAATGCGCATTTTCGAACTTTAATGTTTTTTTTTTGTTTTTTTCATTTTGCTTCAAATATTTTACTTTTGATAAGAGTTTTACATTAAATTGAATGCAAATGAACTGAAAAAACCAAAAATGTAAAAAACAAAACTCCGACGAAGTCTGCTAATTCTAGATTTCAAAAGAGAAATGGATTCATTTCTGGCTGCGGTGTTTTTCTAGTCATTTATTCGTTTGCATCAACCGCAGATCTTTCACAGAAGATGCACTCAACCCAATTTGAGCTATAGTATAAGCTGAAAAAATATGCGTGCAAATTGCATTAAGTCTTCATTACATTCAGTCACATGTATTTGCTCTATACATAGCTCACATTATCCCAACGGTTACAAATTTGTTCCAATTGTGTGAGAGATATAGTGTGTGTTTTTGCTCGAAAAAGGTGTGCGCATTGATATTTCCATTTACGCTTCATACACATAAGATAGTGCGTGCATGTCTGATGGACTACAATCGAATTGTGCGAATACATTTTAATGCATTTTCTTATTTCTTTGTCGCCGTCGGGTTGTCACCGACAAGAATTTACCTATTTTTTCCCTCAGGTGCTACATTCTCTTGTTGCCATCATCATCACCATCATCTTTCAATGCATGCCAATTTTTATTTTCATCATTATGAATTTAGTTGGCCATACGAGTAATACAACTGACACAGCACACTCCACAGACACTAACAACACACACTCACTAACACGCGCACACTAACAATAAGTTCAATTGATTCATAAAAAAAAGATATCCAAGATGATCATCCGGTAAATCGTTTATGTGTCACGTTCTTATTTACAGGTTCTCTTCTCTTTCTCTCTCGCACGTTGCAGTTATTGCATTTGGCGGTTCGGTCAGTGACGGCAATGTTTGTTCGCATTTGAAAGGCGCTTGAGAAAGAGAGGCCATTCAGCGTGTTCGATTCTTATTCTGATTCTTATTTTGTTGCTATTTTTAGTGCAGTAAACATTTGTTTGTTCGTTCGATCGTTCGATCGTTTTAATATTCATTTGAATTAAGAAATAGTGACCGGTATAGTATTTGTGAATCGGATGTGTATTGAAGTGCATAATATATTTGAGTGTGTGTGTGTTGTGGTTTTTACATTAAATGCAGGTCAATACGCATGCAATGAGAGGAATAATCACCAAGTGGTGATTCGATAGTAGTATTTCGTCGTCATTGCGCCCAAGAAGCATCTTCGTTTTCTTGAATACAACGCATTACACTGTTGCAAATTAGCGCACGCGTACGCGCACAATTCTTCTTAAATCGGGAATAAAGAAAATAGTTCGGATATATGCACACATATACATATTTATTTAACATTTGTAGCTTAACATCAGCACTTACAGCATGGAAAAACAGAAAATATACATGATTCGGTCTGTTTTTTTCTCTTTCTTTTTAATATATACATATGTTGTTGTTGTTTTTTTGTTTATAGTATTCCGTTTGTGTGCTCAATGTGTAATGGTGACTAGTGACGAGTAAAATCGTACAAAATTACAGTCACTATGCAATGAAAACGGTTTTATTGCATACATTGGCACAAAAATGGGTAATCAAGCAATTCCGCAAAGTGCACATCATGACACATTAAAATACACACTCACTTGCTTCATTCACTCTTCTGGTGAGTGCGTATCACAATGTACAATGTACATATATGTAATTTTACCTTAGTGACGATGGACGATGGTTTTTCATCTACGATTCGGATCACATGGTTTGTTTTCGCAACAAAAAAAAACAAACGATGACAAAATGCACGACAAAAAAAGAAATTAACAATTTGTTAATTATTTGTATTCGATCTGAAACTTAAAAAAAATGTATTATCGTGTGTGTTGGGCGATTCGATAACTGTTATTCAATTAGTATTGCATCGATGCATTTTCGATCAGTTCTCCGAAGCAATTTCGATAGAAAAAACTTGATTTTTTTTGAATAGGATAAAAAGTGCGCTTAAAAAAGTCTTCACATATCACCTCAACATGAAAAAGATCATGGGCCATAAAAAAAATGTACGTTTGCAATAACGGTCGAGAAATGGAAAAAACGAATTCCGCGGTTTCTACCGACACTTTTTTCGGTGCACAAGAATTGATTTGTAAAATGCCTGCTTTTTGTTCCATTGATTTCTAAAGAGCAAAGAACCTCTTATACATTCAAAATTCACTAAAGTCAATGCTACGCAATATTGACTGTAGCTTGTGCTCATATGCTCGTGTGCTGTTTCATTTTTTCCGAATTCAAAAAGAAAAAAAAATCCATCTGGTGCAATTGAAATAGGTGAATTCAAAACTAGAAAAGAACCATAAAAATATGCGACCCAGCAAACGAATGAATAGAAGAGAAGAAAAAAAAATACACCCGTGAAATGAATGCAAACGAGCTTTTTTGAAATCATACGCAATTTTTTACTGGGAGTATGTGCGCATTTGCAATCATCGACAAAATGCACGAAAAATTGTTTATTTGTGTTTTTTATTTTATGAGAGTAAGATATTCGACAGAGCGAGAAAAAGAGAAAGAGATAAAAGCGGGCATTAAGAGAAAAACACCAAGCCCAGACATCTAGGCAACTGTTGAAATAGCGACCGTTCGCGTCGACATATTCAAATTGTATGGTAGTTTCATGAGAAAATTACAGCATTTGATCCATATTCTATCGCACTGTCGAGAAAAAATATGAACACACTGAACAAAAAAAACGACTATGCACCCACAATGTACACATGATATAAGAGCAATAAATGTTTCGTGCAGCAAAAGAGAAACAACACCGACGAATCTCATTCGCTTGAATTACGGAAATAACTTACGTTAAATATGTTTGACAATGGCATTTCGGCAAACATTTGTACGATCAATGTTTTCTCTTTGTCTTGATCGATCGACTGCAAAAAAATCAATCTGCAATTTCTTTTGAGCCAAACCAATAAATGCAATCGAGCAAAAAAAAGAAGACAGAAAACGAGAAAAAAGCAAATTCCAACAAAAATGATGTTTATCGCTTATTTTCTTCTTTTATTTAATTATTTTGATAAATTTTCTCTCACTTCTCAAGCACTTCTCAAATCATCATCAAATCGTATTAAATGTAGAAAGAATGATAAATATTTTTGTTTTGCTATTTTGTCTAGTTTGTGCAATGTGAATAAAGCAATTAAAAAAATTGCGTGTAATTTTGATTTCAAATTCAACAACAACAAAAAAAAGGCAGTCGAACAGACAAAGAAATATTGCACTAAATTTTCATCGATGCGATTCATGTTTTGTGCGCGTGTCCGTTCTGTCTCGCTCTCAGGCTGCACACACATGAAAGAAATGAAAATGGTTGCATGTAGAAAAAAGAGAGATTTTAAGTTGTGAAATCAATTTTGGTGGCTCACTGACCAGCTGATTAGTGTGATTTTCTTCCGATAAAACGATAAAAAAAATTTCGGTCGACCGAATGGTGATGATAAAATTAATTAGGTGTTCCGCATTTGTAATTCACTTCAAATGGTGACGAAATAGCCAAGAAAATACGCACTGTTGCCTAAAATGAAAATGAAAGGTAAATCAAAGGCACCGAAGAATGTGCTGTAATCACTGAACTGTGCAAGTGCGTCTGGAGTTTTGATTTAAATCACTTCATCAATTGCGGTCGAATCACAGCTGGTAAAGTGGCGTCGTCAATAAAAAATTAAAAAATAAATATATAAAACGAAACGAGATTTAGTCAATTTTCTTGATGAACAACAACGAAAACTAAAATATTTCACTTCTGCCGTGCAAAAAAAAATAGTATGGCGATTATATTTTTTTTCCTTTTCTTCTTATTTCTCGAAAATACTTGCCACTTGGTTGGTTTTTTTTCTTTTTTTTTTTGTTTAATTTGTGAAGATTGTTGTTGTTTTGGTTATAGAAAGAAAGGCCGAGAATGAAATGTTTATTTTTTTCAACAAACTAAACTCGAAAACTTGCAATTGTTCAATTGAATTGACTGTAAAAAAAAGTTTTTCCTCGGTTTTCATTCGTTTAACATTTCTTTTCAATGTTTCTTGTTTTCTTCTTCATCTGCTTCATTTCATGTTGGCGAAAAGTGGATGTTTATCTCTCGCTATATCTTAAAATCGACAAATGATGTCAATAAATGAGTAAAAATTGCATGAGGAGTGCGATGTGATTGAAAGAGATTTGATTGCGCACACGTTCATACCAAATCATTATCATTAGCGATTGTGTGCTGAGCAATAGTATTTTTTGCTAGCACATTATTGTGCATTTTTAATCAAAAAGGGTCACTTACCTTGCACAATCAATTCGGTTTGCTTCAGTGATAATTTTTGTTTCTTTATAAATTTCATTTCAAATCGCATAAACGATTTTCCAACGAAAATTATGAGCCGCCTGATGATGATGATTGGTGTTGATTTCGGGCTGGCGTTAAATCATAAAAAAAGCAAAAATAACAAATGAAAAATTGCATTATGTGCGCGATTATGTGAGCTCAGCAAATCTCTGCTAAATGATAAAAGTGTTATTAAAAAAATGGTGCAGCACATAAAATGGTATGGTCGCTCGGGTGTTCATCGCACCGCATCAACTTCTTCTTCTTCTTTTTTCTTCTCTCATTTCGATGGAGCACACAGCACTTGGCAGCATTTCTCCGAATTCCTTTGTACTTTTTTGTTGCCATATAGAGTGAAATAAAAGATAGAAATGATACTATTCGGTTCGCCACTGGTGTTTATTTCGCGATGCGATAATTTGTGTCAGCATCTAGCTTGTCCAAATGAAAAAAAAGCACAAACACACATTTCTAGCCTCAGTTTCAAAAAGAAGTGAAGAAAAATAGAATTGTGCAGAAGAGTTACAGAGCCCGTAATACATAAATTAAGCCATTTCCATATGAATAAAGCGTTCATCGGCCGAGCGTGCGCGTGGCCGATCTTTGTTTTCGTTGAAAGTTGTTTTGGGCAAATGCGCATGTTCAAATCAACGATGTTCCAGCAACAAATTCGAATGCATAAATCATTTGCACTCATTCAAACACTCTCGCCACATCGTACACATTTTGCTGCGCCACTGACTTTTTTCGGGTACTCTGGTGCAGTGTAATGATCTCAAGATAACAATGTTAACACACAGCAACAGCAGCGAAATGTGTAACGAACAGTCAGTACACTTCACAAACACACAAGTACAGTGGAACTAAGTTCAACTCATCCAAATCCCCCACACATCGTGATATGGATAATTGAATTTGCACGTTATTACGAAGAGGCAACTGAGAAAACATAAGCTTTATATCATCTTGAAAATTTTGAAAATTTTCATGCTCGAATTTTTGCACGGATTCCAAAAAATGGATCGACGTAACAATGATCACGATGCGTACGCATATGAAAGAGCTAGAAAGGGATAGAGGGCACATTATTTTGGCTGATCATTATTTTTCATTATTCAGAATTTATGTTAAATATCCGCGAAACAATGAATTCGCACGAAATTTCGTTCGTTTGAATTATGGAAAAAAAAGATCGAGATGAACAAACATGAATATTCAATGGTGATTACATGATCAACACGATCAGCATCTCTTTTTTTCGACTATATTACATCATTTTTTAGTCGCTTAGCCACCGTTAAACGCATTACATGCAGATTAATAAAAAAAAATAAACAAAACTGAACTGTCCGTTACAATGTGATGATGATATGATTGATGTGTGCTTTTTGTTATGGAATGGATTCACAACCAATGCAGCTCACCTTATCTTGGTCTCAATCGTGGCTTAGTAGGCTGATTTTGAAATAAAACACTTTTTTTAAATGTTATTTTGATCATATAGAAAAATTTATGATCCGAATCAGTTATGTTAGATCTTGAATCATAAGTCCAACATGCATTAATGAAGATGTTGTACATTTGCTCTACATATACATTGTTTGTAGCTTCTGTGCGTACATGACAGTGCACATGCTTTGAACAAATAAACATAAGCCGAGCCGAACAGTAGAAGACAAAGTGTAAATTGAGTGTTAAGTTTTCACTTTTTTACCTTTTGTCGTTTGCGGTATCTCTTTTATCAAAATGGTCATTTTCATTATTTGCGGTGCGCGTAAAATGCGCACAAAATTTCTTTTTCATCCATTTCGATTTCATTCTGGATTCAATAAAGAAACAAATGCCATTCATTAACTGCTTTGTATTCTCTACATTTGTTTTGTGTGTCCGTCTCTGTCTCTCTCTATCTCTTTCTCTTTCGCACTTATTTTGCTATAACTACCTATATTTCAATTCTAAAGTCACGCTAAACAAGTACAAATGAAATGAAATTGACCATTTTTTTTGTCTTCTCTTTCACTTCTCACTGTTTATTATTTTATAAATATAGTAACAATAACAATCTTGATATTGTTAGCGTAATTTTCGGTGCTTTCGCTAGCGCAATGCAAACGAAAATGATGCTAACGGACCTGTTGATGTTTGTTTTCATTTTTAAGTCACAAATCAAATAAAATATAATTGGTATTCAACGCCATACAGGTTCACAGTCATCGGTTTCTATTTCGATTGTGAGCGCATGTAAATACGTGCATATATTCATGCGTGCGGCACAAGCACTTAGAGTGCGAATTATTCTGTCCGAAATACGTGTATATGAGTTTTTTGGATTATGAACAGTGCTCCTTTTGCTTTTCATTGTTTTAATCGAATATGTGTAATGACACATTCAGTGCGTGTCCGCACGACATTGTATGACCGAAAATCGGAACCATCAATGTATAAAAAATGGCGAAACAGACGAATTGAACAACGTTCGAAAAATAAATGTTTTGAATCATATTGGTGCGTAGATAGCCAAGAGGAATGACCGTTTGATTTCCTTTTCTTAAAAAAATGAAATTCGCTCGAAATATTACCATGTTGTTTTTCATACACAGGTCCATTTGAGACAAGTGTTCATCTAGAATGAATAAAATATGTAAATCACAAGCGATGAACTTTTCATGTTGCTCAATGTTGAAATTGTGTCATTTCGCTTTCTTCCTCTCTCGGTCTCTCTGGATTGTCGCTGAAATTCTTTTGCCCTAAAATTAAACTAATTTCATTTTCTTGTTTATTGTCATTTTCATTTAGATTTATCAGTGAAAGATATCGAAGAAAAAGCACACACGCTCATTTCGCTTGTCGTGTTGCGTGGGGACTGAGAAATCATTACGCGAGAAAACAGCTAAAAAAAATAAGCAGAAAAAAGCAAACAACCGAAATAAGAACAAACATCGATTTGAATGCTTTTGTGGCACAAGATCGCCGATCTTTCTTTCTATCCGCAAACATCAATCGCACAAAAAATGAACTTATTAAAAATAATTTAGTGTTGGTTTGGTTGGTAAAACGCAGAAAATAGCAGCGAAAAAAACCCGAAGAAGCTGAAGAAAAAGGGAAAGAAAGAAAAATATATTGTTTAGTAGTGCTTTTTTTTGTTCATTTTGATACGACGTTAACGAAGCAGAAAAATCGTATATATTTGAAACGATCGGGGAGCAGAATCATCCGAACAGAAAGTAACACCAGCAGTAGTTATAACAAAAATAACAACAAGAAAAATATACCCCATAACGGATCGAACACACAACGTATAGAGTGACGTGAATAATCTCATATCTTGGAGCGTTGTTGGCAGTGCAAAATTGGTGGCGTGGTGCACATATGCACGATACAAACAGCTGAACCAGACAAACAGAACACACAAACATTCGATCGGACGACTGAGTTTTTTTTTCTTTTCAAACGATGGATTCGTTTTGGATACAAATTTTAATCGGTAAGTGATTTTTTGATGTATTTTTTTTTTCTATCGTTGTAATATGTTGATTTTAATTAACAAATTCAATGGGTCTGCTTTCGCTTGCACTTCATTAGTAATCAATGCAAAGCGAAGCGGTCGTCCATTAATGTATGATATTTTAAGCGAATAGTGGAACAGAAAACAAAATCACACCTTATCGATCGAACAATTTTTTGCTGATTGATTTTCCCGGCAGTACACACACATTTCAACAACAACAACAACTAGATAATGTACTTTTTCGCAAATTTACATAAATTTTAGGTTGAGCCGAATTTTCCTTCCGGTCACCACTGGCAGTACATTGGCGGAACATTGTTTGAGCTTGTTAAGCATGTGTAAGGCCCTTGAGGCACGCGTTGAATGTGGGTCGTCGGCACTTACAGACACTTCGCGCCATTTTTTTTTTTGCTCGAATATAATGAACTCACTATGAAAAATCACAGCAATGATATTTTATTTTCAAAATAAATTTTTGATGCGATCATTAGAACGACAATTGTATTCGATTCAATCGATAAATCAATAAAATAATTGACGTCCATAAATTATCATATAAGAATTAATTAAGTTATTTCTTTGATTCAGAGACATTGAACGAAAATTTCGAATTCAATTTCACCGATTTCCAATAATGACGAGTATTCAATTTCTCATTGGATTTGGTGGCAATATTGGCCGATTTGTGGCACGCACAATAGAAAGCACAATCAGTATGCAAACGATGGTTTTGTCTCGTTTATAATTTTCTACAGAGAATACAATAAATTTAATCGGACATTTGAAATTCCGTTCAAAAATGCATCCGTGTTATGACGATCGCGCGGATGACGTTAGACACATATATTTTAGATCAAACAAAGACTACTCGCTTTTCGTCAACAACACAATTGCGACAACATTTTACAATAATATCTAGATCTCGTTTTCAAAGATTCGTCATCGAATGACTGTTACTTCTCTCTCTCTCTCTCTCTCTCTCTCTCTCTCTCTCTCTCTCTCTCTCTCTCTCTCTCGTTTGATTTGAGTTTTTGTGTAAAACATTTCTGCAAGAGTTCAAGTGATTTATCCACACTGACGGCAATGTGATTATTTGAAATCAGTACAGCTGATGTTTGATATACATAACGCAGAAAAGCAGTAGATAACTTGATCCATTCATTCAATGGTTAATATTGTTTCTCTTTCATTCTTCTCTTGTGACATTATGGCATGGTATTTTCATTGACGACACTACTTTCGATTTCGCCAACGAGCATGTCTCTCATTCTAACTACGTCGAGTCTACTTGATCACCTTGTTAATATATAATATATATAATAACAAAATAGTTAACTAAATGTGGCAAACAAAAAATAGAAAACAACAAAGAAGCATTTTCATTTCCAAGTGAGACCAATGAAACAAAGAATTATATTAGCGGCTGGCAAATGAAGCAGAAAAAAACCTAAACTGAACGAGAAAAAGATGAGCTGGAAAAAAGAGAAAAAAACGAATCATAAATAAACAACATACGCATAAATTATAATCGTTTTCCACTTGGAAATGAAATACGTAAATTAGTTTTAAACGGTTTGTTGGTGAGCCATATACTCGATGAATGAATGGAACGAAGATTTGTGTGATGGGAAAATAAGTTCACGTTTTGTTGCTGCGGTTGTTGAATACATACAACTTTGTGTGATATGTCAAAGAAAGCCTCCTCTATATGAACTTGACTTGAATTTATTCAAACGGTTTTTAGATAAATTCGCGACGTCGATTGTGTTATAAGCACAAAACGTCCATTCATACAAAATGTGCGCGCACACTGACAAAAAAGACCTTCACAACCCTACAGAATTATCATTCAAAATGAATGAACCATTCAAAATCACCGCAATATCATCATTATCAGTGCGGTGTGAATTTGCCATACAAAATGGCATTTGAGAAAAAAAACCAAATATTTTAATGATCTCATTTAAGCCAACCACTCTGTAAAATGATGGCACTTTTTCTTCACTTTGAAGAAGAAAAAAAAATTGCTAAAGACCACAACTGAAGCTGTTAACACTCTAAATGAATAATAATAACGTACTGAAAATAAGCAGAAAAATGTGTGTTTTTATGAAAAAAAAAAAAAACGAAAAGAAAAAAGAAGCTAAATGGTGGTATTCGCACGCTCATATTATAAGTGTAGCATGTTTAATTTCATTTTGTACGTTTTAATTCATCATCAACAGCGGCAGTAGCAAAGCTATAGAAAAAGAGAAAAATAAAATAGAAATATAGTACACATACTCATGACGGGCTAGACGCAAGAGCGCGCAAATCAACAAAACAAATACAATATCCACGAGACATGTTTGCAAATATCAAACAGCAAAGAAACGAGATGAATGAAAATGAAAAAAAAACAACACAAAAATAAAAGTCCGATAAACGCAACTAAAAACATTAAATGTATTTGAAAGAACCATATTGCTCTGGCATTGTATTTTTTTTCTTCTCTAGTCGTTGGACGAAAGATGCGCGCACGCGCAAATTGAAGACAAAAGCACTCTATAACACATTAGTTTTGGAATTGCGTTTCGCCGCTGGTAATTTTCATAACGCCAAACACAACGAGCTGTGAAATCGCACAATTTTCGCTCCATCTATCTCTCTCTCGCACGCTCTATCTCTCTATCTTACTCTTTTCCACACCAAAATCATGTGCTTCATTAGTGAATTAGCATGAATCTGAGTGCAGAAACGAAGAAAAAAACACATATATACACAATATCCATTCTAATGCAATTGAAATTCAGACTCAAATTACCGAAAAATTGTTTCAAATTCTAGTTATTACCGTTTCAAATGCTCCACCTAATAGATGTTTGTTTTTGTGATTGGTTTTAATGATTCAATATATCAAATGAAAGCACAAATAATTCATTGATTCAGTTTGATCGAGATGGCATTTAAAATTCTAATGGCGATGCACATTGCGTTTTTTCAAAGCATTAACAGCTGCCACTGCTGCCCACAGTCTGCGAAAATAAAATTTGCTCGCTCATTTACCACTCTTGAACACATGCGTGATTAAGTGTAACAGTTTTTTCTCTCTCTCGATGTTGTTGTTGCTACCGCTGCTGCTGCCGCTGTGTGATTTAGTGTCTTTAATATCTAGCACTAAACAAGGCCCGATTGTTTCGTTTTGTTTGCGCATTTTAAATTAAGACCATTTAATTTGCCATAAATAGACGCAAAAAAATCAGCGAAATTCTCATAATGATTCAATGAGATGCAATGGAAAATCAAGCGTGCGTACGCAGACACACACGCACACACCATCACAAATTAGATTTGAAGCAAAGAAAAACAAATACCATTTTTAAATTCGCAATTTCGTCTGTCTCACAAAGTTACACACTCATTTTCGTGAAATTGCTTTAGGCATCAGAGCAATAACAACAACTGGAAATGGATTTTTCATACCATGTCAATAGATTTCAGTGCATATTGTTTCTTTATTTTATTATTATTATTGCTATCTGTTCATTTTTCGAGTCAATGTTCATTCTTTTTTTATATATTATTTTTACAGGCGCCGTTATTATTTTACACAGTTGTTCATGTGAAAAACGTCTTATTGAATATGCGGTAAGTATTTGCGTACATAAGTTTTTCCGTTTTCCTGCAAAATAGTTCTTTTCGGCGATTATTTTGTTGTTGTTATTGTAGAAATTCATAAAGCACGATTTTTGTTTATACTGTACATATGCAAAGTATTTCAATCATTTTGCGCGCTAAACACACACTTGCATTACCTGATAATTTGACATCGTGGGACCATTTGTCGATTGCATTATGAATAACGATTAATGCACGACGGCAATGATGAAGGCAGTAGCAATGTATTCACATTCGTGTGTTGCACATGCAACGGCGGTGCCGTTCACAATTTTTCCGATTATACACATTCTGCGTTGATGTCAAGCACCATAATTTGTGCAATTCGCAATCAATATTTTCCGTTTGTTTTCCGACGACCATTTCCCAACCATTCATATATTTTTTTTTCTCAAATTCGCCATTTGAATTGCCAAATGCATACAAAGAACTGTGCAATAGATGACATGACATTTTTTTTATTTCTTTTATCTCATTCAACACAATTCAAATGCGTTTCAAGATCAATCACTCGTTTTGTGATGGTAATCAAAAGACCTGCAGATGATGGAATTTATGAGCTTTTATGAATATGATGATGAAGCGACGATAAACAGATAGATTGAGATCGTCTCGATCGTTATTAGAGCAACAATAATAGTATAATGTGAAATCGACAAAACAACGAAAACGAAACAACAACAAAAAAATCACGCATATTTTAAAACAATAAATGAATACATTCACGTTACAAAAGAAAAGTTTTGAAGGTCTTGCAAAATGAGCAAATTTCGGGTCACCATATATTTGTCGGATAATAAACGGTCTTTTCATCCAATTATATAATATTAGATTTGAAAAAAAAAAACCAATCCATACATATTTTCCCCCTGCAGAAATTCTCACCGTGATAAAAACAATGAGTTGCATGTTTTTATCTGTTCGGTGGTTGTTTGTTTTTTTCAGCATCAATTTAAATTCACCAATGTATTGAATTATTGACATTTATTAAAACGGTTATTTGTCGCTATTAGTTTCCTATACTTTTTTTTTCTATCATCATCATCGATACCGACATTTCATAAGTGTAATTTTAATTCGTTTTGTTTTTGTTGTTTTACGAAGTGTTTAGACAAATAACCGATCTTTCTCTCGGATGCGCTCCACTGCAATGTATATATATATATATATATATTGTTGTATGTGTGTATGTTGTGTGCAAATTTGTATTATGCATAAAAGAAAGTGTAATGCGCGAGCGTGGTGTGTATACCATCAAGAAATGCACTGTGCGATAGATCGTCATGATGATCGTTGAGCGAAATGTGCCGCAAGATAATCAGAAAGTTGTTGTTTCAACAACATCGATTTGATGCAAAGATAGAGTGAGAGAAATGGCGCGCGTAAGAATCAACACTGAATTTATCTGGCGTACATGCATATGTATGTTACTTATTTTTTTTATTTATGATTGTTTGGTCAATAGCATATAATATCGTACAGTAAAGGTGAAACAAGTTTTGTTTTTTTTTTATTGTCGAATGAAAGAGAGAAAAAGAAACACATCATGCGCACACAATTCTTATCTGCGAATGTTTCTATTTGATTAATTTTAATGATTGCTGTATCACTGTTTGAATTCGTTTTTCAATTTTTCCCATCTCTTTTCATCCCATTTTGCTGCAATTTTATTTCAATGGATCGCTTTTAATTCACAATAAATGAACATTGGTTCAAGTGTGATTGCATTCGACATGCGCGATTTGAAACACATGAATAACCGGAATTCATTTTCGGTATGTCGCCAATCGCAAACAAGGAATCCACATCGTACTCACATGTCTTCACGTTTACACATATTTAATGGCAGTAACATGATGAAAGTATCCGGTAAACTGACAATGCTTAATGAAAATTTGAGAGGTTCAATTTAATAGACCCGTCGCACATCATTTTTCTTCGTCATCTTCTTTGCAAACTCATGGTTCTTTTCCGCATTTGGCAAAATACGCGAACAAATATACACATTCTGTCGAAATGAAGCGAAGAAAAAAGCAAATCCATTCAACTTTCACAATTGATGTCACCATTAATCGAATTTGAAAAATATATTTATTTTTTCTTGTAATATTATTAGATTTTCATTAAATAACCCGCTGAAATATACCATTTTACCAGCATCGTTGAAAATCAAATTGGCGTAGTTTAAAAAAAACAAAAATAGAGTTATATCGGATTTTATTAAACCGGAAGAAACTCTGAAGATGGAACGCTTACTGATTTTCACCTTAAAATCATTTTAAATAGATTTGTTTGCTTTTGCATTGCGAAACTTGTTTGAATTCCTCTGGTTTGTTTGGAAAATAACATTAATCCGTTTTATTTACAGCCACCATGGCAACCTGTGGCGATACCAGCGGCCGCACCACAATTAATTAGCATCGGCAATTTTGATGCAACGAATAAAGCGCAAATTGCACAAATTGCACATCACAATGCGCAAATACTGCGGCAAATCAAAGGACTTCATCCACCAGTTACACAATATCTCAATCCATTTCCGGTATTTCCATCGGTTAATTCACCAAAACACGTCGTAATGACGGCTAGCGCATTGCCAGCTCATAATGGTAACGTCGTAATCGTTTTAACAATGAAAACAAAAAAAAAGAGATAAACGGAGGATTTTTTTTAAATTGTAAATTTTTGCAGTTCCAACGACGCAACACTTGCTGTCCAGCAGTTCGAATGTTGCACAAACGGTGATGCCACAAACGGTCATGAAATCGTATCTCAGCGGTAAACCGACATATATTAGTGCTGGCAAACCGCCAGAGTTTAAATTCTTCAATGGAATGGCATCATCAAAAGGTCCGCCAGTTTTCTTAAGTCAAACCAGCAGCAGTATGCCATCACTTCAAATATTCAGCACAACTAGCCGTGTACCAATTTTGAGGTAAGCATACTCCACTTTTTCCGGCACATTTTTCTCACCCAAAATATGAGAATAGCTGTAACAACATTGTTGAAATGGACATTTTATTTACATTTGCAGAGATGTAACATTGAGTTCACCATCATCGATGTTTAAATCAACGCAATTGCCAAATCCACCAAAATTCCAAGCGCACATGACATTTGGTCCCGCACGGCCGGCAGCATCAAATCAAATACCTGGCCAAATTCTCTCATCGTATACACACTTTGGACCGGCCGCACCACAAATACTACGCAGTGAACCAAAACAACGCATTCGTGCCAATTTCCTAACCGCACCATTTGATCCCTATCATTTTGCTAATCCATATGCAGGTTAATAAATTGTTCTTATTTCAAATGTCCACCGTTTTTATCTCTCTTTTCACTTTTAAATCATATTCCAAATATTTGCGTTTCATCTTTTATCATATAAAATAAATGTGCAGGTCATTTAACAGCCGGCGGTCATTTTGTGGCGAAGAATAATTTCGCAAATTCTCTATATTTCCCGCATAATGGTCTCGGTTCATATCAATTGACAAACACCTTCATTGCAAGCCCACAAAAACCAAATTCACAACCATTTATACAGTCGCCACAGCAACAACAACAACATGGACCAATTCAACCAGTTGGACCACCACAATTACCTGAAACGCAACCATCTTACGTATGTGTTTGTTTAAGTATTCTTCATGAGTCGCAATTTTTCAATAATTTCAATTTCTTCTTGAATCTCGTTGACTTCCATTAATCTAGTTACCACAATTGCCAACCGTACCGCCGAGCGTATTATCGCCATTCTTCCAAGTCCAGCAAAAGCAACAAGATGTTTCAACAACTCCAGCTCCGCAAAGTGTGCAAGAGTCACCACAAAACAGCCATTCAAATACATTTTTATTGAATGATGAGTATGCGATAAATTTGGTACCGCCACCACCGTATAAACACACTGATTCAACGCGTTTCCGATTACGTCAACCGCCACCATCGACACCGTCAACACTCACATCACCATCAGTACCAAGTACAAATTCAACTCCAATTGGTCCACATGGCAATGATGAACATATATACGATGATGAACAGAAAAAAGCGATGGACATTTTAAATAAATATAATATTCCGGCAATTTCACCGTTACAAGATGCAAATCGTTATGCATATAGTTCGGGACAATTTACACATCCAAGTTCAACACCATCTTCGTATTCGGATGAGCAAATATTCCAGCGATGGCCAGTACACGATAACAGTTTATCAAATTCACCATCGTTTACCACTGAAAAGCCAAACATATTCCGTAATTTGAATCGACCTATGGAAAGTGAATACCATCAACATAAAATAATGCATCCCGGCTATACAGGAGCCAGACGACCAATTCCACCAGCCACAACACCATTCTTACCGACACAAGACTCATTGAACAATGCAATTACGCACAGTTTCTTTACAATTGAAGATGCAATCACAATTTCACCACATACACACTATAGACGACCCGTTAAACCAACAAATACCAATGAAATCGAAGCAAGCATTAAACGACCATCGAATGATATCTATACGGAATCGGCATCAATTGATCCATTCCATGGTTATGGAAAGGATACAGACACAGATATAGTTACAATACCACCACAATTGCCACCACTACAACCAATCACATCGACACCAAGGCCACGGAATAAATTGCGTCGCAAGCGTCCACGGCCAACAACCGAAAGTACATCAACGATTGATGCCGAACGTAATCAAATTAAAAACTCTGAATTTGACGATCCAACCAATGAAGTTTTAGCCACGGAAATGCCGAAAAATCACAAAGAATATACAGCGACCAGAGATCGTGGCCAATTGCTTCAATATACCAGAGAAACAACCACAGAAATTCCACGTGAACAATCGACAAGCGGTTATCGAAATAGTAATCGAGTAAGGAATCGAACACGGATTTCAGCACCATTCGAATCAAGATTTGAACCAAGCACCACATCATCACCAGTTCGACCAAAACGACCATACAATCCAGAAAATCGAAGACCAAATAATCGATTTGAAGGTTAGTTTTTGTAATATTAGATGGAATATGTTTTGTAATAGAAAAAATTAAATAATAAAACGATTGAATATTAGGTGCACTCGAAAATAGAGTCAACCAACGGCTAAGACCAGTAGCTGAAAAATCAACACGTTTTCCACTTGATGAAAATGAACAAACGACAATTGGACAACGCGAGTACAGTCGACCATCAAGAAGACCATTGACAACACAACAGGCCATTCCAATTTCAACCACAATACAAGATGAAACTGAAACTCATGATTTCTTCTTCGATACAAAGCTGTCGAACAAAATCAGAAACAGTAGCCCATCAAATATCATAACTACATCATTATTGACACCCACCATTGAAAGTGGTAAGCATGTCCTTTTCTTCTAAAGAAGTTTCAATTTTCTATTACTTTTTCTTTACTTTTGTGAGTATTGATATGTATGCATTTTATAAATTTTTCAGGCGATCATCTTCTCGAAGAGAATGGCTCGATTTTATCAACTCGCTTAAATGTTGCAAATGAACCATTGCCAACGCATGAACCAGAAGATTCAACCAATATCGATGACGAAGAATTGGCCACACTAGAGCCACAAACTCAAGACAGTATATCGTTGAGCAGTCCATCGTCGTCGTCATCAGCATCGTCGACATCAACATCATCAACATCAACAATTGGTTCAACGTCGTCGGAAAAGAGTGAAATCAGCAATGAATCAATACCATCCGATGGTCCGGTATACATTCGTGATGAAAATAAAGTTGAAATTAGTAATTTCCGTACGCGACAACGTATGCGAAACAAGGAGAAAATCTTGGAAGCAGTCGCCGCTGCAACATCATCGCAAACAAAAGCGGTTACCAAAGATCGTGGCCATGGATATGCCCATCACAATGAAGTGAATGACATTGAAAATGAATCATCACCATCGTCATCAACGGAAAAAGAGTCACGACTACGTGTTCGATTGCCGGTTTACAAAGCTGGACCAAAGCAAAGCGGTGAAGATGTTCACATAAATAATGTTACAAAAGCCATTCGTCTGAATGGAACGAATAAGTTCGATCCAAAGAATCGGCCACGTTTCAGCATCAAAGAATATCGCCAACGAATGAGCTCAACAACACCAACACCCGATCAATCAACGAATAATGTCGTTTCAACAACAGCATCATACACAAGACTTCGGTTCCCAACACGTCAACGAGTTTTACCATCTGAGCTAAAAAATAGAACGCAAGATTCGAATAAAATCGATGAAAAACCGAATATAATTTATCCGGAAAAATCAACCATTGAACCGTTATCGTCGTCGTCTTCATCATCATCATCAACCGAATCGGGCGTTTCATCATCGGAGACAACACGAAAACGTTTTGTACCAAAAGATCGTTATAGCAGTCGTTTAAAGACAACCACCGAAACAATATCCGAAGGTCAAACGATCGCATCGCCAACATCACCATCACAGCAATCAACAGCAAAACCACCACTTAGACGAGTTAGCACACGACGCGATTCATTGATAAATCGCAATCGATCCAGTTCAACCACCACCGATAATCCATCGGATGCATCAAATACCGTATCACGAATTCCAGTCATACGAAATGGTACGGTTCCATTAAGACGTCCACAACCGCCAACTCTGCGACAACGTATACAAAATAAAAAGAATAAAGATGGCATTTCGTCGACAATCAGTGCCGATGAATCATTAAACGATTTGGCCGTTGAAGGTTCATCCGAAGATAAAGTTCGAATGAGCAGCAACGAAGTAGCACCAAGCACCAGCACCAGCACCGAAGAATATAAACATGAAACGGCTATTATGAAAATTGCCAAAGACGATCATTCATATCGACCGTACAAAGAGAAAGCAACAACCGAAAAATCGAAAAATGATGGTTCAACAAGTTCAAGTTCAGAAAATGACCTAAATGATAGCCCATCGGAGCAATCCGAACGCGTTGCTGAATTGACAATATTCGGCAGCAATCAATTTAATTCGGTAAATACGGGAAGTGCATCACGTCGTATTCCCGGCTACTTTACCCTAGCCACTGAAGATCCAATTTTACCAATCGAAGCATTCTTTCCACAAGTCAAACGAAGCAAATAAATAAACTCTCTATGAAAGAAGATGAAAAAGAAATAAACACATTTTCTAAGTTCCGAATTGCGCTGATTTTAACACAAACTGCTACAAATGGCATTCCAATTTCAAAGTTAATGACAGGATCGTGAAATTTTATCGTTACACATTTTTTTTCTCGCTAGCATATTGTGAAAGGGGGAAGGAATTTGTTTTTCATAAAATTATTTCGATGCGTATCGATTTTTTATTTAAATGTCGTGAATTTTATTAAGTAGTTAATTTTCCAATAGTTAATAGCGTTCATGATGTACGCATTAAAACTCTTTTTATGTAACGGAATCATCGTTTGGTATAGAAAAAAGAAAACATTTTTCGAAATCATATATTTCCACAAAACCCATTCACGATCCTTAGTCGACATAACTCAAAAACACCCGTCTTCTCCGAAATTTTTGTTTTGTATTGTTTCGATCGATGTGAAAACGAAGATTTTCAACACGTCATTGAAAATTTACCGTTATCCGCACACACATATATAGATACACCAAATAAATTGCGATACAGTTGTAGGAGCACAACATTTATTGTGACTACAACGAGACGCAATTTAAAATTGTAACGCTGACACATGTAATCTGAGTAGACAGATAGTTGCTAATTCTGCACATATTTGCACTGGAATATGTCACCAAAATCAGAACAAAAAACAAACAAACAAACAATTAGAATTATTTGTTTATCCAAAACACCCGGAATCCATAGATAGACCGCGTCAAGAGTTGAATATATCCAAAGCTAACTTTTTTTTAAGAAAAAAAGAAGAAGAAAATCAAAATATCAGTAAAATCACGCGTTTGCCGAAGGCAATTTATTCAATAACTTTTAAGTAGAAATAAAATATTTGAAAATTGAAATGGACATTTCGCAATCCAGCCCACAATTTGAATAAATCGATGATGGATGCGTAATTGACTTGAAAATTAATTTAACTTAGATGTATTTATCGTATTCTAAATGAAATATGACTGGCTTTTGATGTATCAATTGAAGCCACTGCATATATATTTTCAAGGAAGAAACAAAAAAGAAGCTATCCCCGAAACGATACGAACAATGTTCGCTACTGAACAAGAGATACAGAATCAATTCAATTTCAATTTAATTTTTCAGTCGGGAACTGCGCAAATTCGTTGCACTTGTCATAAAACACGAAAACAAAATCGACAAAATGGTAGAAAATATTACAAAAAAAAATAAATAAATAAAAATTATTGCAGGTTTCTAGTTTTCTCTTCCATAGCGATTTTGTGTTTCTTTTGTGATAAGTGATAACCCATTAAACATTGCAATCTTCTATTTCTCTTGTAACAAATATATTTAATTTATATTTTTAAAAAATTTTGATGTTTTTGTACATAAAAAAATGAAAAAATTAAATAAATCGAAAAATGAAGTAAATTAATAAGAAAAATTAATGTTTAATAAAAAAAGAACAAAACAATTAGAAAAAAAACTCTGTTAATTAATTGATTTATTATTTCATTACATTTAATTGATCAAAAGATATATATATGATGATGGATTGTAAAATTTATCGATAATATCTAAGTAAATCATAAAGATTCTAATAAAATCAACCAGTGAAAAATATACAAAAATGCATGTAGTCTATTTTATTTCGAGAAAAAAAATGAGTTGAAAATTCATTCTTTAGACAATAGACATTTTTTTCCTTATCTGTACACGTCGAAAGTTATGATGCTTTACAACTTTTGTTTTGTGCTACTTTCTATGTTTCTAAAGTGTGGCTAATGTGATAAATTAGAAAAAAAGAGAATTCAACTTTATGCGATGAATTGAAAGGAAAACCTTATACATTGAAGCGAAAACCTTACAACATAACGCCCTAACAACAATTCAATCTACTACGTTTTTCCGTGTTCGAATCACAAGCTATAAATGGTGCATTTTACGTTTTAAATATGAATTTAAACATAATTGTATCCTATAAATTTGATGAAAAAACAATAAAACGTAGAAAAAATCACGTCAATTTGTCATTTTCATTGAACATCCCAATCCGCTATTGCTGCTACATTAGAATGTGAATTGAATGAATTGCTGTGTTGAACTACGTTTGCGAGACTGACATTTGAAACGTCACCAAAAAGAAATACAATTTTTTTTAGAAAAACATACACAAGACACAGTGGCTTCGATGGCAAAGCATTGATTCACCAAATAAATAATATAATGTAATTAGAGGATTTGTCGTCGTTGGAATTTCTCTCTGGCGTGTATCATTCTAACACAAAAATACATATACACACACGCTTTCCTGACATTTTAGTTTCTTTTCGCTTCTTTTTAATTTAATATTATTGTTTGTGTTTTCGTGTTAAATATTTAAATTGTGTTTTGGTTCTATTTGAATCCCACACTCGTGTCGTACAAAACTTTTTTTTTATAGAGAACACTACTCCGAAAGAGTAACAAAAAGAGATTCTGCATGTGTACAAATGTGATCATCATGTGTTATTGTATCTATATATGACCAAGTGAGAAAGAAAGAAAAGCATCCCGTTAATTGGAGTCAACGAAACGACGACGACAAATAACAAAACCAACAACAACAACATAATAGAGAATAAAACAAGGAAATTGCGTTCAGATAAGATTTATAGTTGATGCCACGAATCGTTTGAGTACAAAAGCAAATCGGTGTACATTGTTTATTAAATGAACACATTACGCGCACTAGACACCATTTCAAAGTATTTGGAGTGTGATTGTAGTTACAACGGCGACGTAAACAGTATTCACTGAAAACGACGTCCGAAATTCAACATGTATTATCCAATTGGATGGCCTATACAAGTCGATCTAATTGGATTGCATCAGCAAACAATTCGACGAATATGCTGTGATCGCGTCAAAATTTTATTTGCCATCCTAACCGATGACTCCTTAGCAATATACTACACAAACGTAAGTGCTGGCCACTCATTTCGAATGACATGGAATTGAAAGCACATTGACATTACTCTCTATATATATCATTCTCATCAAATTAGCCTTGTGTGCCGATTGTGATATCAAAACGAACACCCGAATCAATAGCCAAACATGGAACAAATTGTATCGTTGAATGGAAACCCGATTCAAATATGCTGGTGGTGGCTGTAAGTTAAATTCATTACGTTTGTTTGATTGTTTTTGAATTGAATGTTTCTTTTCTAGACCACCGATGGAACTCTTTTATTGTATGTTTTATCAGTGGTTGACACACCAAGGGGCATATATAATCAGATCGATCCTCCGTCCAAAAATTTATGCCGTGATAGCGCTGAATTATTCCTTAAAGAGACTATCCCTTCACTTACACTGACATTGGTATGTGACAATGTGACAAAACATAAGCGTCAACTTAATTCAAATTGAATTTTTAATTTTTCATCATCAATAGCATTGTGAATACCCTTTACACGTTCCAATAACATGCATCTGCTGTGTAAATATAAATCAAATCATGGTAGCAACGAAAAGTGAACGAATTTTGCGTATCCGATGGGATGGCGTTGAAGAACGAGATTTTTCATTAGATTTAAAACGTATTCCATTTAGTATAAATCAACAAGTTAGCTACGGTAAATACAAGCACACACAATTTTGTGTATGACCCACAAAATTCACACACCACCTTAAATACACCAAATTGCATATATTGTTTTTTCAGCTGTTCCGATTTTGGAGAGCAACACATATGTATCGTCAATGGAGTATTCGCCATTGATCGGTGGCTTTGCAATTACGCTAAACGATGGACGAGCGGCTTATTTAACGGCGAATTCATTGAAATTTGATCCGAATGTAAGGAAATCACTTTTTTTATTTAAATGCATTCGTTTAAATTCACACATATATTTATTTTCAAAATTTACAGCAAGTTCAAGGTATTTGGGCTCAAGGTTTGGACGATGCAACGTGCGCCAGTATCAATCATAAATATCGGCTTATTGCATTCGGTAGAAAAAAGTACGTTTCATATGACTATGACGAAACATAGAACATTTAAAAAAAATATAAATATTTTTCTTTATTGAACATTTAGTTCACAAGCGGCTGTGTACATAATTGATGATGTGACCGGTGGTTTGGAGTTGTCACACACCATTGAATTGAGTGCCAAAGATTTTCCAGGTTCACCTGGTTCGGTGCGCGAAATGAGATGGACCCCCGATGGCTGTGCAGTTATGTTGTCATGGAGTAAAGGTGGCATTTCATTGTGGAGTACATTTGGTGCGTTGCTCATGTGCTCACTCGGCTGGGATTATGGTTTAAATGTTGATTTGGCACTCAAAAATCCATTGGACATCACAGGCATGGTAAATAAATGTGACCAAAAAAAATGGATATTCAAATATGGGAGCTACCTTGAAATTTCGTTCAAACTCGATCTGCAATAAATTTGGGTAGCTCCAATGTTTGCGATATATAGGATTAATTTTTCTTTTGTGTATAAAAGGATTGGTCAACGGAAGGCTACCAACTGTTTATGCTAAGACAGCAAAAAACCTATGACGAAGATACACCAAATGCAGACATAAACAGTTCGAATGTATCGGATGACACAAGTTTTGTCGATGGAAAATCGGTGTCGTCATCTTCAGTACCTAATAAACCAACACTTATGCATACATATTCGAATTTATCGGATAAAAGTTTTGTTGCTACCGAACCACCGTACACATTGATAACAACACTAGTTCAATTGAATTTTGTAAAAAGTAGCTTTACTGTGAATCCGGTAATGGTAAGTTCACAAGTTCACATGAAATATTACAAAATAATTGCATTTCGTTTCAAATTTAATTTGTTAATCGCTGTTTCAGAGTACGCACGCGCATTTATTTTTGCAAGGCGATGACAGACTGTATATAAATCAAGGTGAAAGTTTACAAAAAGTTTATCACAATGGCAAATCATTGCCATTGGATCCGAATTTGATCGATCCAAATCAGCATTCATCGTCGAGCAAGCAAAGCAATTTATTTTCACATTCGTATAACATTTGTATGGATAGTTATATGAGTGGCGAATTCATTTCGGTGCCGAACGAAGGTAAAACATACGATCTATGTCTTTGAAATTGAACGAAAATAAATAGATGTTTCCATTATTGACATTCAGACTTATCGACAACTTTGGATGACTATGAGGTCGGAAAATCATTACAAGTGACAAGTATTCTATCGGAAAGTAAGCACTGGATTGTGGTTCAATTACCAGTCGCTTACATGGCTACGAATTGGCCGATTCGTGTAAGTCAATCAATTTGTGACATATTTACAACGGTGAAATAATTTTTTCGACATTTGTCTTTTCATCCAATTTACAGTTCAGTGCAATAAGCAATAATGGCGCTAATATAGCTGTGGCTGGTCGTACCGGCGTCGCCATGTATTCAATGATAACACGAAAATGGAAATTGTTTGGCAATGAGACGCAGGAAAAGGATTTCATTGTAACCGGTGGACTGCTTTGGTGGGACGAATTCATAATAATGGGTTGCTACAGTTTGGTGCAAAAAAGCGACGAAATTCGCATCTATCCAAAAGATTCAAAATTGGATAATCGTTTTGCGAAAATAATACCGATGGCGGCGCCGGTAATGCTAATCAACCTATTCAAAGATCAATTGGTAACATTCACTGCCGATGGTTTTGTTACAGTATTTGCAATTACGAAATATGATGCACAAAACATAGATCTATTGCGCATTGATACATACGACATTCGCGGTGTATGCATTCATCCGGCTTGTATCATTTCAGTGACAATGACCAATCTGAAAAATGACAGCGCAAGTCGTGCCAATCAAGGTAATCAAATCAAACGCAACAATTGCACAACCAACTCAAGCCACACACACACTCGATTTGTTGCTAATTTTATGCTCTTATTTTCTATCTTAACACATCGATTTTCTAGGAAATTTAACGCAAAATGAAACGTTAGTGCTGAATGTGTCTGGCCGCATACTCATGGTGAATAAGGAAAATAACGGAAATGCATCGGAAAATTTGGTGAGTAAATTTTCTGGCTCAACATTCCAAATAATGGTGAAAAATTTAGAGAGAAGATGCAAGAGAAACAGAGAAAAACATTTAAAATGTTTATATAAGTGTCGATGCGGTGAAATTGAGTTCAGCTTATTGTTGCATTTAAAATAAATGGTAACTGCTACTGATTATTACTTCCTCTCCTTCACATTGATAGTTTTCATTTTTCAACACATGAACGCGCGCGCGCACAAACACACAGTGACCATTTTTGGTTTGAGTGACTTGCGCCCGCATCACTCTTCTTGCATTGATTTTGATTTGAAGTAAATACACGCCTGAATCGGCAAAACTGAGTCGATGCATCAGAAACTCAGTATCATTTTCTTCTTCTTCGTTTTTTTCGTTTCGTTTGGTTGTTATTATATGGCCATCTACGGCACTAAACTAGGTCGATGTGTATGTGCAGTTGTGCACAATATGTTTTAGTTGTATTCGATTTGAAGAAAATATGAGATGTCTTTGTGGCACGGAAGAAATCAAGATTATTTTGCACTTACTCTTGTTTCGGTTGTTGCACATCGTATCGCGCATCCAACCATCTCATTTGCGACGATGACCGTTTATCATTGATCTTGTTTCAAATAAATTAGTTCGTTGTATTTGATCGGTTACCGTGATGATGTGCGATTATATAAAACGTATATGACTGCACTTAATCCAATTGCTAGATACATACGGACAACAAACGAGCTCTATTTGCATATACACACACACAAATATATATATATATATTATAATCGCAATCATCCAATTATCTAATTAATGTTACAAACCAGAAAGTACAAGTAAAAAAAAAATAAATACCAAGCGCGCGTTTACACACAAATGCAAGCAAATGTGCGTTGATTCGATTTTAAATGCTCTACATTAGCACTTGCGTCTATGATTTAATAAAATAAATGCACAAAACGAGAAAAAATCGAAACTGAATCTCAAGTTAAATTGAAGTTTGAATGAGATAGGCTGAAGGAAGAAGACAGCACGATGTAAAACAATCGAACATTAAGCATCTATTGTGAATTGAGTATTTCTAACAAGATAATGAGAAGTAATGAAAAAACCATCAACGATTATCAAACATTAAGCGCCTGATAATACAATTGATCGATATGATCGCAACCATCATTCAGTGCAGAATGTGTTTCGTTGCAATTTAGTGAATAGAATCGATAACATAAAAATCTCATTAGGAAAAAAAGTACAATATATAAAAGCAAAAAAAAAAAACTCGTTTGTATGCGCACGGGTGTGCTACAGTTTTGTTTTCTCTCTTTCAACATTCATCTGCTTCTTTTCTTTTTTGCTGATGCAGCAGCTTTTTTTCGTTGATGATCACATTTACCCATCATATCAAATCAGAAGGTGTGTGTGTTTTATACATGCAAGCGCTGCACATGACAGCACTTTGAGATTTTATACCAGAAGTTGTTGGAAATGGAAAAACGAGGAAAAGTTGTTTGAAGAGACGGCAAAAAAAGGTTCAATGAAAAACATCAAACATACTCTTACCAAATAGTATGCAAAATGCATTCGATCGGGATACGAGCACAAGAAAATGATAAGAAAAACAAAAAGTAATTTGGATTAAAATAAGGCAATAATACCATAATAAATGATGTATGCAATGAACGTAGATTAATATATTTATAAAAAAAAAAAGAGCAGCGCACCAAACCAATTGTAAATTAAAGTAGGTGAACCAAGTAAAAAGGTCTAACTATTGAAACGGCACATACTTAACGCGAGCAGACATAGTGTCAGCAAAAGCGGTCATTTTAAATATTTTTATGTATGATTTTTGATCATATACGTCGATTGCGTGCATTCATTCATTATTGTTTACACACATATTTAACAAACGATAAATGACCATGTATTTATGCAATCAAACAATATACACATGCACACATATTATGCTGTGGATGTTTTAAAAGAATGTTTGTTTTGGCGCCAAAAACGAATGAGCGGCACTGTAACGTTATTCCATTCGGAACGGCACGCACATCGTTGCACACATTCCGTGACCGTTCTATTCCAAATTCAATTTCGCATATTATTAATAACAAAATGTTGTGTCTATGATTCGCCAGAATTTTGAATCGAAATTCGGTCGCTTTTAAAATGTACTACGTTGCCTCTTTTCCATCAGGAAGACTTTTTGCATTCGTAATGTTTTGTTTTTCTCTCAGTTATACGATTCAATTATTTATTTTGTTTTTAAATTAATAGTTTTACGGATTACGCTTTTATGTAATCATTGTTTCAATTTGATTTTATTTGGTGTTGCACTGTTGCCGTGGATGCAGATGGAGAGAAACGACGATACCGACGACATGCATTAGAATCGAATCAAACGATGTGAATGAAACCATTTTTTTTTCACCGAGAATTTACGATCAAATCGCATCGCAAACGATTTACATAACTAACGATATACAATTACCATCGATAAATCATATTTTAAGTAGGCTATATGAAATGCACAACAGGAATGGAAACAAATTTTATATTATAATCAAAGTGAATGTGTTGTTTTGTGCGAATGCGCGCGCGCGACCGCATACCTGCATCCATATAAAATGTATAAGCATAAAGAGATTTACACATTATTCTGCACAGAAAGAAATTGAAAGCGTAATTACAAACTTTCCGATGAGAAATTTTCCGCTGCCGCAAACAGTGCCAAACCCTTCTCGCTTGCATGTTATCAATGGATTACAAGACTCTTTCGTTAATTTATTTTGCTTGGTAACTGTGATTTTCTTTTGTTTTCTTTAAAGTTGGTTTGCTTGCACTTGACAAAGTGAACGAGAAAAAAAAATCCCAGTCAAGTTATACAAACCGAAAAAAGAGGCCGCACATACTGTGATTAACACACCACAGAGAAAATATAATCGCACCAAATTCAAAGAATGATGAAGAAGAAGAATGAAATACAAAAGTTCATAATGAAAATGAAACAAATACACACGAAGAAAGAGAGAGAGAGAGAGAGAGAGAGAGAGAGAATTTTGAAGAAATAATTCATTTCCTACTTTTCATCATCAGTGCGCGTCACTTCAAATCGCGAATCCCGCGCGCATAACTATATTTTTTTTCTTTTCACTAATCAGCTTCATTCCATAATTCAGTCTCATTTGCTGAATTTAAGATTTTTGATGCTCTTAACACGATAACTGTTGATTTTAGCGCGTGCACGAAATCGCATTGCGCTGAAAACAAAGCAAAACAGAGAGAGAGAGAGAGAGAGAGAGAGAGAGAGAGAGAGAGAGAGAGGGAGAGAGAGAGAAAACGCGCAATTCTTCTATTTATGCACGCATTCCGTAAATTTTTTAATTAAATTTTTGCGAATCAAAAAATGACATTGTAAAAACGACATATGAATAAAAGTGAAAATGGCATTTAACATTTGTATCAGATAATAAAAGCGAAAAACAACATTTCCATTTGATTGCAATTCGATTCTTTCATTCGCTTCTCTAGCCTGCGAATAAGAAAGATAAATTGCATCGACGAAAATTACATGAACATATTTCCGTTGATTTATTTTCCGAAGTTATTCTGGGGTGCTGTTATAATATAATATAACAATAAGTTGCTGGTTTTTTGTTTTCGTTGAATAAAATACCATCGGCCAATTTGGTCGAAAAGTCGAAAGCACAAGTGATTTGCAAATTGAAGACCCATTGTACGTGTCGAGACGTGTCCAAAAATGGATCGGTCGAGGAAAACTCATTTTCACATGCGCTCTTTTTATCGCCAACGATCAACTGAAAATTGATACAACGATAAATTACAATGTAGAAAAAAAGAGAGCAGTAAACAAAAATTCCACTTTAATGATATGGTTCAGTTTTGGCGTCGTATGTTTTTTTTGGCTCTTTGTATGGCTTCGGTGGTATTTTGGACGTATTCGATCTAAGCGCTCAACAATCTATCTCAAAATGGGTAAAACAACGAAAATCAACGCACACTCGCGCCATCGGTTCGTTGCCGCTTCAATTTGCATTTTAAAAAATCAACACTAATTCATTGTGTTTCGGCTACTACCGTTATATACACACACTAGATAACAAAACTTTTGACACATGCTTGATGTGAAAATGCTAATTTTTTTTTGCACTGCACTATTTCAATTTTGTTTTGTGGGGCCCTTCTATATTTTCTCTTATCTTGTTCTGTCTGTATGCGATGTGTTGCTCGTTTTTTTGTGTGCGGAGAAAAAGTCGAATTGTAAATTACTCTCGTACACATGTGTGCATCCTTCATATATTTCATTGATATTTGGCGCCTTTGAAAGCATGGAAAAAGCAACCGAAAATCTCTTATTTAGATTATCCAATCGAATTTGATTATGTTTCGTGTGAATTCGACACGCTGCAATCTCAATGCGCTCAGTCGAAAAGTACAAGTGTATATTTTTCGTAAGTGTGTTTCATTCGCACATATTTTTCGTTTGTTTCTTCTACTTATTTTTTGTTGTTGTTCACATTTTTTGTAGCTTTTCTTGGTTTGCATCGTAATACCTTGCTTATGTGATGGGTCTGTATTTTTTTTTTGATCAATTCATTCTGCACATCGGAGAATATCGATGGAGAAAAAAAAGCGCTTCTACATTCGAATGCGTCTATGTTATGTTAATTGTGCATTGATTATGTGTTGGCGATGTTTGAGCTCGCATAAATTGTCATAATCGAACACTCATCATACATCGTGTTTGTTGGTAATAATTTAAAATGGGACAATGTAAACGATAAACGCGTCGCGATTTGTTTGCAAAATGATAGGAACAAAACACCAAAAAAAAAAAAAAAAAAAAAAAATAATTCGAAAAAGAAAACTATCCGGTATGCACGGATCTAACAATTCACCACAGTGAATTGCCATAAATTTGCCCGATTACATTGTACGATACATATGCATATATTTGTTGGTCGACGACTTCTTTTTACCATTTGCAAATCACACATATGCGTATTTTTACCCATGTGATACGCCTTATTGTTAATTTTTCTCTTTGGCAACAACAACAACATCGTTTACGTTTTAAATGAATGTTATTTTCTCCATCAATTGCTTTATAAATATATTTCGAGTGTTTAACTGTTTTGCATTTGATGCCTATTTGTTTTGATTTTTAATTCATTTGTATCGCTTTTGTTTCTTTCTTTCACTTGAATTCGGATCTACAGTAGCATTTGTGGGAAAAAGCAACGCAAACACAAAGTAATAACACAGAGATACAGAAAAACTAGACGTATTAATGTAAATATGGGCAATAAAATAAAAAATGCGGTATCAACCGTTTTAAATCGAATGCAATCAATCGACACGATGCCATGTGCTTGCACACACACACACACATACACACATGTAGACAAAGTTGTCGGCACAACCGCGGGGGAAACTGGAAACAAAATTATCTTGTTTTAAAATGATGCGCTTTCAATGATCGGATGTTATGCTTTCAATGAGATGCAATGTTATGTATATGAGACATACGTGAGAGAAAGAGAGAGACTCTTTCTCAAATGCATTGATCTGTTTATGTAATCCATGGTTTGTTATTGGCCTCGAGAGTTGTTGCAATGGCTTTTGTTTTAAAAAAAATACACCAAAACATATTAAGGAAGTGCTTGCCGATGTGCATGTAGTTGCTTTTCTCTAGGTGTATTTACGCGCTCATTTTTTCTGACTCTCTCACACTTCATTTGAAATGAGCGCGCGCGCACGCTTATTTCCGCCTTTGAATTTTATGGTATTGGCATGGACATGTTTTCTTTTCTTATGTCTATTTTCTTTATTGGACCATGGACAAGACTATCATTAACACTTTGTTTGTTTTCTGTTTTTGGTTTCGTTGTGGCTGAAACAAGAAAAAAAAATCACACTGGAATCGAAAAGTAAAGTCAGAATATTTTTATCTTTCCATTTCACTGGAAACATTTATTTCACTCAAATTTTCGTTTTTTTCGATTAAAATTAACATTATCCTTTGATCGTCTGACAATTTATCTTTCAAAACAGAATTACAGTGATTTAATTGAATTTCGATAAATATTAGAGTTGTGAAATTATAAATATGTAAGTAAATTTCATTTTAATCGATGAAAAAAAACATTCGATTTTGAAATCTATACAAGAACTTGATACAAGAATTTGAATCAGTGTTTGTCACGAACGATGTAGATATGTTCCCCTATCGTCACTTTGCACCAAAGTGTACACAAATACAAAAGTACAATTAGAAAATGGTAATAATTTAAGATACACGTGAGAGAAAAAAATACTATTAACAGCGAATCGAAATCAATTCCGATTGCCAAAACTCGATGAACATATATGAATGTTTAATAGTAACCAAAACCACCGGCCAATGGACCATGGTGTTCAACGATTGGATGATGAGCATGGCCGATTTTTTTAACAACAGCATTGAAACCGTGAATTTTGTCCGATGTATAATCAACAATACGTTTTGTACCATCAGGTTCAACTAATGAATATGATCCTTTCACTTGATCGCCATGACGTGATTCCCATGCTTGTTTATCGTCACCAGTATGCAAATCTTTGACAGCATATCCGAATTTATAATTGGCTGGAGCCTATTTGGGAAACGAAATAAATTTTTTAAAGGGGTGAATATGGGTCTTCGCAACAATGGAAGTAATTTACATTTATAAAATCCAAATACGGATGTAATTTAATTTTCGAATGAATCTTCATCTCCGAATCGATCAATGTATCCAATGCTCATTCTCATTTGATGAGAAAAGACGAGTTCAGAGCTCTGAATTTTTTTTTAGGTGTAAAGAATGGATGGTCAATACTTACATGGTAATCATGGTCATCATAGTGATCATAGCCGCCATCATAGCTTCCTAAACCATGTGACAAATGATCAATGTGCACGTAACTGCTTGAATGGCCGTAACTGGCAAATGCACCACATGCCATGACAATCATACATAATGCAATCTATTCGAAAATCAACACAAAAATTATTTTACGATTTGGTTATTATCGTTTCATTAGATTTTATCTCAAAATAGTATTTCAAATCTGGAATTTCACTCTTTGAACTTGAAATTTATTGATAATGAGACACTTTTTCTGCGTCTTTTTCTTTTGCACACTTAGAACTTAAATCATCAAAATCAAGTAAACAATTTTATTTCGCTTGGAAAATCAATTTTCTTTTTCGCTCAAAGTAAAACACTAATCACTTGTGGTTCGATTCGTTTCTCATACATACCTGAATGGCTTTGAATTCCATTGTCGCTTGTTTTTTTTTTAATTAGGAAGAACGATATCTTGAATGAAAAAAAAATATTTCTATGTTTTAAATATATGTGTTTGGTGACGAGCTCAACGAAGGAGTTGAATCCAATTTGATTGAATATCAATGGAAAACTGACGAATTACTATGAATTGTTGATCATTTTTATACGAAAAATTATTTATCGGTGCATTTGCAATCAACGACCTACCACATTGCGACGGATTTCCCACCCGAAAACAAAAACCTGCGATTTGTTTACCGCTATACATTTTGTGTTTTCGTTTGATTCGTAGTATCTTCATCCGATAGTCGGTGCAATTGCTGTATGGCGCGTGCGCGTACACATTTCGTTACCATTTGTATTTCTCACATACATACGAATTTTGTAGCGGTCGTAAGTGTTTTTGCTTTTTATTTTTCGAGCCGCCTTTTTTCGATTGTCTTTTGTATGCCACATTTTTTTTTCGTCGGCTCTCTAGTGTATCCATAAATAGCTGACGATTTATTTCGATGCATTTTGGGTATATATGGTACACAGTCAATGGTTGTTTGGCCATTGTTTTTGTGTTAAACGATCATGTGGAAAAGCGGTCATTTTGATTGAAATGTTTTTCAAAATTGGTGAAATAAATTTTTGATAGATATTACTTTTTATGTTTTAAAAGTTGACATTAAAATCGGATTTTAAGCAATACAATGTTTACACCATGACGATATTGCTTTGTTGCAATACATTGATCTCGTTTTTTTAAACTGTAATTATGCAGTTGGGATTTATTTTTGTTTTGACAAGATCGCTGTCTTGGCTTTCGAATTATTTCAAGGTTGTTGCTGGTCATAAGATTTGTTTCAATTTTGTAATTGAACATTGCCCTTTTTTCGCTGGTCCCAAATTATGTGGTGCAAGCGACGTCAAGCAATTTACGGTGTTGTATTTGAGAAAGAAAATGTTAGAAACAACAATCTTTTTTGCTTTCGTTCAAACAACGGAAAATGTCGATCGATCGATTTAGATTCTTCAACAAATGAGAAAAAAAACAAACAACATTTGCTCTTGGCTCTCTTGATAGAAAATCCCATTGAAACGTGAAATAATATAATGTCGAAATTGGTACGCGTAACACTAACATTGTAATATGGAAAGCGCTCGCACATTTGTCCCATGATGAAAATAATAATAAGCCATGTCATGACGATGATACAGACAAAAATCAAGTGTACGGCTTCCTCCATTTGGATACTCTTATCTCTGTCAACACATGAATGTCCAAATGTCGATTGCGTATTTGGGCATAGATACTTTTCAATCATAATTGCGGTAGTATCTGCAGAAAAAGTAATAGATAATAGAAAAAGTAGTAATTCAAAGCGGATTAGATGAAATTTCATAACTTTATCTCTGTTATCGATGCTGCATGCTGCGACTGCCGTTGTCTATTGATACCAATGAAAATGAAAACATTGTTCACTTTCGACTGTATCATCAACTGTCGATGATATAAACTCGATTAAGCGTACAGAAGAAAATGAAGAATAAGAAGAAGAAGAAGAAGAAGAAGAAAAGCATACAAAACATAATAAGACTCTTTGATCTTTCAATTAATTGAGCGCCGCGAAGAGAATGGACGGCGAACGCAATAGAATCTAAAATACACTCTTTTTTATAAAAACATATAATCTATCGCACGCCCATCGTACTGTGTGCACATTTTGCAATTTGTTTATTGCAATAAATTATTATAATATTTATCGAAGAAAAATCAAAACAAAATCGTTGGCATGCAGAAGGATTTGGGCCAGATCTTTTTGTTGCCTTTACACTGGCTTATGTAATATCACACAAAAGTCTTAATATGGTATGCGCCTGAAATTGATAGGCGTGATCTACATATATATATTCATTGATGTTGCGAAAATAAAATGTTTGTGATGTTCATTTTCTTTTTGATTATTATTTCAAATAGCATCAGATGTGAATGAAAGCCATCAAATACAGTTGTTCATTTCATTTGTCTGCCGCATTTTGACATATCTTCCTTAATCTTTTCATGTGTGTCTGTTCATGTACAATTTCATTATATGCCAAATTCAGTGGTAAATGCGTGTTCGCAATTACTGCACATGAGCATGTAAATTAATCCAATCGATTGCAAGCCGCGTCTCAAATGATTATTGTAATTTGCACGGATGGCCAACGTTAGATGGTTTTCTTGCCATAAAATTTATATGGAAACCAGCTTGCATCACATTGAACATTGTATGTTGATCTTGTTCACTTTTGCTACCGCTCGATTAGTTCGACAAATGGGTGGCACAGTGAAATTCATGACACGATCACGACAAGCGCGTTTGAATCGCATTCGATTGATGCTCAGCCAAATCATGCTTCTTGTCTGTCTCATGATTGCTTCTTAATCACATTTTCACATACGATCATCTTGTCTCTACACAATTTGCCACTATTTTGTTCGAATTAAATAAATATATTATCATGTGTGTGTTCGTACGCTACACAATCTATGCAGTCATCGAAAAATTAATTTTTCCTAGCAAAATTCAAATTGACTTTAGCTTTGCACATTGCATTTTGAAAAGCAAATGCAAACCATAACAAATATTATTCACGCAATTCAACGATGTTGTGAACAAAATTGGAGTTGAATTTCAATCACAATTTTCAAGAGATGCACACACATTTTATGGATTTTATGTTTGCAATTCGTATCGAAACTGCACGGGAAGCGCATTTTCATTTCAACTTTGCAACATATTGAATTCGTTTTAATTGTCATCTTATTCATTTAATACCATTATTTTACACTGAAAATTTGATTTTCTAATTAATTGAAAATTATTTCCTTGACATTTAAAAAAGTAGATCGACAAAGACACTGTCTAAGATTACCTTAAAAATTGCATAATCATTGGATCAGAGTTTGATTCGGCCCTGATTACTACTAATTTAATGCTATTTCTTCGTTTCAACCGAAGAGCTTGTGTTAAATGTCGAGAATTATTGTGAACAGTAGCAATACTTATTTTGTAAAAGTTTTGAGAGTTTTAATATTACATGCAGATTTCACGGTAATTTGGTAAAATCAATAAAACGGCAATTATAAACAGCTGAAATTTCCAATAAATCGAGGTTTTTTTTGCAATGAATACACCTTTCAGCCATAAATTTACACCGCATGCATTCTTTAATTTTGTATTCTACTTAAATGGTAAATTTGGCCTGTCTATATTATATATTGCTTGATTTCAATTAGTCGCCATTCTAAAATTATAAAAATTTACACAAAAAAATGTGAAAAACAAAATGATTGGCAGAGAGAGAAAAAATGATGCAAATATTCATGCTCCACATTTTCCGGTCATTAAGTTCAGCAGCCGTAGTGGCGGCGACGGTCATTCGTCCATGGTGTGCATGTGAGAAACACGGATGACCATCGACGCTACGTAAAAGTAATACATAAAAACCGTTTGTTGCTACAGACACTTTCGCATTTTTGTCTGTTTTGATTAAATGGTCTGAGAATCAATGCGGCGATGGACTCAATGCTATCTTTCTGTGAATTACAACGGAGACCGAATTTCACGATATAATTATTATTGTACATTTCATTAAAAACGTTCGTCTATTGGACGATACAGTGAATGATTTCATTACTGTAACTCTTGCAAACTCTTGATTTCTAGGCTCGACATACTTTCACAATATTTGCAATCTTTCAATATATCGTTTGGATTGAATGGCATTTCGTAAAATTATGAATTTCATATATTTCAGACATCAACGTGTTTGGCATCGTGCGTGGAATGCTTGTGGGTGTCAAATTCACAGAAAACTCATCTCAAGGAATCGTTGTGGCTGTATTGTGGTGGTTATGGAATGAGAGTCTGGTTACCAGTGTTTCCTCGCGATGCGGACAGTGGCTACGGTAGCCGGCACACTTTTATGTCAAAACGTATTATGCTGTCGTTTGCATTGAAAGTATATCCATTGGCAATTCTCTTTGAGGACGCCATCATTTTGGGCGTTGAAAATGATACGGTTATGTATACAAGCGATTCTAGTTCACATTTTTCGCTACCATTTTGCATTCTTGAACGAACAGTAAGTTGATTGCAATACGATATATTTCATTCTGATTGATTTTTAAATCGCAAAACATTTGTGTCATTCACAGAGTCAAGTTTATCTTCATCAAATATTGCGTCAATTAATCCGAAGGAATCTTGGATATAATGCATGGGAAATTGCACGCAGTTGTTCAAATCTACCATATTTTCCACATTCATTGGAACTTCTTCTGCATGAAGTTCTTGAAGAAGAAGCAACCAGCAAAGAACCGATTGCCGATGCGCTACTTCCCAGTGTGCTTGAATTTATACAAGAATTTCCAGTTTATTTGCAGGTTTGTTGGTTGAAAATTTATTCCATAAATTACCAAAGAACGATTAATCATTTCACCAAGCACTCGTATTTACTGTTACATTTGTTTTTTTTTTTTTTGTTCTTCTTTTATCTGCATTTTGATTGTGTGTAGACTGTTGTGCAATGTGCAAGAAAAACGGAAATAGCTTTATGGCCCTATTTATTTGCAACGGCTGGCAAACCAAAAGATCTATTTCAACAATGTTTAACGCAACATCAACTAGAAACGGCTGGCAGTTATTTGATTATATTACAGGTGAGCGTTTGACAGTGTTTATATACATCGTGATTAAATTCGATTCTATTTCGTTTATTAAATTTTATTTTTCTTTTAAATCATTGTTACAAATACAGAATCTGGAGCCATCGTCAGTGAGTAGGCAATTCGCAACGATTTTATTGGAAACGTCATTAGAAGAGGAAAAATGGGATTTGGCCAAAGAGCTCGTTCGATTTTTACGTGCAATCGGTAATATTTAATTTTAGAAAATAACCAATGACGAATATTCTTCCGAAAATATTTTGTCCAGATTGAATGTTTTTCGACATTCAAAATAAAAACACACAACATGAAACATTATTTTATTTGAAAAAAAAAAAAAATGTTTTAGATCCGAATGACGTTGAATCACCACGAAACTCATTTGTAATGGGAAATAAATTGCATCTGAGTCAACAGCCGGCACCGGTAAGTCCGAATGCTGAAGACTTAAGTTTGATTCTTGGTTCAATGGCACGGGGGAGAAGTTTTTCAACAACAGTCAATCCAAAAATGAACGAAATTGTTAGTCCGCCTTCAAATCAAACGCAATCGAGCTCAAATACGACGGGAAAAGCAGCGTCGGTGGGTAGCATAGATGCATCATCAGTTGTACGCCGCAAAAAAAGTGCACCACACACAGCAAGAGAAAAGTACATACAATTTTACCATATGGCCAACCAACAAATTAACATTTAAATTTCATCATTTCAGAGATTCAACGACAGCCGAAGAATTCTTCATTGAAATAATAATTCAACGGCATGCTCGACGTCTTTTGCAAGATAAAAAACTAGAAGCCTTAGGTTACTTGAGTGCCGCTTTGGATTTTCATTTGGTCGGTTGGTTGGCACGAGAAAAGGATCGGGCAGCTCGTATTGAAGATTTTGTTGCAACGTTAAAGCAACTTCATGAGGATTTCGATTGGCCTAAACCCAGTTTGGATATTAAATTGAGTCGAAAATCTTCGGAGAAAGCGCAGCAACAACAAGAATCACCGAGTTATTCATTGCAATCGTTGCGTGTCGACACACATATGGGCACCGGTGATTCAGGGTAAGGATTTTGATTCTCTTTGAAAAAGAGTTTAAAAAAATATTTAAAAAAAAAAATTTCGCTTTTTAGATACACAAGTTTGCCTACAAATTTGGATTTTATGCATGCCGATCCGAGTGCATTTATGAACAGTGCTATGTCATCAATGGATTCAAATATTGATCCGTTATACATGTACAATGCTGAAATTTCTAATTTGGCTCTGCAACAATTATCTGGCCGTTTCAATGAACTTGGCCGAATTAATGAAGAAGATGTTGATGGTCGTTCGAATCAACCATCAAATAGCGGAAAATTAACAGCACCGAGATTTGATGCGTTCAGACGTGAACCAAGCAATTCCGTGCTCGGCGAAACCGAGGCTAAACTCATGCCGGTCGATACAATGAGCTGTGTGTCGGAGCAAGTATCGGTTTGGGGTGACGACAATACGTGTACATTTAATGCGGAACTTGATGGACATTTTGATCGGAATATGGAATCATTGGTAATGCAAAACAGTCGACAAGTTTGCCATAAGCTTGAAGTTAAAACTCGTTATTTACTGCAAATATTTACGGAAGCATGTTGTTTTGATTTTGCATTGCTTTTGTCAATTATCTTGATGGATGCAGCATCAATCAGTCGCATCACAAGTTCGGCCATTCGATCTGGCTCTTTGGCTATTTGCCGTCAACTACGAAATGGACTTAAAGACATAACACGATGGAGTTTCCAAGAGTGGTAAGTTCACTTCCATATTTCGATTTATTATTTTATTTTTTTCTTATAAATTCAAAATTCAAAACTTTCATTTTTACTTTAGTTTGGGATACCGACCATTCATGATGATGCTTCAGCCGCAAGTAAATCTTTTGGATCGATTTGTAATTCAACAAGAATCGATACCAAATTTTATGCCACCGCTTGGTGCGAGACAACCACAGATGCAATTCAATCGCGGTGCTGATGGGATGGCCAATTTAGTAAAAAATGTTCGTAACTAGAAACGAATGTGTTTTGGAATTTCGAAAGTTCAACTTTTCTCTTTAAATTTCAGACTCAAAACATGTCACTCACGAAAACATCGATTGAACCACAGACAACAATTGAACATATGAGCAGTGGAAATCGTCAGCGATTGAATAAATCCATGTCCGAACCGCATATCGACACCAGCCGAATAAGGCAGAAGTATTCACGACAAGCCAGCATTTTGGAGCATTCCACGAACAATGAGACGATTGAACAAATTGAACACGATGAAGAAGCTAAAAATGGTTGTTCGATAATGTAATTTAATAAAAAAAATGTGAAGATGAACAACAAACAAACTCATTTCTATAGCAATTAATTAATTTGTGTAAATAACAATGAGAATGAACAAAATGGAAAATGCAGCCAGAGCTCACTCAATTAAAACACAATTTCGCTATTTGATGCGAAATTATTCAGATAAAATAAAGAACGGTAAAATAGTGTTCACGCTCAATACTCAATGATGATTGTGACAGTAATGAATTTGACACGATCAATTTACTCGTTCTTTCTATTTTGTTACATATTTGCTTCGATCCATGCGCTTAATTCATTCACATTAAATAATATGATTCGAATTTTAAATAAACTCTTAGAGAAGAATCGTTTTAATTTAAAAAAAACTCATATTTGACCTCTATTGTCGATATGGAAATGAGATTTCTCAAACGAACCCATAAAAGCAAATGGTGCACACGTATTCAAATGAGAAAAGTAGCATAGAACACGAATTGGTTTCTTAGTTTATCCGTATTCCGTATGGCGTTTATATATAGATATATATAATTTATTTGTTTTCTATTTTGTTTATTATGAATAAATAAAATTAGAAAGAGATTTTTTTTCTTCTATCAAACGTTAAATAAGATCCTCTTATTATGCACCGAAAAAACTTTGTCAATTTTTGCAATTCGAGATACAAAATACTTTATTCACTTTACAATATTTATGAAAAGAAAAAAATATTTTTATTGTTTTTTAATTTAAAAAAAATGTCCTAATCGAAATGTAGAAATTATTTAATATTGCTGAAAATATCGGCATTACATTGTATAGTGATAGAAAGTTTGAAAAAAAAAATGAAAAGTAAAACTAATGGAATGGAACACTTGAAATATGAATAGATTTTGTTAGATAACGAAAATGACTCTTGAAGAAAGTGCCAAAATCAATTCAAACAAAAATTCTTTACTCTTTTTCCTACTTTGCTAACCGGTGATCAAACTTATGTTTTCATCAAACGATTAATTTAACAAAGCATTTAATTTCAAGCAATTTTTACATCACGATTTCTTTTTGTTTCCGATAGTTAAAACGAATGAATTTTCTTGTGGAATTTTAACCAATTACACACAGAAAAATATACAATGGAAACAAGTTGACATGGTATCAAAAATTCGAAATTGGCTAGTAATCTCTTTAAAATTGTATTTGTCCACATAATTATCATCACAGCTCTGCTTCTCAGTACTCCTACAGTACCTCAAGCGCTTGTCCGCTTTAATTTATTGCTCTGAGAAACAGTATCTGGTGGATCTTCTTCAAAACATAAACGAAGAAGAACCATTCAAAAGAAAAAAACACAAAAACGATATTTTCTATGAAAATTATACACAAAAAATTCAATTTCAAGCAAATTACCAACGAATTCTGAATTTTAGATGATATGTCGTCTATTCCATCGGATGTTTTTCGTGATATTTTGCGACCTGAAAAAATTTCGATCAAGTCGCAGAATTCAGACGAACGTAAGACAATTCGTAAGATTTGCATCCTTTGTTTTTATCAAATTGTGACAACTTATTTCGAATTGTTGCGACTTTTTTATTGAAGTAGCTGATTATTTTACAAATTAAAAAAACTTTGTCCTTTCGCAAATAGACTATTTCCCCTAGCCCTCTTTTTCTTCGTCATGAATTAATATCTTCGAATAACTTTTACAACGTGACTAGATGTGTTTGCACATGAATGCAATATTTTATAATGAAAAACAGTCTTTAGATATGAAAATGATATATTTCTGTTTTAAATTATTAACACTAACGATATGCAAATTCCAATTTCATTTCAATTTTTAACGTAAATAAACGTATACTTAAGTATTTGAACGATATGTAATTTATAGTTGGGACGATTCCAAAAATACCGAGCCAAAAAAAAAACACACTGCTCGAATGTAACTAAATTGATTTTAAATAAACAAAATGAATTCCGATTATATTTAAAACCAAAATGGTGAAGGATGTGTTGTTTTAATTTTCTCGAAAGTTTCATATTTTAATTTGAAGAAATGATATTTGGTAAGGTCACCGATTTGATTGAATGTCCGAGACTTCTACTCGCAACATATTGAATTGAAACGTCACCACACGAGTGATGAAACAGTAAGTTGAGAAGAATGCATACTTTCGAAGAAAAATATTTACATTCAAGCTCCATTAAATTGAGGATCTACAGTCCAGAAGGCTATCAAATAATTGAGTATCTATCTCGTCGTATGTTCATCTGGTTGAATCATCCTATTACGAAACTGAAGGTACCATAATCAATAAAGAAACAAGTAATAAAAAAGTTATAAGATTTGAGTGGGATATTACATGGAGTGGAAAGGATCGCTTTACACAATCTTTTTCAAAAAGAGATTTCAAAGTTGCTTGCTCTTTGTGTTCTTCATTTTCACGAATCATGAATGTGAATTAACTAGATTCACGAAGAAAACGCACTAACATACAAAACGCATACTAGATGAGTTAGCTTTTTTGTAACTTATGCACTTCAATTTAAATATATACTAAAGTTAAAATTCACTCAAAATTATATTACCCATAACCTGAAATTAATGTACTCATCATGATTTTGAAATTTTCTTTTTCTTTTCTTTCCATGCATAGGTGATGACGAGGGTTCCTAGGGTTGGGATTACCCCCTCTAAAATATTTTTGGGAACCCTCAACAATTTTGGAAATGAGGACCTTTTTTTTGCTCTTCACTTTTTTTGGCCGAGAAAATTCTTTCGATTTGCTAGGGATTTTCGCCAAAAATGTGAAGAGCAAAAAAAAACGATTTTATCCTCATGTCCTACAAATTGTTGACATCGTCATGGATTTTTCCAGGGACCCCCTGGAATTTCCTACATCATCTATGAATAGAATAATAAAACAAAAATTGTTGAGAGTAATATCGAGAAAAACAGTTTGTGCAATTATAGAGAGATATCAATTTAATTCTTGCATTTTTTCTGAACTTGTGAATATCAATGGCAATATCCGCTATGTAAAGACACCGCAATATGAAATTTATGTGAATAATAATTGAAACAAATGAATGTAAAATCAAGAATATATTTTATTTCTCATTCGCTCTCCATCACAATCATTTCCAATGCATAACTAATTTATGTTTTTTTGGTAACAGTTTTTCTTTTAAAAATATCGTTATTTATCTATATATGATTTAGTAAATTTTTATGTTTTGGAGCGTTTTCTTGGTTTGGTGAAACTACGAAATACAATAATTTAAATAAATTTATCTAATTTGTTTAATTTATCGTACTTTCTTGCCATTATTCAAAAGGAACGAAGGAACAATCGAATATAAATCTTTAAATAATTTCAATGCCAAAATGTTTGAATTGAATAAAATTTAAAAGCGCTTCCGCCTCCGAATCCGAATAAAAATAACATCGAATAGCTTGTTGCGATTAAGGATTAAAAACAAATCATATATTCAAATAATCTTATATTAATGGTAAATCGACGGACGATTCAATGCATTCCATTAATTATCCACAATTCAGCATATGCCGTTTTATTCACGCTTACACATCACGGATTCAAATGTTTCTCTCTTAATACTCATTACAAGGCACATAAAATGAAATCAAAATCAGCATTCCCGTCCGAACAAAAAAATGGTGTAAAAATTCCACATTTTGTGAATTTTCGTTGTACACATTTTTTGGCTTTCAAATGAACAAAAAAAAATACATTTCGGTCGATTTAATTTGGAGTGCGGGTGGATGTACTCATTTATTTGTATTTATAATCTATAAATGTTTTTTTTTAAGATTCGTGCCATTTTTCATAAACAAAATTCCATCGTACTATTTATAAGGCGCATTTAATAAAAACGTATAATTCGATGTATAGTCTGCTATGAAAAATTGATCGAAGCTGCAATAAAATCAAACCAAAATTCGGAACATTCGGTGTATTTATATTGGGGCTGAATGAATTTTGATTTGCTCGATATTTCCTTTGGGGTGTTTCTTTGTTTGTGTTCATGTTTTTTTTATATTTTCTTCGATGGTGCACAATTTTTAGCACTTTTTAACATCACACCATTTCAAAACTAATATTATGGCTAGTTATATTTTAAGAATTACATTTATCACTACAACTAGTTAATGTTCAATGCTTAAATTTTCTTTTCATTTTGCACAGCTCAATGGTGAAAAATAAACCTATTCGTAAGCTGATAATATAAAATGTCCATGGTTTATTCAAAAGCTGTATTCGATTACATCATATGTGAGTGGTTAGTCGGTATTAGTTTGTGGAATAAAAAGAAATGCAGGAAGAATAAGGGTGCAATTCCAATTGAAAAAAAAATAACTTCGTTTGACATAACTGTTGCGATTTTAATTCACGGCGATTAAACTTTAAAAAAAAGTGATGCATAAGACAGTTAGTTCGTGTTTGTGTGGACGAGTTCTGATTCTGGTTGCTGTTGCAAGTCGTATATCTATGCTTTACACGATGGATGTACGATACCATGCCTAATTTGTACTACAATTAAAAGCTTATTTTATTTGCCGGTGCATTGAAATAAATTCGCTTTATATGAACTATATTCGTTTAATTTTTTTTAAATTTTGTGTAAGATTTGCAGATGAGAAAGTAAAGCGATACAATATGCGGTGTGCTATTATTGATAACGTATTATTTTATAACCAAAAATAGCTATGAGTGACACAGTTTTGAATTGAAAAACAATCGTTTTGTCCTGAAAGTTGATAAATGACAGAAACGCAACGAAGGAAATCCCGTACGGTACGTTCGCTCATACTTTGGATTTTTTTTAACTTCTCGTAATTTTTGGTTCAGTAATTGTCATACTAAGCAAAAAAGGGAACCAATTATGTTAAATTGCGCCTTTTATGGTTATAAATTCGCAATTAAAACAAACATATACGAAATAAGATGTGTGAGTAAGCATCATATTGTTGTTACTAATCATTAAATGATCTCAAATGGAGTCAGATTGGGTTATTTGATTTGACGATATTTTTCATTTTTAATTATTCTAATAATAAAATGTGTAATGCAATGCCATTGACATATGTCTAGTTTGTCTTCATTGACTGACTTATTTCATTTAAATTTAATTTAAATTAATTTAAATGTACTTAACAAAATATTGGGCCGGTTGTTGTTGTTGTTGTTGTTTTTTTTAAATACTATCTACCTATGCATAATTTTTGTTTCGAAATAATTCTCATGAAATCAATTATCTGGCAAAGTTCATTTCAATGAACATATTAAAACTTTGTTATTGTTTGCTGCAGCATATTTTGACTTGACTCAAACATTGTGGATAAGTCTTACATAACCCCTTGTGTGTGTGTTATTTTATTTACTTTCATTTTCTAATCTATTCAATATTTATTCGTTGAATTATCTGTTTCTGTGTGTTGTTGCCGTTGTTGCTCGATGTTTAAAATATCTACGTTACGTAGGTTGCTCCATAATTTTTTTTAAAATGGTACTTATAGTGTTGCCCGATGTAAACCATTGTCATATTCGTAAAGTTTGATGTTTTGGTATGTATTCGTGCCCTGAACCTTTTGTCGTACGAACGCTATTTGTATTGTTTACAGTGACTGGTAAACTGCGACTCAACAAAAAAATGAATTTTACACGTGAAGATTTTCGTAAAATGATTTACTACGATTTTCGAAGTAAATTATCTCAACAACAGTGTTTCGATCGACTTCATTTGGCCTTTGGCAATGAAGCACCAACCCTTCAGACAATTTATAACTGGTACCGAGAATTCCGTTGCGGTCGTAGTTCGCTCAAAGACGAGTTTCATACAGGTCGTCCAAAATCGGCTGTTGTGCCACAAAACATCGATGCTGTCAGAAAACTGATTATGGAAGATCGTCATGTGACCTACCGTGAGATTGAGGCATCTTTGGGCATTTCATCCCACAGCATACATACAATTTTGCATGAACATTTAGCCGTAAAAAAGATTTGCTCTCGTTGGATCCCACATAAATTGACCGACGAACAAAAAATGGCTCGTGTGAGTTGGTGTAAAGAAATGCTCAAGAAATTCAATCGTGGTGCTTCAAAAGACGTTAATAAAATCGTCACTGGTGACGAATCGTGGATATATGCCTATGAGCCCGAAACGAAACAGCAGTCGACTGTATGGGTCTTCCAAAATGAAGATAACCCAACGAAAGTTGTTCGAGCAAGAAGCACTTCGAAGCGAATGGTCGCCTGTTTTTTCGGGAGAAGTGGTCATGTGGCAACCGTTCCACTAGAGGATCGTAAGACCGTCAATTCTGATTGGTATACCACCATTTGTTTGCCCGAAGTGTTTGGTGAAATAAGAAAAAACAACCACCGTCGCAAAATAATTCTTCATCACGATAATGCGAGCTCTCACACATCTTTTCAAACTACTCGATTTTTGACCGGTCAAAACATCGAACTGATGGGTCATCCACCGTACAGTCCTGACCTGGCACCCAATGACTTTTTTTTGTTCCCAAGCGTGAAGAAAAAACTACGTGGTCAACGATTTTCGACACCAGAAGAAGCAGTTGAAGCGTTCAAAACACACGTTTTGGAGATATCAGTTTCGGAGTGGCACGAATGCTATGACAAATGGTTTCATCGAATGCAAAAGTGTATCGATCATCTCGGGGAATATTTTGAAAAACAATAAAACCATTTTCGACAAAAAACAACTGTGTTATATATGTTTTTAAAAAAAATTATGGAGCAACCCTCGTATATCCATGCTTTTCGCTTCTTTTCTTTTTCATTCAGAAAAAAATAAAACTATTTGATTAAAGCTATGTGATACCTATGTTTATTTGTTTGGTTTGTTGATTTTCATGATTAAGATTAATCGTCCAAATTGAAGCGTCCACTCGTGCGTCCCTTGTGATTTTGATGGTTGCGATTGACCTAAAAGTACAAAAGTAAATGTGTTTTGCACTTAAAGGTGTTTGCAACGTTTTTATATAGTTTTCTATATAAAAAAATAAACAAATCCATCAAATACATACATGGATAACTCATGTATTGAGTTGGCACTTCTGAGTTGGATGGTTAAGCGAAGAAATTATACTTGTAGAAAATGTATTCTCAACGAATTTACGGCGATCAATTATAGCTGAAAAAAGAGAATCTAATGCAATCGGAATATTGCAGTTACTAACACTGCCGAAAGCGCAAACAAGGAAAATTGTTGAGTTTTTATTGAAGCCGTGTTACATAAGTCGTTCGTGCAAGAGCAAAAATAGTTTTGAACTTCAAACGTGCCCGACTTTTTTAAGCATCCCTTATTATCATTGTCCGAAACCAAATATCCACAATCCCGTACTACGCGTATTTTTCCGAAAACTATTAAATACAGGAGAAAGAAAAATGATAGCCAACACATAAAACTCGCTGGTCTTTTTTTTATCAATTTGATTTTGGATCGGTTAAATTTACTTTTTTGAGTAGTCTTTCTGCAAAGAACTGGTTCTACATTTGGCAGATGTTCCAGGCGAGTTTTTAAGCTACAATTTACTTTTCCCAATGAATACGGATCAAAGGGATCACCACATCTTGGATCAAATTCACTTGAATTATAAAGAAAATAGTATTGAATACCAAATGATGATGAAAACAAGCTTATAAGCTTGGAAATGATAACAAACCTGTTACATTGATAACATTCGATTGCAGTTGTGGCTGTAATTTGAAAATATTTCCAAATTAAGCATTTTTTCTGTATAATATAAATTGTGAATAAAAGAAATACCTCCAAATAAACACACTAATGAAATAAGGAAAAAACATATTTTCATCGCTTCCAGAGATCGCATTTTTATAACTCGAAATTTCGATAAATTTTTAGAATTTGTTACAATATCCGTTTGTAAAGCAGTCAATATTTAATCTGAAAAAAGATAAAAAAAACAATTATAATGAAATCAACTTCACGTTGGCTTCGATATATGTCTCTGATGTCAGAAGTTAACTAAAATTTAAAGCAATTGACCAATCTCACCACAAATGATAAAAATTCAATGTTAAAACGAAATTGTGAAGCAGAGAAATTAAATCTAAGTGTTTATTTATTTAGTTGGTGACATCAGCACCCAAGGAAACTCTGAGCTCGACAAATATTCGAATCATCATCAAAAGTATTAAAAAATTCTGAAATATTTGATGAGTTGAAAATAAATCGAAACGACAAAAAAAATTGGACAAACATTTCTTGATTGTTTGACCATATAAAACAGTTCATATTGTTTCATTCAACTCAGTGCCATTGCACTCATAACTACTTCAATACTATTAAGTTGTAGAAAGCGATAAAGTGGCTGAGACTTTGGAGATGGGAACTGAAGAAGACCTATTATTTTTTTCATCAAGCTATTGACACAAATCAGTAATATCTAGGATATTATTTATAAATTTTTTATATTTACATCAAAGCTCATCGGCAAATGTTAAGTTTGAAAAAAATATTACCCATCGTAATATTTCGTATTAATTTAACTATTAATTAATTTTTAATAGTAATTTTAACTTTTGGCCATGGGGGGCGTAGTGACCGCTGCGAATTCGGCGACCCCATTCGGTCTATTTACCTTTACCGTGCAGCCTGGGATGGTGACTGAGTGTCATTCGGTCTACTGACCTGGTGGACCGTGTGGGTGACCGTTAGAATATCGTATGTGGTCGTAAGATTATTATTAAAAAGATGTGGTTTTTAACGGTTATCAGATGTTTACCATAGTATATCACTGATTCATACCTTTTTCCCACCAACAAATGTAGAAAAAATTGTATAAACTCAAAAGATTCAGCCAGTTTTGGCGCTGAATAAAGATTATTATTATTATTATTATTATTAATGAACAATTTTTATCAAAAGAAGGTGCGACATACATTTTAACACCAAGTTGCTAGGGGACATTCGTAGCAATTCTAGTAAGCTAGTTTTATTTACGTATTCGCTAATCGCTTACTAGTATTACTAGTGAGTACACTAGTGCTGCTAGTAGCTGCTAGTTTTTCTAGTGTTTTGAAATTACCTAGACGTATCGTATGATACATAAAAGAAACAACAGTAATGCTTAAGTCGCTTGTAAACGAACCAAGTGAATAGCGGAGACGCACGATAACGAAGTGAGTGTATTGCGGCAATGGATAATAACGTTCGTTGTCGCTATTCACTCACTTCGTTTTCGTGCGTCTCCGCTATTCACTTGGTTCGTTTGCAAGCGACTTACGCATGCTACAATATATTTTACATGCCTCAATTCATTTGCTTTGGACTATAATACGCTAGTGCTTGCTAGTCGCTGCTAGTTGCTGCTAGTTTCACTAGTTTTTCTAGTATGAATGTCCCCTAGCCAAGTTGCATGGAAGAATGGGAATATGAAATTAGAATTGATGAATATAAGGACGACCGTTGATTAATATGACATGAATAGTTGACGTCTCAATTAGACTTGTATGTACAATTGTACATGGCATGCGTATTGATTATTAAGCTTCTTGAAATTTTTGGTTATTTTACTTCCAATTGTAAATTAGCTTTATACAATACAAATATCTCAACACATAGATAAAAAATAGTTAGGCATGTGTTTGCATGAAAAAGAAGAAGAAAGAATTTTGATGTTAGATTGGTTGTTTGGTTATTGTTGTGTTGTTGAATAGCGAATGTGTATGACAGTAGCGCGGAAAAGCGTGCCGAGTGTGGTAAAATGAAGACATCGAGTGCATTTCAAATCGATTCAACCAAATGCATGCCACTTACCACAACAATGCCATTGTATATGTGTTCGTGTTTGATTGCAAAAATGTCGATGAAAATGGGTCACACATAAACAAAATAGCTGGCGAATCGTTGGAAACGACGAAAAAAAAGAACATGGAAAATCAAAAATATGCACGTCAAACAGTTTTTTTTTCTTTTGTGTATTGCAACCACCACGTGTTACATAAAGAAATCGATATATATGATCGATAAGCCCACTTTATGTTACATGTATTATGTCAATGAACAAAGATTATCTTACATTGACAAACATTGTTGGAAGTTTTTAAATAGAAAATGTATATGTCTAAATAGAATATGCAGCAATGTGTAAATTTGGTGGAGAAGTAAAACGCTCGGCCTTTTACTGTCTTCAATATAAGGAGAACAGTTTTTTTTTGTACAAAACCAAGGAATTTTCGAGTTACATGTTGATGATATTTGTATGACGTCAAAACATTACTGAAAATAAAAACTTTCCTCATGATGAAACAATGTTATGAACTGATTTTTTTTAGCAAGAGAAAGTGATACCATAGTGTCGTTTTTCTTGTTAGAAACCCTACTGTTCTCGACACCGAAAATATACTAATGGCAAAAAATCACGTGTGAATGAGAACGGCACATTCACAAAGCAAAGCTTCTTAATTTAATTTTCTAAATGGAACTTATGTTCAGTAAACAAAGGTGGCTTTCTATGCAATAATAAATGTATCGATGTCAATTGAATTAACCAAATTGTCTTCACATAGACGTCCCTACTATTTTAAATGCATTTTCCTCTATATCGGGGAAACTAATGTAACCGAAATGTTATACCTCAATGTCCTAATTTTCATTTTATGCAACGCTTGCAAAGATGTATTCAATTATGCTGCATATTTGGCCACGAAACAGGAAATTCAAACATGAAAGAATCTATATACCGCAGTGAAAAACGTTTACCTGCGACAGTGAAACAAAAACAAACGAACCTTTTCCACCTGAACACATTTGAAAGTAAATGTTGATTTAATTTCGTGAAAGTAACTAATTTCGTGGTTAGTAAAACATATGTTTGCAATGAACAGTTTCGACCATTGTTCAACAAACTGTCGAAAATGTGCACACTTCTCACGAAACGAGGATTACTTAATCGTAATTATTCAGTTTGTGTCCTGATAACACAAATTAATATATGCATGTACACCAAAAACAAAAAAACTATTTCAACAACGAAAATGTTCAATTAAATGTTTAGTTTCAAAATGTTTTTACTTAAATAATCAGGTAAAGTTATGCAACGAATGAAAATATCTGTGATATGAATTTAAAAAGCTTAAACAGGAAAGTTATTTCAATATTTCAACACTGGTGCAAGATCAATGACATCACTTTTTATTTTTCAAATAAATGCCAAAAAAACAACAATGCACTTACGAAAGAATTCAAAAAATGTGTATTTCATATGGTTCTTATTAGTAATGTCACTATTGAATATTCGAACGTATATGCAAGAGCATTACATAATAATTTAAAATAGACTATTCACTTAGCTATCTTCGTACTTCGTTCTCAATTCGCCGAGAGCGGAGTTTTCAGTTTAAACGTGTCTATTTCCGTTTCTTTTACCAATTCGGTATGATTAAATATCAAGCGATTCGTATTATTCGGATGTGCGTGTGTGTTTAGCATTGATTTATTTTAGAATTTAAAAAAATGGAAAACGATATGCGTGCAGCAAATTTTATTAAATTTAAAAAAGTAACCCTTAATTTTCTGTCCACCGTATGTATCTAAAAGCGAACTTACACATCAAAGGAGGAAAACAGAACTAATTTGAAGTAAAAAAGTGACTTGCATAGTTGGAATGCATGTACAATGTACATGCAGACATGGATAATATGAATGAAGGACAATTTTTCGTGTGTAACAATGTGCGCGTGTGGGTGTGTATGTGTGAGGGGGAGAATAAAAACAATTCGAAACATTACAAGTGAAAATGCGAGTGTATGTCAAAGTCGATATGCAAGTGGATAGAAAAGTGCTCTCACTGTATATTCAATACAAATGTAAAGGTACTTGCAAAAGCACGAGCTAATAATACAACAGGATTGATGCAGTTCGAAAGCGCCAAATGCGCTTCTCTGTATTTACTATCAAAATATATGTTGGATTGTGTGATTCACATACAAATGCAATGCAAATTGCGATTGTAGTTTTCATTTCATTGGTGCTTTAAATACATTCCCCTTCATTTTCAATCCCGACTATTTTAACGTTGCATTTTAGCGTTTAGCCTTTGCTATCACCATATCAGTGATATTTATCAATTCCATTGTTTTTTGCTGGCAATGAATGAATGAAACGACGAAAAATGCCAATTATCTTAAGTGATGTTGACAAGCAATCTATTTTACTACTGTGTCATGAAATTCCACATGCCCTAATTTTAAATCCAATTTCAGTGGGGTTTCGTTTTAGTAAACCATATTGATTGACTCTTCTGGGATTCGATGGTTATTCAACCTTGAGTCACGTGCATTCCATACTATCGCGCGCGATACATTGTTGCAATGCAGTAGTTTAAGTTTTAAGCACGTGTGTCTCGCGGGAAGCTTAATAGTTAGAAAAAGTTCTTGGTAAAAGCAATTTACTGTGCTTTATGGTCACTCGTTATCTAATATTCCTTATTTCTTAATGCGAAATGCTCGTTTCTTCGTACAACGTGAATACGATAATGTACAATAGCGGTGTGCCACACAGTCAAATAGAGTTACCTTTTGCTTACGTTTCACTTTTATAATCTATGACCGTATGAAATCAAGCACATTTCAAAATATACAGTATAAAATGTTCCAGTTTTTAGCTTTTGCTTTTTTTTCTTGAATTCATGGACACAATAATAGTAAGAGAGTATGATATTGTGGCACCAAAAAATGTCGGAAAAAAAACATTTTTTTTTTTCAAGATACAATTATATAAAATACTTTATTTTTTCTCTACTCATTGTGATAACGAGAAAAAAAATCAGTAAAATCTTCATTTTGGTGCAAAACATACTGAAAGCACCACGGAAATCCATTCGAACTTCAAAGATGCCAGACATTTTAAGTCAGTAATGTGCGAGCTACATTTTACAGGGGGGGGTGATTTTTCAAAAACTAAAAATTCTCTCATCTGAACAAAAATTTTTTTTTTTTTTTTTTTTTTTCTCTTCACTTTTTTTGCGGGAAAAAACCTCAGGAAATTGCGATTGTTTTGCGATGTTTTGGAAGTCACTTTTTGAGGCGAAAATCCCTAGCAAATCGGAAGAATTTTCTCACCCAAACAAAGTGAAGAGCTAAAAAAAAAAAAAAAAGGTCTTCACTTTTTTCGTGAAAAACCCTAGCAAATTCGAATAATTTTCGCGAAAAAATTTTTCTCATCCAAATCACAGGGGGGGGTAAACCCCCCCCTTCGCACATTACTGTTTTAAGTCATTTGGTCACTTGGAAACATATTCCGTCTCATATTATCTTACCTTTTTATGAAATAAAAGTTAATAATTTTTTAAATAAAAATTCATATGACATCAATCCAAGAATAAAGGATAAATGTTTGTCATTTGAATATCATTATAATGTGAAAATCTAGGGGGTAAACACATCTTCAAAATGTAGAATCCACTTAGTTTTGAAGAATATACTTCATTTCTTGAATACATTTTAATTCGGTGAATCTTCAAGCCAAAACCACGATTTCCGTGATAACGTGAATCCAAGATGGCGGCATACAAACGTATTGAACTACACAAAGTCGAAGAAATTCCGCACAAAAGAGAATAATAAATCTATACAAAGCGTGGCCTGCTAGTCGATTTTTGGCATAATATTTAAAAATTAGTGCTGTGTGCACTTGTGCACAGCGCACATGTATACATGTTATTTTGGATGTACATTGCGTATGTATTTTTGAAAATAGTAAAACGAAGAATATTTCAATATCGGCGATTCCATCACTATTCGGATATTATGAATACATGTGTCTACCCCCTAGGTGAAAATAGAATGCACATAAGACTGTTCTAAAATTCAAATGAATAAGAAAACATCTGCCATATTTGCATAAAAAGCGCGTGATAACCATCTTTTCTCGGAAATTTCATTGAATATCGTCATAAATTTCTGCCAAAATGATTTTTAAGATAAAGTGATAATATAACGTAATATAAATAGTGTAAAATGAGTAGAGCTGTTAATATATAAAATAACTGTAAACATCGATCGATCAGTGATTTTTATTGGGATAAATTTTTACAATTCGAAACAAAATAATAAGAGGGAACTGTTTCAATAAAAAAAAAGTAGAAATTAGTGAATAATGCTACGTATGTTTCTTGGAGCAATCTTCCTAACCGCAACTTTCGGGGTGAATAGATCGTCAAATTTTATCGTTACAAAAATATAAACAACAATTAACAGTTATCTCTTGCTAGATCAATCAATGTGTCATCAACAATGTAGGTCTAACTAAGGAAAGATTTCCTTCAGTTGTATATTCAAACAATATAGTAGGTGGTCCACTCGGTCATCACCTATGGAGATTCTGGTCAGACCAGGCCAATGCAATTGAAGGAGTCTTGACTAAAACTTTTAACTGCACGAAAATCAATGGTATTATCACATTAGTTGTATTATATGCAGCTTATGTGCATTTTCCAGTAAATTTGCGTTAAAAAAAGATTTTTTTTTATAAAATCTATTCTTATCTATATATTTGATCTAGTTGACGATCGCTTTCTCAAAACGGAGCCCCCCAAGTGTGGAAAAGCTGAATGGTTGCAAGATTTGTGGGCAATTGTAAGAAGCAACGATCTTATTGCAATGGATTTAGACATGATAAGAACCGTCAAATACATGGATGAACAAATTAATTATATGGTCAAACCAGAGAGGAACGTAAACGATAAAACAATCAAAAATATGGTCAAATCAAATAAGAATTTGGGCGATAAGGCATTGAATTGTTTGGTGAAATTAAATCAGAACTTGAATGATGAAACAGTCAAAAATTTACGTCAAATTTTATCTTACGGCACACAATTCAATTTACCTTTGGCGAAATCAGTTTTTAACGTGTATGGGTCACAAACTGTTTATCCAAGAGTTGGATCGGATCGTGAATTGAGCTATTATGGTTTATTGCATAAATATGAGAATCATCTTAAAATTCTGGACAGCGAACAACTTAAGAAACTCAACAACCTCGTGAAAACTGTTAAACCGAAAATGGTCGAAATTTATGAAAAAGTTCACACCATTTCTATAAATTCAAATGAAAATCTGAAGAAATTTCACACGGCAACTTTTGACATTTTTTTGGCCATGCGACGAATCGATGAAGGTAAAGATATCGCTGAAAGTTTGAACATAATAAGTGAATCCATTGAAGTTTGCAAAAAATTTATGAAAGTTCCATACTTGAAGACAATCAACAGTAACATCGATAAATTGAAGACACTCATCGATGAACTAGTTGCCGCACAACAAAATCTATTCCGTGATATTGAAGAAATTTTGAAAGTAGAGCCCAAAAAGTCAAAACTCAGCTTCTTCAAATTAAGATAATTGAAAGAATAAAGATCTTCCAAAGAAAAAAATGCTTCTGGATAATTTTGAAACAACAACAACCAAAAGTAATCTTTTTAAATGAAAAATATACACAAGAACTCAAAGTTGTATGGTTCAATTACTCTTTTACACAAGAATAAATGGTGCATTGTGAAGAAAATTCTTTCTTTCAGTTTTATCCAATGGATTTTTGGAAATATCTCTTATATTCGAGTGATGTTCAAAAGATTCTTCATTTTGGGAATTACCTGCCCTCAGAAATCTAGCTCTGATATATTCCAAACCTATCTCCCATATAAAATACTGGTTGCAGCGGTTTAGTATTTTTCAGATAGATTATACATAATTTACACACATACGCTTCCACTTCATTTTGCTTACGATTCTTACTTTTGGCGAAATTAACGCACACAATTTAATCATACGAAAGCAAACAATTGAGCTTGCACATTACCTAATTAAAGTTATATTAAAACTGTTGGGTGTCACGAATTATATCACAATTTCTAAAAAATATTGTGAATAAGACAACAAAATGACGCAATAGTATATTTAGTCACGTATTTAATTAGTAACACATGTTCTTGAGAATAAAATGGTCATACCGTCGTCCGGATTCTTATTTGTGTGTACTTTGAGTGTTTCGTCAGAGTCATTTCTCATACCATACACATTTTCCACCATTTTTCATTGCAACAGATAATTTGAATTCCATATAAAAGAGTAAACCGTTCTTCTATGTTTCACCGCGTAGGCCGTACGCAGTAGAAAAAAAGAATGAATCCCAAATATAGGGTCATATGTGATTTCATTAGATTTTTTTATATCATGGTTTGAATTGCACGTCTATTCAAAACAAAATAATAATAATAAGAGAGTTTGTTCCTTATTACTTTGCACATTATTTTCGTAACTTTGTTTATTTTTTTGCATGTGCTATTTTTTCGTATTTTAATGACAGCTGTGCAATCATTTGATCATTTAAAAGTTATCTAAAATTTCACCTAATAAATATTTGCAAATCCAATGACGACATTATACAAGGTTGTTTATTTTGATTTGCGTTATCAGTTATAAAAAGGCGATTTATCTTACGATTTAGTACTATATAAGGAGCTGATTTTGAGTGACAATCATCAGTTCATTTGACCGCTTCAGTGAATAAGGAAACATCAGGGAATAATTCTTTTTCCATTTTTTGAAAGACTATTATTTTTGGCATTCAGCTGACATAAGCATGTGGACATTTTTAATCACTTTAACTTTATGTGCTGGCTTGGGACAAGCGTAAGTGTTAATTTTTAATACTTTTTGGGAATTGAATTTAATGTTTAAAAAATCTATAAAATAGATTCCTTTTAAGTCACAATGCCAATGATTCAAGTGCCACAACTGAAACTATTGATTTGAGAAAATTAAATTTAATAAACTTTTTGGTCTTCTGAACCACTTAAAAAGTGCCCCTTCTTCTCAACCAGACGAATGTAAAACTCTACTAAGGGTACCAAATGCAGATTCCAGATCTAAAAATGGTGTTCAGAAAATCACCTTCACATGCAGAGAAGATTATGAACTTGAAAATGGACAAAAAACTCTTCAAGCACATTGTTCTGATGAACGTAAATGGGTTTGGGACTCAGATTCGTCTATTAAGAAATTTTGCAAACGTAAGCAGATATAACATTGTTTATTAAGTACCTAAATCAATTTTACAATTTGTTATATTTACAGCAATTTGCAGTCTACCTTGTGAAAACGGTGGCACATGTATTTCACCCAATAAATGTGCATGCGAAGTTGGATATACTGGAGAACAATGCGAAAACAGCATCATCAATTGTGATTTTCCAGTTTTAGAAAACACAAAGTTCTCAGCAGTTAACGATGGATTAGGAGTAAACGCGACGGTTGAATGTGACAAAGGATATACATTCGAAGATAAGAGTACTGAAAAGAACATTTTTTGCACGAGCGATCAATGGTTTTCATCTGAAACTGGCGAACCTGTTGATGATATCATTGAGAATGGTTGCAACTAATTCATGGCTTCTTACGGATGTTTGTGATGAATCTATATCGAACTTTTGATGAAAATGGTTTTGACCGAAATCCGATTAAGTTATCACTTTCAAACTACGAATTATATATTCAAGTGAGATAGAATTTTCTCATATATAGGTTGTTATTGAAATTATTGAGTTTAATTTTTCAATATTGAACTTAAAGCAATAATTTCGTTTCAAATAAATGCCATTAGCTCTTGCTTGTAACAAACAACTTTTTCACAAGCTTATTTTATTTTATATTTACCGCAAAAAAAATTACTGAAAATTATGCCAATCCAAACCCGTGTGGAAATAAAGTGACTGACTGACTGGTTAGCTGGAATCGACTGAAATTGAATTTTGTAAACGGAAGTCGTCTACCCAGTCGTCTATGTAGGTCATTTTAAACAGATGACTAATTTGGGACGTTTTTGTCTATAGCCAACTGCGATTGAAGTTGAATTAAGTTATATTTTTCTCTACTAGGATTGACTGAAAAATCAGAGAAATCAACTTAAAAAACCTTCAATCTCAGTTGGCTTAAGCCAAAAACGTCCCAAATTAGTTAACTGACTAGTCAGTCAGTAATTTTCCCACAAGGGAAGAGGATTGAAAAATAGCTTGAGCTACTTTTTGTATTTGAAGTGCATCAAAACTAAATACAATCGGCAAAATAAACAATTTAAAATTCACTTAAATATTCTAAGTTAACCCCATAGTCTTCATACGCTGTTTTGACATCTCCAAATACCCACCTGATGGTTGTATTGTGAACCACATTACTTCATATGTAAACAGTTTTCGCTTGGACTTGCACCTCAATATCGTACAATGCAATGTGGGCATAGTTCACTCGACAACTGTCAGAGGCAGCACTATGCCAGATTTGCGACGTCAAAATGTTAAAGTATGAGATGTATGGTTACCCCCATAAATTTAGCCCCGGCAGCCGGCAACCGACAAATCCTTTGATTCGCTAGTGATCGACGGTTCATCATTTTTTAAAACGTTTAAACGGAAATTTTTCCGATTTGCTAGGGATTTGTGCCTGATATATTGACCCAATCAATTAAAAAGCATCAATTTAAAATTGTCCGTCCGTTTAAAAGTCCAAAATATTCATTTCTTTAGTGATGTTTTATTCTGTGATGTCTGCAGCGATTGACAAAATGGTGGCTCTTCTGTTCTAAACAAAATAGATAATAAAAAAATATTTTATACGGTTTCTTTCAATAACAGCTGTGCAATCATTAAAAGTTCCCTATAATTTTAACTAGTAAACATTTGCAAAACCAATGACGACATTAAACGTATTGCTTGATGTATCACTTAATATATCATTAAGCTTTTGGCAAATTCGTATAGGAAACAGGTTTTTTTTCTGGAAATTACGTTTTTTCCCTTGTATGGGAATCTGAAAACAACTTGATTTTTACGTTGTAGTTTACTTTGATTAAAAAATTTCAGTTTGTGGCTCGTAAGATGTTCTTTGGCGATTCTGTTACTTCTACTATGAAGTATGGTTGCCACTAACTCATGGCATCTCGCGGATGTTTCTGATGAATTCAAATCAGACTTTTGATGAAAACGCTTTTCGACAAATTTGAAATAAAGCCGGATAAAATGACATTTTCGCAGTGAGTAAAAAAAATTCTCCAATAAACAAAAAAAACTGCAAATATTTTCACTGCCATAACGATCCTGGTAAATCATGAAAGTTAAAATAAAAAATGAAAGCAACATTTTGTTCTGTACTTAATTGCTTTTAATTGATATAATACCTACATTTGTATATCATAGAATTACAATGGATGTGAATGTGTGTGTGTGTGTGAGTGTATCGAATCTTAATATACAGAGTTGTTTTGTTTGTCGATTTTAAATGTAAATCTATACATAAATGCTATTTAAAGAACATAACTTGATTTGAAGTACATAATTTTGAAATCTTGTCATCGTCTTGTAATTGCCTATACGCTTGCGCTTCATTTTTTATTTGTTCTTGTTTTTAGAGAATTTATAATTTTATTTAAGGCGCAAATGTGTCCACGTTGATTACACACAATCGCACACAATTTTATCCTAATAAACTTATATCTTAATAATTTTTATTTTCATTATGTTTGTCCATACGAATGTGATTGATTGAATCGCTTTCGTGCAATATCATTAAATTTAATTATTTTATGCTAAAAAATGTTTTTTTTTGTTTATTTTGAAATTGTTGTTGCGGTTTTTGCTTCATGCAAATGCAGATGTATTGAAATTACCTGAAAACACGCGGCGATTGAATATTTTTGTTTTTTTTTTTTTTTATATTATTAGATCAAAACTATAATCTATTTGTATTAATGTCTCTATAGTTTTCTTTATATATTGTTGTTGCCATATAAAATAAGTTTTGTAACGATAGCCTCACAATCAGTCAAAATGGATTTAAACCAAAAACGGAATGTTTTTCACCCTCGCCCGTTGACAACTCTTTACTATACAAAATACAGCAAATGTTTGCATCACACGTTAGCAATGTTTTGAACCAAAATAACAATGGTTTTTTTGTCAATTCAATGATTTTTTTTCTCGGATATTTAAACTGAAATGTGTTTTATTGTTTTTTAATTTCCATATTCCGATTGTTGGAATTGTAAAACACATTGGATGTTTATGATAAGTTTAAAATTGACCGTGTGCCCATACTTGTTTTGAGTTTCAATGTTACCTCTTCAATAAATTATAAATAAATATCATTAAATTATCACAAAGTGTTGTTTACGTTTCTTCCTCGATATCGGCCGTTTCAAATGTAAATTTTGTACTTGTAATGTACCCAATTCATGCATTACAACGATGTTCTTCACTCAAATGAATCGCTCACGTATCACACAACTTTTGATTACGTTCGAAATTCTTTAAGTTGGAATGTCGAAAGAATTTTATTTATTTTTTTGCATTGTTTTTATGTGGTGGGGAAAGAATTTTAAATTAATCTCAACTATTGAAATGTCAACTTATTGATATCACAAGCGTCGCTCAAGATATTGCTGAACATTGAGAGTCAAAACTTCGATCGATTCAACAGTGTTCAGGTTTGATGTTCCAGACCAATTTAACAATGTCCTACTTCAGTTCCAATTCGTAAATGGTCTTTTGGGCGTTGAATCAACTACGAAGATAATAATCGTCCCCAAATTGAAATGCCTAAAAATAAAAACAAAGGAAAATGTCGTTCGCAAAATCAGCGGTAACAAATTTATCGTAATGAACAAATGCAGTTTCCATTGCACTTGAATTCTTCTTGTTTCAGCGATGAAATTACGTAATAGCTGACATTCAGCGACCATTCATTTTTGGATATCCTAACATTCAGGGCACCAATGAATCTTCTATATTGTGGCAGCAAATGTTAAGACAAAAGTTAAGTATGTCTGGCATTGTAGAAGCACGTCGCTGTAGTCGAAATACTAAGATATCCAAATAGGAATGTTTGAAAATTAGTAAAACACTTAAATTAGTAAAACTATTTCTTATTTGCTTATCTATTTTGTCGCAATTGGGAATGCGATAATAATTTTTTTTTGTTCTCTTATTTCTACTATTTGGACACATTTGTCCCATTGACAGATATATTGTTACAGCAAATGAATTTGAATTCGAAGATGCTTGAATAATGAAAGCACTTTTTCTTCGTCATGTATATCGTCAAATGGCATTGAAAATGAATTGCATGTGGGAAGTGGGAGAGCACAGGAAGGAGGGGGGTTCAAGATCATGTTAAGATGGCTGCTGTTTGTTGCTGCTGTTGCATCTCTCTGTATGTGTGTGTGTCTGTGTGTCACATTCGAGGATATGTCCACAATTAAAACTCTTTATGAAATGGCTTTCGATGATTCTCAATGTTCTTCTCACGTATGTTCGGTATGCTGTCGCACGCTTTCTGTTCGCAACGCTTTTCTTAAAAACAAATTTGCAAAATATCATCACTTTTTGTCGTTGTCCATTTTGTTTTTATCGATTGAAGATGAAACCATACCTCCGCCATTTGTAGCGTACATTTTGTCCACAATTTTCAGCGACTCATTCAAGAAATTCTAATTGAAATAAGAAAAAAGTAAATATTTATATTTTCGAACGTGACTCTTCTTCATGAATATGAACAAAAAAAAATGCTAATATTAGTTACCTGGATCGCTGTCAGGGCAGCCACAATGGCTGGTGAACCAAAACCATGTGATATTAACGAAAAATGGGTGAGATGCCGTTGTATCGATGGATCCAAGATGTGCTGTGGACGCGTATTGCAAAGTGGTGATCGATCTTGATTCAATAAATCCATCAGTTCTTTTGTAACCTGAATTAAATCAAATCAAAAAACAACAATCCAATTATAATACATATAGATTCGTTTCAAAATAAAATCGAAAAAAAGGTGTCACCTACTTGTTTTGTATTCAAAAGTAATTCTTTTCGTCGATATGTCTCTTGGGGTTCGGTGTGTTGGCGAAGTAAATATTCAGCAACTTGCCTTGATGGAAATTCCGTTTCGCACACATAACCAAAGTCTCGTGCCAAATGAATGGCTTCGCCTAAATCATGACAGACACTCAATTTAATAAAATTCAATTGCAATTCAAATTGTTTTTTAATTGATATTTACCTTCAACCAATGATGTGAGTAATGTCACATTTGCCGCTTTACGACGTCCGGCGGGTAAATTTAGGCCAATTTTTTCTAATTTTTCACGTAACAAACGACCGCCATTTTTACTTTTGGCACTGTAATCGACCAAACGAATGTTAATGCTTGATTTGAACAAATAAAGAAAAATGTCTCAATACATACCGTCGCAGTACGCCACCTAATAATGATGCATTCAAACATTCCGGTGGTGAAAGCCTTCTCTGAACTTCAGCTATTGTTACTTTGTATTTTGATGTGCTTGACAGTAGGCTCAGTCGACCCGGTACCGAACAAAATACATCGCTCGGTGATCCCACACTTAGATTATTTGGTTCTTTTCCACTTTTCATTGCTGTTTCAAAAGTTGATCAGATATTATTAGTTAATTGGTTTGAGTTCTTATCGCTTTGTTTTTGTTTTTTGTTGTTATAGTTATAATATCAATTTTGATGATCATATAAAAACGGTCAAACAACGTGACAATAGAAAATGTGATTTTCGAACGTGCACAATCGAATTGAATTGATGTGATTGCAAAAAATGCATAAATTAATTTTAGCAACATAAATTGTACTACATGCCGCGATTATCTACAGTATATAAATATATTTGATTTCATCGCATGAATCTATGTAAATGAATGATTTGTCCCTGTTGCGTGAATGATAAAATAAGCAATGGAGATATATTCGCAATGAACAAAAGGCAAAAGAAAAAAAAAACACTACTATATTCAATATTTTGTTGATATAATTAATAAGTTAAATGAGAGAGAAAAAATGAAACAGAAAGTTTTGGGATATTTACAATTCGTACAGATGTTTGAATGATACGCCCGATTTGCATCCGTAAAAACATCTACGTGGAAACATTGAAGAGGAAATAACAGACAGAAAAAAAATAGTAATATCAAGATGAATAAATATTTTACATTTTTTATCATGTGTGTGTGTTTTTTATAAATCACTAAAGTCATAATAAAAAAAATAGATTTTTTGTTGCTCAAAATGTGTCCTGATCGTTTTTTTTGTGTATTTTTGTCGGATTACTTATTCTTTCTCTTCGGGAAATTTCTTTGGCAAAATTAATCCAAAAACATGTTGGAAATTGGAAGAGAGTACTACGTAGAATATCTAATTACAGGATCTTTATTCAGTGGATTGGTCTATTTCAATTTCGAAAAAAAGGTGCAAAGACGAACAAAGACAAGGACAGAAAATTATATTCCCAAATTGAATATATATATATAGGTAATATACGGTAATATACATGTCATCGGGTGTTAGAGAAATGAATTCATTCAGTTTCATTTGAGAGAATAAAACTTATAGTGCCTATAAATATACTTATGTTCTCCAATTTCACTGATTTGGTAGAAGGCATATTGTGTTTGTATTTTTTTTCTGTGATTTCAACATATGAAACGAGGTCCCGAGAAATAATAAAATATGGTTATTCGTGTGTATTTGAAGTTTTAACGCAACGTATCACGTCGAGTTCATTCATGGTGGCACTGTTTTAAGGGTGTTAATCATACACAATTTTACTACTTATTTTATGTTATTGTGTTGATGGTTTGTTTGCCGCCTCTACAACATTTTCAACGCTTTCTCAAACATCATACTTTTGTTTGTCGTTGTTTTTCTTCTTCAATTCAACAATACAATCACAATCGTTTCTAAGTACTTCTATGCACACCTCTTCATCTTTCGGTTCAATTCTTTACGCTAAAAATCGAAGAATTCAGATTTTTTTTTCGTGAATTAGTTTAATTTCGGATTGAACATAACTTCTGAATTCGATAAAATAATTGATTTTTTTTTTTCGTATTTTGATAATTTTGATTAGAAAGCGAAATATGAATGAATTTACTGATAGTATGAAGGAAACGGGACAATATTGCATTGAAAGCGCTACATGTTTGCAGTGCTATTGTGTAAATACTCTTATCTCTTATGTTAAACCCTTTAACCATTATGGGCTTCAACACAATTTTGGAGTCTATGTTGTACGGTTCGTATCTATAGGATAAACATTCCATTCATAGCATCGTGCATTTTTGTTGTTTGCTATTCCACATTTTTGAATTACCGAATCTCTTTCAATTTTCGACGGCGCGTCAAGAAACAACAAATGCCATTATACCCTTTAGCACAACGCCGGCAAAAGAATTTACCGAAGTAAACATAGATTTTTACACGAGTTGCACGATTTTCGTATGTCAACCATAAATTCGTTTGCAGCGATAAACATCGAATATGAAATGACTTCAAAAAACACAAATATTCAAATGTTGGACACATGATTTACTCACTTTTCAAAAGAGGTAGGTCTGACATAAAACCGGAATTTTCATCCATACCGGTATTTTGGCCATCATCAACAGCACTTTGTAACGCTTGATGCAGCGCTAATGGATCATGTTCATGCAAACGATTTGCAGGATTTCCAACACCAATTGTACTGCTATAATCACCACGACGATCTGTGTACGGGAATCCATGTGAAAGTTGCGTCTGTCAAAAATAAAAATCGAAAAACATTAATCTCTTAATTATATAAGATGTACGGAAAGAGTTTACAATTAAAAAAAAAACAAAGAGCAAACAATTCACAACAATGAATTGATGAAAATGGTGACAATATTTTTTGGTTGCCACCGACATTTTTTTAAAACCTTATTTTTCTTCTACCAAAAATGTATCTTGGTATGCTTGAATAAATATGCAAAAGGTTGACATTTTTTGAGTTCCAAACTTCAAGATAAAACCCTTTTTGATCCTTTTTGAACATAATGATGAAATATGTGATACGTTCAAATTTACGGTTAAAAAAAATCAATATCATGAGTCACTTTAAAAAAAAACTAATATAACATGTACATTTATCATCAGAAATGAAGTAAAAATTGTCTTGAATGTGAAATCTCGAGACTTTCAAACATCTCATATTGATTTCATAGATTTTGTCAGTGAAGACTTCTCTTTAGAGTGGCGTATCGACAGGCCGCTGATATCATCTTATTTACAGCAGCGATTGTATACTAAATTTCGATACATTCCAATCGCTCTTCTAAATTCTGTCATAATTTTCATAACATAAAAGAATTTCAATTGTTCGTTGATTTTCAGCTATAATGTAGAGCATGTTTTAGCAAAAACAGAAAAAAAATCGCAAGAACCCAAGTTACGACGGAATTTTTTCTCCTTCCAATGGACCAGTTAATCAAATTCTAACGCAACAAATATTGAACATCGTTTTAATTTACTTCCATTGACTTGAAGAATTTAAAGAACAATTTGAATTATTGGATTTCTTTAACATCGAATATGGAATATATGTATTTAGTTTTACAAATCTATTTTCGTATGAATTTCGTAGAGGAAAAAGAAGAAGAAAGAAAATTAATAACGAACAAGATATTATTCAATTTGAGACATAATTTTCGATAGCGGAAAAAAATCGCAATCAATCGAAAGAATGCAGGCAATATATAAATGTGGATGCGATGTGTGAGCAGATTCAATGAAGTTAAAGAGCGAAAAACATTTTGAAAAATGATTAAAATAACAAACAGCACATGGCAAAGAAGCGTAACGCTTAAACATTACAATTAAGTGGGCATTGAAAATGTGACGCATCTTCTGGAATCAGCGAGATATGTGATGCGAATTGGTTTTTGTGCACGACAAATATTCCATTGGCCAATGAATGCAAATCGTTACGAAGATACGAGAAACCGGCACATTTCCCATAACACATTCATAATAATAAAATTTTATTCGAATTTAAAGCACTGAAATAAAAATGGCCATAACAATTGCGCACAGCTACAGACACACCATCAACAGGATATATGATGACGGATTTGTGAGTGCACAAAAACGAATGAAGTGCAATTATTTTAAAACCTTGTTCTCTTCGATACATGTGGTTGGCCGGCAATCGTTCCATTAAAAAAACTTTTTACTTAAGAATCGTGTGCTCAGTTCATTTGGTTTCGTTTCCAATTTCATCATGAATGTATACACCGATCACAACATTTTATTTGTATTGTTACCACCATGATGTGTATGTAGTGATGATTATTTTAAATTTACGATGCAATTTATTACGTTTAATTAGCAAATAAATGATTGAACATAGGTCGCTGATTTATGCTCACTGCCAATCGTTGCCATTACAATTCACTCTAAGTTTTTCCTCACTCTCCGATGCGAACATCGACGTTCTAGGATTTTACTAATAATTCGTTTCCACAAAATGTTATTGACGTCAATTTATTTCAAAACATTGGAAATAGTCGAATGACCGAACGCCAATGATGTGGACATTGTGATATCTAATCGAATAAAAATTAAAATAGATATAACTTACCACATGACCCTGAAGCTCAGCTTCACGATGGGTTCGATGGATTCCTAACTGTTCTTGTGTCGGCCGCAATCCAGTTAATTGATTATAATGTTGATACTTGATGATTAAATGAGAGAAAATGTCAGCATCACCAAAAACGAAATGTAAAACAATTTTCTAACAATTCAATGAATTTTTGTACTTACCACATGACCGTATGGATCGGCAGCGCCTAAATATTCTATACCATGTGTTGAATGATTTTGTTGTTGTGGAGGACTTTGCGTTGTATGATGAAATGGTGGCGGAAAGTATGGTGGCTGAAAATCTGATTGCAATGCAGGATGATGCATGTCTGAAATGACATATTAATTTCATTGTTTGACACAAAACGGTATTACAACTAATTAACACGTTATTTACAACTAATTAAAAATCACAATTTTTCAAAAAGTAAATATAATCTCTTCACTCTTGTATCGAAGCATCAAATATCATTTACTGAATTTCATTGGCAATATGACTTTGACAAAGGGTGGAGAATAATCGAATTGTTTTCAATCACAAAAAAAAAACATCTCATTCGACTTACCAATCGATGGAGATGGTCCATGTGTATTTGCATGTGCGCCGCTACTTCCATTTCCGCCACTATGACTTGTTGCAACTGTTCGACCACTATTTCCGTGGCCTGTATGAGTGTTATAAACGGGACTGGCACTTGACAAACCGATTCCACTATGACTCGTCAAACGCTCCTAATTTTTCAACGAAACACAATACCATTAATTCGTTGCAAAAAAACATTTATATATGATGGTTCAAAAACTACTTAAAACACATAAAAGATTCACACGAACAACAAACACGGATCAAATTTGTAAACTGAACTCTTGATATTTGTTGATGGTTTTTTTTTTCGACAAAAAACTTGAAACTCTTCAGGTATACAAAAATGTCGTTGAAAAAATGTTTGTTATCAAAAGCGTCGATAGTGTGGTGCCCAACATTTATTTTACCTGTGCCTCAATAACTGAAGACATATCCACATAAGCCAATGCCATGATTAGAGAGATTTGAATGATTTTTGAAAGATGAACAAAAACTATGATTGCATTTGACAAAAATATATCGCACTCATTACTTAAACCAAGAACACACAACAGTTTGAAAAATGATCAAAGTCTCAATGGAAGTTTGGTGTTTCCCTGTTTCAACACACAATATCACAATTTTTTATATTCAACGATTTCTGAATTATTATTTTTTTGCAATCCAAATCTTCAAATATAATGCACAAAATCATTCACTTTCAAACTATAATAATTGTTAAATTGGTGTGATTTAAAAATGCCATATTTTATTTCGAGTTAAAATTGAATTCGTTCTTTCAAAACAATAAACACACAGACACAAATAATAGATTCAAAATTGAAACTGATCGATTTCCAAAAGCAAAAAATGTTTGTTTTGTTTCTTTTTGGTAAAACACAAATAAAAAATCAAATAAAATTTAAATCAAAATTGAACGAATTGTATTATCGGCACAAGATGCGCACGTAAATCGGACGCACATCTATAAGATGTTAAACATTCTCGTTTCGTTTTTTTTTTTCATTACGCGTCAAATGTTGAACATAAACTAAACGCTTTGTATCGTTTGGGTACACAGTAGCCGGGCTCTCTTGTGTTGTGTGCTGAAAGAATGGCAGGAGAGAGAAACTCAGTGTGGTTGAAATAATGCGAGAAGAAGTAACATACGCATAAGCGTAGTCTGGATTACACATACATGACTATATGCCGCCAACTTCCACTCGATAATTTGACGAGTTTAAAGTGAAGCCCGTGCAGCGGCGGCATCAGCAGCAGCAGAAGAAAAGCATTTGAAAAAAGTTTCAGCATCAATAGCAACAGCACCAACAACAACAACAACAACATTGATGAACATGTCTACGATCCGTTTGTTATTTCTTAGCCGAAAAATATGCTGTCAATATTTATTATGAAATTCCAACCAGTTCGAATGACTTTTTCTTTTAATTTCCAGGGGACAACGCGAACGAAACGCTTTTTCTCTATTCCTTTATTTCCTGACATTATTTTGAGATTGAATTTTACTGCAAGTATTTTTTTAGATAGAACCAGTTTAATTTTTCGTGAAATTCCAGCACAATTTTCCAATCAATGGAATTGTTGAACCATTTTGACTTTGCGATGACTAAACAACTGGTTCATGGTATTTAAATTGAAACGTTATGTTAGTGAGTAAGAAACAACGTTTTTTATAAGTCACAACGTGATTATGAAGTAGTGTCAGACGAAACAAATATTGATTTGTAATTACTATCCGATAACGGTAATAGTTATAATTACAAAATATGAATAAGCGCATTAGTATATTTGAACTATGCAAAAGAAATTAACTCATCACAAAAAAAAGAATATTAAGTTTCGGAAGTAATCATTTGTCCCGTAACATCCCTTTTTGTTCGGAGAGTCAACTGAAAATCATTCTTCAACTGAATGAAAACAAATGCGATGTATAGAATTTGGCAAGAAAATAAATAACATCAACAAACTTTGAATGTAAACAGCGCATAACAGTCATATGCGTATGCAGTGTGTATTTAATTTATCAATTGCATAAATATTTGAAACAATTATGTATAATTATTTGTATTAGTGTTACGGTTAATTTTTTTTTTCTCATTGACATGATCTACCGTGATTGATGAATCTCTTTGGTTAACACACTTTGCCTTTGCCAACGAGTGTCAGTTGCTCAATTCAAGTAATGAATGAAATTATTCAATTTCCTGAATACATTCATTGAAACGAAAACGCACATATATCATTTATTGATTTGAAAATGAAGACAATTCCATTGAAGGACTTATTTCTGCATATACCATTTTTTTACATAATAATGAGTATAATGTCACAGAATGAGGACACAATCACGGTGTGTGTGCCTTCAATCTGTTTTTGAATGCTATTGCGATATGGACAAATCACAAAACTATACGTATCAATATTGATCGACAGTAGTTTCTCTCGATATACTTTCCTTTGACATATCTCTGTGTGATAACACGAAAACGTCGTAATAAAACTGAATCATACAGGTAGAAATTGGCCAATTTCGAGATGGCTATGTCATCAATTTGTTTCTGATTGTTTTAATGGGATGAAAAGAAAGCGTGTGAGAAATTCATGTCGCAAGGTACTCACACACGCACACAATTATTTCAAATCATCTATATCTATCGAAACGATTTTGTTTCTCTCTCTCTCTCTCTCTCTCTTTCTCTCATCTTACAGCACAGATTTGATCTTTAATTAATAGCAAATTATTACGAGCAAATTTTTTGGCACCCAAATCGATGCCTATACAAAGCAAAACGTCAATGGGCTGGATGAGATTATTTCTTTCATTTGATCTAAATGCCGATCTGTCTATAGAGTCTTGCTGATATGATTGTATGGATTTGTTTTCTTCATATCTTCTCTCTCTCACTCTCTCTCTCTCTCTTCATTTTTATACGGCAAATGCTTCTGCTGTTGGATGTGATCGAAATTTAATCGGTAAATTTGACACCATACATTGAAAATGGAGTACTTAATATCTTTTATTTGAATCGTTGCGGCGAAAGAGTAGCTCTTATTTTTCTCCAAATAATACTGCAACATAAATTTTTTTATGAATAGTTTATTTGTTGTATTACAACAAATAAACCGTGTGAAAAAAACTTCATGTTGCAGTATTATTTGGAGAAAAATAAGAGCTACTCTTTCGCCGCAACGATTCATTTGTTTGTCTGTTGTTGTTTGTGAATTGTGAAAGAAGCAAATGAGTCAGTTTGCATTTGTAGAGTAGAAAAAAACATGTACCCGCAAACGAATTGATTTTACACATATATCTTTTTTTTTTCTTTGCTCATATTGACAATCGACGATTAATTTTGGCTTTTTAATGCTTCAAATAGTTTACATTGTTCTTGCTTAATAGTTTTCCGAATGAGAAAAATTTCGGTCAAAATAGATTACTGGCGAAAGATAAAAGGGAAAAATCATCATCGGCCCATCATTTCTGTATGCATTCGATGAATTTTTATTTGAATAACAAATAAGATATTAGAAGAAAAGGCATTTTTATTATACGATCGAAGCGAAAAAAAAAACTCATTAAATCATACCGTTGGTAATACCCAAGTATATATGTACATAGTGTATGTTGAACATGAGTTTTCGTTTGTACGCCTCGCGCACCTATTTCGTCTGATCTCACTCGCGCAATGTGATTACCATCGACATATCGAAAGAAATCGATCCATTTCTTCTTCTTACGTCGTCGTTCAAATGGATGTTCGTTCGTTCGTTCGTTCGTAGTAAAAATCTTTAAATCACTTCGGTAATCGTGACGCAAAAATAACGATAAATGAGCAAATGTTTGACGCGACACAACGATCATAAAAAAAGACACATACACTCACACACACAGAGAGAAAAATTCAGTCCATTGCATGCGTAAACACATTTTGATGGCTGTTGAATGATTTTAAAAATACAGATCGAACTCATTTCACTGCGATGATCATAAATCGTGTGAGTACGGTGTATCTGTTGCTGATGAATTAAATGCTATTTGAAACAATTTCGTTAATATTCTTATTGATGAGATGTTCTAGCCATTCTTAGCCGAGCAACCCAATCACTTACTATACCATGCGGACTCTTTTTCTTCACTCATCAACACATTTTGCTTGTCGTATGCTTTTATTAGTTTTTTATTATTCATCATCGTCATTTACTTTTGCAAAACTGTCCAATGACAATATATATAAATATGGATATGGACACGAGTTTCAACAACGATTACATACATTTGATACGGCAATAAATTCGGTTTATCGCATATATTTCATTGGGTTATACATCATTTGCACATTAAAATCGAAAGTCATATTTTATTTCAACCACGAGTTTTTTTCTCGTGCTGAATTTAGACTATTTGTTCTTTTGTCAGTGCACAAGTTACGAGTTTTTTTTTGTTCTTCATTGGATTTGGTATGCATTTTCGTTTTCAACAAATGGTAAGAATATTACGTTTTCATTCGGTTCTACTGTGCCCAAGTGTAGTTGAGAATAGTGTTTTTTTCTAGCAATCAGTCTTCAATGTGTCTAAGATTTGACGGCACACCAACAATAAACAATCAATTTCATTATTGACTTATATCCTATTGTGAGCTGACATGTATCATGGGGTTTCAACTGTTAACCTCATATCGATGTCAATTAAATAATTTTATCAACTTTACAATTCAACATGGGTAATTAATAGCGGTTTTCTTTGTAACATGAAGAGATAAATGTACATCCCGTGCTTCCGACATCTTTTCTTTTTCGTCGAAAAAAAAAAAAACAGAATTAAACAAAAATCGGTTGCTAGAGAATGAGAGAAAGAGAGTGAGATTTTTATCATCATATTTGGAAATGCGTCGAAAGAAAAGAAATGAAAAGAACTATGTGAAGTGCACAATGGTTTCATTTTCATTTGTTTTGTAATTTTTGTTTATATCGAGCGCAAACAAAGGCAAAATAACTAAGCCACCTGCAGATTTGATTTGCGGGAACTTAAAAAATGACAGAAGTGATAAATGTTGTTGTATTCTTTATTGGCGATTTCTTCACCATCATCAACCATCTATGCGTGGCCTCTTTTATCTATGGTTTTCTATCTCCAATAGAATGCTTTTTA